TAAGTAACTAACCTCTTGTTCTCGTTTGTTGTTCTTGCACGCCGGATATCCGGACCGAGAGAATTAATTTCCCCCGCATTCCGGAACGCTCGCCAGCCCCCCCCCCCCCCCCCCCCCCCCCCCTGCCTGAGTGTGCGTTGTCCATGCCTGGATTCAGCACCCTGCGTCATGTACAATGACATCTGAGCAACAAGCCGGAGAGGGCAATAATACGATGAGCCAGACAGGAGCTGAGGGCGGGAGGCCCCGGCGGGCAACCGGTGGAACAGACAGGTAGGAGAGCAATTCCCAATTGCGCACAAGCGTTGGGAGTCTCAGCAAAACAAGAAATCCCCCCAGGGAGCCTATTGCTGCTTGTTTAGCCTTTTGGGCACAAGAAAAAGACCAAAAAAAGGGCCCCCATTTTCTTATTTTTTTATATTTTTTCCTGGGGTTTCGTTCGTGCGTTTTTTTGCATCCCGTGGGTGCAACAAGAAGAAAGAGTAGTATAGTAATAATACTACTGCTAAGGGGTTGGTCAGCCCGACTGACACGGGCAAAGCAAGAAAAAAGTCTTGTTTAATGGAGAAAGACACAGCCGGGCGCGTTCCTATTCGCAAATGCCACCGGCCTCTTGCATTGGTCTTGGGGGGTGTGCAGCGATGAGCCCGCGTCGGTGCCACCAGCGGCTGTCCTGATTCGTTAGGCGGGTGTGTATGTGTGTGTGCGCGCGCACGGCGCGACGACTCCTGGTGTCTGCGAACAGTAATTAAAAGAAAAAAAAAAAGAGTTGCTTGTGTATTCGCCAATGCTCGACAGTCAAGGCTTGACCGGCTCAGCTGAGGGCTCTCGTCGCTTGGCGACAAAACAACATTGCGCCAGAAAAACGCACGGTTCCTTCCCTCGCCGTCCCTCGAAAGGGGAGTCAGTACGGAGTCGTAGTGACCACCACTACTACTACTGCTACGACTAGACAACAGACACACGCGCTTCCTGTCTGCAAATCCGCCGGCCCTCCAGCCAGGCACACTTTGCAGTCATTTCGGTTAGACGAAATGAAGCTGGGAGGATGAAGCTTTTTGCGTGCATCTAATGTATGTATGTGGCTGCGTCCGAACCACATGCCCCCATGCCGTGCGGCCCCCTTCCCTTCCCTTTCCCACCCTGGTCGTCGGGCGTGCGATGGATGGATGGGCAGTGGTTTTTTTTGATCTATATGCGCGCATGCAGCAGACACCGCTTGCGAAATTGCTTACGTATTGGGAGGGGTGCGCTTTTTCGGTCGATTTCAGTCCGAAACGGGACAAAAAGTGCGGGTTGATGTGTGTGTGTAAGGTTTGTGGAAAGGATAGCTTCGGGAATCAAAACAATAATAATAATAATAATAATAATAATAATACCTGGCGAGAGCGCGTGCCGAAGCGGCCCAGGGCTCATGGACGGCTAGTTCGAGGTATGGGGGGTATACGTGCGTTGTGGCTGATATTACATAGTTAGACGCGGACTAACTATGGAACTAGGGGCCAGCTTAGCTTGCTTCCCGTTCGCTCGTTAGTTAGTTAGTTAGTGAGCTCTCTCGCCCTTTCTGGTGTGCGTGGCCTGTGCCCGCCAGGGATCGGGTATTTCTTTTTCAAACATCGGCGCGGCCTCGCCCTTGCGATCGAAGTAGCCAACGGCCGGCCAGCGCGCGCTGGCGCTAAGTTCAGCTCACGAGTTAGTTAGTTAAAACTACACGGCCACGGCGGAGCAGCAGAGGGACGGGACCCTGGATCCCGCCATGGATTCAACTATTATTCGCTCGAACAAGCAGAAAAATAATATAAACCAGCGAGTTAAGGCGGATCGAGCGACGATTGCGCCATCGATAAACTTCCCGATTGCCGGACTCGCCCAATGACAGATCTACACTGCCGAATAATGGGTTTTTTTTTTTTTTTTTTTTTTTTTTTCCCTTGCTCTCGTCGCTGTTCGGCTAAAACAAACAACGATAGGAACAACGAGAGAGGATCACTACACAGCAAAACGGCAGGCCGGCTCCGGGCTAACTAGTAGATGAGTCGAATATAATAGGCCCTGGTTAAGTCATGGTATAACTAGGCAGCCCATCGGGGCTCCACACGACTAACTAAATAACGATCTCCTTTTTTAACTAATCCTTCAGCCAGGGTTTGCTGCTCGACAAGGGTAATAATAAAAAAAAAAAAAGCGAATTGATTTTCTCGAAACCGGGGCTGGCAAGGGCCCCATCATCGTCTTTCGGCGAGAGAGATCAGTGCGTCAGGGGCCAACTAGTAGCTAGTTCGCTAGCTAGCAGCATACGGAGCATCGACATAGTAACGAACTGCCTAGTTAGTTAGTTACCTGCACAACACCCGTTCGGATTCCTACCACCGTTCCATCTCAACCACCACCACCACCACCACCACCAAACCTCCATCACTCACTCACTCACTCACAGCATCCTGTCTGACCGCCATTTCACTCCGTCTTTGATCCTCCCCCCGCCCGCCCATCGTCGTCGTTCCGCCCAATACTTATTAATTCTTCGCGGCGCCCAGCGAAACCACCCCCCTCCCGCAAGCAGCTAGCTGCTGACTTACTGTCTGCTACTACTACTACTACTACTACTACTAGTGAAGTCGCTATGAGCAACCGAGACAGCCAGGCCAGGGATCTCCCTACTAGCATCTCGGCCCTCCCCGGGGCGGGCGGCCAGTCGCAGGCGATCTTCACGCCCAGACGCGTTTGGGGCCCGAGGCCAGGCAAGCGGGGTGGAGAAACAACTAAGGAAAAAAAAAAAAAAAAAAAAAAAAAAAAAAAAAAAAAAAAAAAAAACAAAAAAAAGAAAAAAAAAAAAAAAAAAAAAAAAAAAAAAAAAAATAAAAAAAAAAAAAAAAAAAAAAAAAAAAAAAAAAAAAATAAAAAAAAAAAAAAAAAAAAAAAAAATAAAAACAAAAAAAATAAAAAAAAAAAAAAAAAAAAAAAAAAAAGAAAAAAAAAAGAAGAAAATAAAAAAAAAAAAAGAAAAAAAAAAAAAAAAAAAAAAAAAACGTGGCATGATACAAGATGCCCGTCGAAAGGGAAAAGAAAATAATAATAATAATAATAAAATAAAATATTAAAAAAGCAAAAAAAAAAAAAAAAGAAAAATTATAGACAGCAGTTTCTTGCATATGCTGCGCGAAGTTAACTACGACGTTCCATGCCGCCGCCGCCGCCGCCGCGCGTGTGTGTTTCTAATTTTGTCGGTTTTGTCTTCATCCCTGCAAACGGATGTTGTAGCCGCGGTAATCGTCCCTCTTGATTTCTCTCGCTGGCGGGCCTGTGACGCGCAAAGCGACGTCTCGAAGCGACGTCTTCACAGGAGAACAACAATGATCGGCCAAAATAAGGGGTTCGGATTAGTCAGGCGAGGGATGGTCGGTCCCTCAGCAAGGTTTCGTGGCGGCGGGACGGTGCGACCCACCGCAAAAAAAAAAAAAAAAACCGGAGTTTAACTTTCTGTCATTTCCTTCTAGCCGTCTTCTAGAAGCGCAGGCGGAAGCGTAGGGGGCGAAAACATTAACCAGGGGTCAAAACACACCAGACATCTAAGACAATAAAAAATTGTTCAAGGAGCTAGTCAGATGAGAAAAATTGAAAAAAAAAAGCAAAAAAAAAAAAAAAAAAAAAGATAATATTTTGAAAACTACAAGAGCGGGAGCTGGGCAGCGAGGATTCGGGATGTGTGCAAAACCCCGTCCCTTTCGGCTCGGTCTGGCGCTGATATCGGCCAGCACACTCACGCCGTCGATCTAGCTCACCGACCAAGCAAAATGCAAGACCAGTTCTTGCTCCAATGCCCGCGGTGCGTGCATACATGTATGCATGCATGTATGCATGCGAGCTCCGCACGGGGTAGTAGGTTTACACTTGCTGGGCCTCTGGCGTCGTGCTGGGCTGTGAAGAAAAGAGGGGCCGAGGGGGAGGGGAGGGGAAGCTCGCCGCCACGTAAGGCTGAGACGGGGTGATCAGGATTGTCTCCTCTCCAAGAAGAAATTGGGGTCGGTAGTGGTGGTCGTGGTGGTCGTGGTGGCAGTTAGCTAGTTCTTTGGGGTCGAGCATTTCCGCCGTGTCCCTTTGCCCCGACCTTTCCTGGTCCGGAAGTTGTTGGATGATATCGCCACGGATCCTGAATTAATTAAAAAAGCTTAGGATGTGCGAGCCTCCCCGAAAGGATTGGCCATACTATCACTGGTACGCGCGCGCGTGCGGTGCCATGAGTTTGCCATTAGTATTATCATTGGTAGAGATACTCTGCTCTCTTCGCCTTGCGATGACGGGCGAATGGTGGCGTCTCGCGCCGGGGCCGCGTTCTGCACACATCTCGTGACAATAAATGGGCCTGTCACAAGGGAAAAAAGGGCCTTACGCCAGCAACGCGCGCGCCCTGGTTCTTGTTCTTGCGTATGTGTTTTATTTATATTCTTTGACTCTGTCTGGTTCTGTCGCATGGAAAGAGGTGGAGGGGGACCCCAAAATAACGGCCGCACGCGGTCGGCGGAGACGGGGCAGGGGGGTGGGCGGTGGGCGGTGGGCGGTGGAGGTTGTATTTCGCCTAGGACGACAAGAGATTTCCAATCTGATTAGCAGCCGGGGCCGAAAGGATCGCAACCACACCGACGTCAAACGGTCATTGGGCGTGACTAACGGCCGGGCTCTAGGATGGGAAAACAAAAAGACAATAGGTGACATGGGTTCGTCCTTGGGGTTTGATGTATACGTACCGTGAAGCGTTATGGCGGCCACGAGGGATGGAGGGATGTCATCGTGAGCAGCGAAGAACACCGAGGTTCTCGCAGCTATATATCCCGAACAAGAAGAAAAAGGGTATCGGTTGTTGCAGACTGCGAACAATGCCTGCCTCGTGGGCGCCGATCAAGCCGACAAGCTCTTCTCGCAGACATGACAGACGAGCCGATCACCCAAGCATTTCCCGTGTGCTTCCAGGAATTTCTCTGCAGGTCGCTTAAGCAGCTAGTTAGGCAGTTCATAGTAGCCACCAGTAAGAATTATTGCCTCTGACTTGACAAATCGTAATAGTAATCATAAGGGGACGAAATAGTTTTCTCCCTCGCCGTCCATGCGCACCCTGCGGCCGCCCTGCCCAACAACGCATGTTCTCGAAAAACCCTCTCAGCTCAAGGCGCCAGCAGCAGTGATAGGGGGCAAAGAAGCTTATTGCCAGGTGGCGAGGTCTTGTTTCCCCCCCCTTTGCGACCGTTCCACTCCGGGCCATCTCGCGCGCGCGCGCGCGCGTCTGTTGTGCCAGGGCGCCCCATGCAGCATTGCGTCTGCCGGATGCAGCGATGGCGTTCCCCGGTGGTGTCCAAGCGGCCATTATTAATAATATTATATTATTATTATTATTATTCTGCTTGCCAACGCCGGCCGGGGGAGGAGGGGCGGGGGCGGATGGTTTTAACCGTGGTGACATCCATGGCGCGCGGGCGGGCGGGCCTTGCCGCGCGAAGAAGAGAAGAAGTCCATCTGATAGGCTGGCAGCGGGCCAAATCCCCCGCGCGCGCCATGGTGTTTCAGCGTCGTTTGGGTTTGGCTCTGGGATGGGACGCCGCGCTCCCGCGCGCGGTTCTTGTTGGGTCGTCCTTTTTTTTTCTGGATTGTTGGGCCGTTGTCGTGGTGGTGGTGATGAAGCGAGCGTCGTCGTTGGCGCCCCACGAGGCTGGCAGGGCTGCACAGGGCGCAGGCTGTGGGACTAGACAGACTAAGTCCTAGTTGGCCTGATTATTGTCGCGTCATTTCCAGTTTCTTCCTGTTATTACTCTTCTTCCTCGTTGTTGTGGCTGGGAGCCCCATCCGGCCGTCGTTTCAGAAACCCATCCATGTCCGATCTGGATGACCGACTAACTAGCGAGCGAGCTAGCAAGGCATCGGCCCGCGGCGGGAGCTAGGAGAGTTTTTTACCCTTCGAAAAAGAAATTAAGATCGGGCGTGGCCCCGGTGAAAAGACGACCGACGGCGAATGCGAGAACCACGACCGCCGCCGTTTGTCCCGCTGTGAGTCGGCACTTAATTAACTAACTAGACCGGCCTCGACTGGCGATCGAGACCAGCCGCTCGACGTACGCTGCCGCTGTGGAAAAAAAAAAAAAAAGAAAAATTTCGCAATTCGCCCGAGATGCGAGACCGTGCCGGGATCCGAAAGCAGTGCCGTTTCGCTCCGCGTGCGAATGTCGGTGAGCGGATTCTGATATCAATATGGGCGCCGACACCCGACTTTCTTTCTTCCTCCTGGCGAGGCAGACTCAAAAAAGGCTCATGGTTCTGCTCGCTTCGCGCCTCGTCCTCCGCGAGCATCGCACGCTCGTATGCACATACATACAATACATACATCGCACATCGCGATGTATGAGGTTGATACATACTAGCTGCCCGGGATGCATGCCTACTGTGTGAGACATGTGTCTGCAATGCAAGATATTCCTGATTTAACCAGGTAGCTGATTCTGATTACGCCTAACTATACCACATGCAAAAAAACCACACAAATGCTTGTAAGGACAGATCATTCAGAATGAAGATGACCTACGCAGCTGGAGGAGACCATTTCCAACCGGCCGGATCAAAGCAGGCCTTGAATTCAACACCGCCAAAGAAGCCTATGGCGCCATGCAGATCGAAATCTCCTTCCAGGCCTTCAAGACTCCCTTGCTCGCCATCAGTTTCTTCGTGAAGATCCCACTTTCCAGCCACCTGTCCGTTACGCGTCAAAAAGGCCTCAACAGCAAATGACGACGTGGTGCCGTCCGCGTTTGGGGGCCGAGGCGCGGTTTTGAATGGCTTTTCGTCCACGCGATGGAAGGTCATCCCGAGCCCGACCGTCTCGCCGACGAGGAACTCGGTGGTAAATTCTTTCCCGCCAAAGGAGTCGTTGATGAATCTGCAACCGTCGTCGGAGAACACACCCAAGCTTCCCCTCTCCCAGCCTGGAGACCGCCAAGTGGGATACGGCTGGGCGACGTAGCCAATCGAGAACCCGGGCGTTTGATCTGGCGTGCCTCCCGAGAGACTCACCAGCTGCACTTCGAAATAGATTGTCTTTTGCCGCTCAGTGACGAGCGGTGAATCTTCCTCTGCAAAATATACGGGCTTGTCCGTCCAGACAATGCAGTCCCCATTGCCACTAACAGTATGTCCTTTCCACTCACCGCTCCCAGAAGATGACAGCGCCCCAACATATTCCCGCGGTCTGACGGGCTGAAAATACGCCTTCTGCGCAGCCTGGTAGACTGCTGGCAGAGGCTTGGTTGGCCGCGTAAGTGGTGTATTGTCGCAGAAATCGTGCGCCCGGTCCGCATCGGCCTCGAGTGCGTTTCCCGTGTTGGAATACAGGTAGGCGTGTGCGGGAGGAGGCGGAAGGTCTGCAGTGTCTGGAATCGCTTGCCAGTTATGGACTGGAGGCTGGTACAGCCCAGGGACTTCGGGGGACACCGCAAGAGAGGGCGGTGGCGCCGCGGGCGGAGGATAATACGTCTGCCTATAATCCGGCGGGGGTCCAGGTGGAGGAGCATAGCTTCTTCCAGCCATTCCGCTGCTGCTGCTGCTCTGTCCGCCGTTGTATCCTGGTCCAGAGCTATCTTGCCCAAAGACCTGCTGCTTTTCGGCGGCGGCACTTAGATTCGATGGATCCACGGCTTGCGTTTGCCGAGAGGATGTCGGTACGTTATCTTTTCTCTTTTGAGGTTGGGAGTCACCCATCTCGATAGGACGATTTGGGGGCAGACTGCTTTGGTTAGTCTCACCACCTCCGCAACAACGAAAAAGAGCCATGAAACCCATTTAAAACTCCCGTGTTCAACCTTTCTTGATTCTGTTTGTTGTGAGTGAGAGTTATGAGGATGTGTTGAAGACTGATGGCAGCTTCATGAGCATTTTTTTGGGCGCCGAGATCTCTACCGTTCAAATGGCCCCAAGGCACAACGTTGACGTAGTTAACGGCTTCAAACCAAATCAACCGTGTTTCCAAGATTCGTTTGAGCGAGATCCGGATATTGAGGCTGAGTTCTGAGTTTGCTTCGTTTGCATCTCCCTTCAGATGCCAAGGACTGCCTTGTCACCAGCCACGATTTATTGCAGGAAGACTCTTCTACAATAGCTACGTTCTACAAACCGCAAATTGGTCCAACTGATTATTTATTCTAAATTTTTCTGAGGAATGCATCAAGACTGATACCCGACAGTGGGCCCAAGAGAGCCTACGGCCAAGCTTCTGATTGCGCTGTTTCCTTTTTATGAAGGGTTTTCCATTCTTCAATGAGCCCTCGGTAGTCTTCTGGGCCGTATGGCTGAAAAATCTCCGCCAGAATACCTCTTTTCCTATGGCTTTTCAGCTTTAGGTCGTGTAATATCCAGTCTAAATATGGCACCGTGTCGAAAACAAAATCCGGATGCACTGGGCTGGCAAATGGATATCTCCATTTTAAAAATTGATTATGCAGCGTAGCATCCCAGAGAAACTCTTTCTCAGTCATTCCCGGAGACGTCTCGAGATCCAACTTGCCATCCAAATACGCTGTCATCCAGAGAGCTTGGACCTGAGATGATAGCAGTGTGGAGAAAGTTGTGAGCATCCCCACGAAGCCAATGCTGCGATCGTGAATGAATGCAGGCGGTACCATCAGTCGATACAGCTTGAAACGCTCATAGTTATTATTTTTGGAACGATCTTCGAAGACACCGTTATAAGGATTCTTCACTGTCGGCTGCTCTTTGAGTCTTGGAAAATGTGAAAAAGTCTCTATATTCGCCAATAATGTCAATTTTTCAGGCTTCGTGCTTTTGAATGGAATGCCCAGCTTCTTCTCTATTCCCTCCGGAAGGAATTGAATGTCCGGAAATCCTTTCCAGCCAGTGCAGCTGATCAGCAGGTCGGTCTTGATGACCTCTCCACCTTTCAGATGGATGGTTTTAGGCGATAGCTTTTCAACATCCCCGACATGGACTCTGATTTGGCCGTTACGGACTAAGTCATAGAAGTCGGTTGGATAATTGAGAATGCTGAAACTGGTTGATATCCAGAATGTTTCCGTCCAAGGTTTTAGCTTTTTGGTCTCTGGATGGTCATCATAGCGATTGATCTTTATGACATCGTCCCCCATAAACCTCCAAAATTTATCAACAACCCATCTTCCTATACTGGTCCTGTGAAGAAGCTCCCTGATACGACCAAAACCATCCGCATCGCCCCATGAACATGGGCTGAACCAAGTGAAAATTCTGGTGGTGACAAATTTTTCCAACCACTTCTTAAACGGCGTCACATAGGGAGGCGATATCCAAATGCCTCCTCGACCGGAGTTGCTTATAATCCAATCAACCTGAGCACCATTCGATGCTGCTAGATATGCAGCATCATATCCAGACTTAGAACCGCCTAACACAGCCACATTTTTTGCCTCTCGGATGGCATGTTGCTCCTTAGCCATGTCCCTAGAGTGAAATAGAGGTGCGTCAAAGGTCTCTGAGTCTTTGAGTACTGGCAACACCGGCTCCTCACATGTTCCTGTGGACAATACTAGTTTTTTGGTAAGTATATACCGCACGACATTACCAGAAGCACTGTTTGTTTTGCAATAGGCTACTGTCCAGCGTTCCTGGTCATTGCTGTCAATTTTCTCCACCGATTCAACCTTTGATTCAAACCGAATCTTAGAGTAAAATCCAAATTCTTGTGCGTACGCTTTGAGATACTCATGTGCTGCCTCTCCTGGAATATGTTTGCCGCGCGTAACCCCGAATTTCTTCTCGCTCATTGGAAAATCACTATACTCGTACGTTCCTAGCAAGTTGTTTAAGTGCAGCCCTGGGTAAATTCGCTCCTTTGCCCATACTCCCCCAATTGTCGCTGCACTCTCGAGGATCACAACATTTGCTGATGGGTTAATAGTAAGGTATGTCCGAGCGCAAACTAGACCGCTAGGACCTGTTTTGTTCTACTCATTAGCTATTATAAGCAAAAGCAATGATGTTAGAAAGATTTTACGAGAATATGAACATACCAGCGCCGACAATGATTAAATCCACCTTTTCATATGTTTCGTCTTCCATTGCTATAGTATGGATACTTCCGGTTTGATTCTAATTCAGAAATACTGTACATTAAATATAGGTGTAAAATTATCCGACCTGAATGGGGGAGTGATAAGGAGATCGCAGCGCCGGGAGATTTTATCAATTTCAACTTATTTCCGCAATTTCTCCGTACCATGACATTGATTCCAGATACATGCATGATTAGTTATCTGGTTACTCAAGACATGCAACACAAATTCCGTACAATTTGAAACCTTGTTCAGCAATTCTAGCGTGGACTGTTACTCCGATACACGACGGCTGATCAGACTCCTTGTGCACCTTCTGTGCGATCATGGGGATACGATTCAACCGTCGATCCTGTGCCTCACGGCATATATTTTCTCCCTTCGGCGACGCATACCTGCTTACTTTAGATTGGTTCGGCGTGCAGAACAAGGGGAAATTAGCAGGTGGAGTGCCCGGATATGAAGCTCTTCTTGAGAAACACTGGAGGTTTAGTATAGAAAATACGAAAAATGGTATAAGGGATATATATGTGCAAGCCGCCATACGGAGTACAGAAGGCAATATAACTACAGGTTTAACTTTGAAAAGATGCAGCACACAGCGGCCCCTCCCTTCTAAAATCGATACCACACACCTTCCATACTAGCAAAATGGTATCGAGGGCATATTCAAAATGTTCTGGAGATGTGTATATACACAAAAGGTAAGATGAGAAGTATCGAGTAATTTTTAGTTTTTTAGACCTTAAGTTCTGCCGCAGCAGTGTTTAGTAGCTAAAAGAAAGAAGAGTTAGCAGCTCATCAGGAAGAAAACATATAAAAAAGAATGTCTTACATCAACTTTATATGGCTGCAGGGCGACATCAACTTCCTCAGAGATAAATTTTTCAACTTGCTGCGGAGCTCTTCCGATAAAACTGCTTGGATCTAAGAGCTCACTTAGTTCCCCGAGAATAGGGTTGAAGAATGGAGTACGCTTGATTCGATCGATCAAATCATTCTGCCCGCCTTCATTCTTCACTACTGCTGCTGCCTGGTGAGAAAGCACTCTGATCTCTTCATGACTCTCCTGGCGACTGATGCCATGACGCGCCAATGCCATAATGATATTCTAGTGGTTATGTTAACATCTTAAACTTAGAATGGTAGGTCTTGTGTTACCTCGGTTGCCATAAAGGGAAGTTCGGCCGCAATACGCGAAGCAATAACCTTTTCATACACAACTAGGCCATTGGAAATGTTGTCCAATAGAATCAAACAGGCATCTGCAGTAAGGAATGCTTCAGGGAGGGTGATACGACGATTTGCGGAATCATCTAAGCTGCGTTCAAACCACTATATTCCATGAGTTGATGACAAATATTACTTATTTCAGGATATTTACCTGGGCAGCATAGTTGGTAAGGCCATTTTGTGTCAAACACTGTAAATGGCGCCCAAGAGAGCAGAGCCTTTCAGAACGCATCGGGTTTCTGTTTCAAATCAGTAAGGGGTGGAATGTAAACTGTTTCATCCCAACTTGCCTCTTGTAAGCCATAGCGGATGATCCAATCTGATCCTTTTCAAATGGCTCTTCCATTTCTTTCATAGCTGCTAAACGACGAATATCGCCACCGATACGCTCACTGAAAAAAAATATTAACCCCTCTGGACCATTGAATTAGACTTTATTTAGAAAGAATACCAAGTAGCACCAAATTCCCCAAGATAGTTGATAATATTGGTATCAACCTTCCTAGTATAGGTTTGGGAGGTGATAGTGAATGCTTTATTGAAGCCCGCTTTTTCCGTGACTAGTTTATCCAAGCGCTCAACAAGCTCATGGTCTCCATGGAAGATTTGCAAGAATGAGGCCTGTGTTCCAGTTGTGCCTTTGCAGCCTCGAAACCACGACAGAAGTGATTTCTTTGCGTGTTCGAAATTTTGGAGGTCCTTAAATGGAAATTAGCTTTAAGCATCTAAGCATAACTTGGGTGGTAAATTGATTATATACCATCAACAAATCTGTAATAAAGAGACACGTTCTTTTTCCTATCAAGATTTTAGTATCCTATAGTGAGCCCAAACCTATACACATACCAACTGTAGTAAGTTGCGCCGGTTGTCCTATAGATATCAGATATTTATATTTTACCTAGAGCAAGCGGACGAAGGCAGCATACCATGGGTATAAGCCAAGCACGGCAAGTCTTTATACTGCTTCGCGAACTGTGACAGTCTAGCAATAACTGTAGCTAGTTTGCTTGAGAGAATTTCCAGCCCCTCAGTCAGAATAATCCTAAGCGGGGTTTAGCAATTGAGGCATGGAATGCCGAAGCCCAATGGGATGATTCTCACAAATCTGCGTTATCCGTGACATAGCAAGATGTTGCGCCGAGATGAATAATTGGAGCAGCAGCCGGGCAGGTTTGCCCATAGACCTAATACGGTGTCATTATAAAATGTCGCGTATCGGTAGTCCCATTCAATTGGACCATACATGAACATGGGCCATCACGTCATGACGCCTCTTCTTTTCTTCCACAGCAGCATCTGCGAGTTCCTGGTCCGTTACAGTCTGGTGAGTCCGCATTTGCTCCAGGGCCTCATCACTGATACTAATGCCCAACTGCTGCTCTGCTTCTGCCAACCATGTCCATAGCTTTCGCCATGTGGAGAATCGTTTTCTGGCTGAAAAAAGGTGCTTCACTTCATTGCTACAATAGCGCGTATTGAGCGGTGACTGGTACACATCAAATTCTGAAGACATGTTCCTCAAATATGTATCTTTTTTCTTTTCCCTTTTTTTAGGAATTGAGCTTGAGATCGTGTGTTGGAGGGGCGAAAGAATCTTTAGCACGGATAGGTACCTCTATAGTGGGCTGATTGCTAGTGAGCTAAAAACTACCCCTCCACTGATTACATCAGCAGTCCAAGAGGGCCTGGGGCACTAAACCCTAAAATGCCTCTTTGGGTTACTCCGTATCAGACTACACAACTCTTCCAATGCCAGAATTCGCAATGTTCATTCATTCTAACCCACATTTAAATCCAATAATTTCCATATGGAATGCTTTCATACCTCGTTTGCACATAAAAGTAGGGTCAATGGGCCAAAAAAAACCGCTCTTTTTTAACCGTCATATGGTAATCATAAAATCGAGCGTTAAATGAGCATTACATAACGGATCATTAACTCCAATGAGACAAAAATTGGAACTCCAAGAATGCCGTCTACCGAAACAATAACGCAGTTTGGGTACAGCATTCAATGATGGCGCTCACGCATGGTGACGATGGTTGTCCAGCCAGCACAGCAGCTTTTTTCCATTGGATGGCAGCACCAACAACATATAGTGGAATGATTCAAGGATGCTGGCCTCGGACTCAGACCGGGACGGACAGGCTTTATCGGCGCCTTTCCTTCTTTTACTCCAAGGCTTGTTCGAGATGAGCCGTCGCTTCCAATAAAGGACCCATGGAAGTCAGGAGGCGTGAGAGTATCTGTAGATCTTTGCGCTGAATCGGACACCAATCGTATCTGACTGGGAAAAGCCAATTTCGAATATGCCTGAGTGGTCATGTCGTGCCAATGTTTGCATTGACAACATATCACAAACATTTTTGCTATTTGCTGCCCCACTGTACGATTCAAACTAGACCCATTGGCTGTTGTGCCTATTTCTTGATGATAATTCAAAGAACTGGGAGTGGTGGAGATGTAATCCGACGCCGAACGCTTTTGAAAGTAGCTCGGGCTTGGGCTAGCAGCTGAGGGCTCCTTTGACGTACCATTTGCTAACTTCTTCCCTGTATTAGCCGATAGGCGAATCGACTGAATATCTGGAGATGGTATTGGTGTTGTTAACTGTGGAATATGTTTGTCCAGCTTAGAGTCAGCTTCTACAGTTGCTCGTTTGCGCAGTTTTTCCCTAGGGCCACTACTGGCTCGTAACTTTTGCAAAAGTTCGCTAGAATTTCTTTTTGGTGGCGGAGAATTAGCGAGTTCCGAAGATGCTGACGACGGTAAGGTATTGGGGCTGCTGGTTTTGTCAGAGGTATTACTTCTGCTCGTTTGAGTACTCAACGCGGCTGCAGCATCAGATGTTGATGGCACAGGAGCCGATCGTTGTTGTGCGTTGGAAATAACGCTCTCCTTCATAACCACCGGATCGGTGTCATTGTTACTTTCTTTTTTCTTTTGACCCAGAAGACGGGGAACAGAGAGTCCCTTGGCATCAAGATACTGCTGGAACGAATTGCGACGCGCCCGCCGGATAGGCTCCTTTGCGTGCTGCACATTTCCACTTTCTGCGGAAACTATTCGAGAATTTTCATCCCTTTTCATAAGAATTGGGGGACCAGAGAGGGGAGATGAGTGGAAATCAGTATCTTTGGAAGAGCTGGACGACGCTCGCATAGCCTGAGGCTTAGATACGCTAGGAGAGGCGATACCCACATCATAATGCGTGCTATCATGAGGCTGGGTGTCTGCTGCGAAGGCGATGTTGTCAAGGCCATTCCCGAGGTCGTTTGATGCCATTACTTTGGGAGAATCACCGTTTGGTTGAGTCTTTGATGGAGTGCCGAGGACTGCCGTTTCTTTGGGGCGCGACTTTGAAGTCGTTGGTGGCGTTTTACTACTACTTAAGGTATGCCCGGGTGAAAAATGCTGGGTGGGGCGTGCGTTTGCTGGCCCGGTGCTTAGCATTGTTGGCTGGGCCAATTCAGAGTCGCTGGTATCTTTTTTTCGGGCCGACTTCCCAATGGCCCTACCAGGCTCGTTCATAGGGCGTTTAGGGTTCGCTCCGGTGACGGCCCGAGAGCCTAAGGACGAGCGGTCTTGATCGTCATCACGAAGAAGATTTCTCTGCGATCTCCCTTCATCAGGATTATACAACGGGAATCGTACCTCTGGGATGGCGGTAGCTCGGGTCGGAGTTGTTCTTTCGATGCTGTCTCTCTGTAAGGTCCGATCATTATTTTGCGGCAATTGGCTCTGCTGAGCGCTATCATCCGTAATACCAAAGGCATTTGCGCTCGCTCGTAAATCAAAATGCTTTTTGACAGTATGGAGGGACCGACTGGGCGAGTCAAGAAATGGTTCGGAGTGGGCATTGCGAGGCAGTTCCGTGGAAGATTTTGGGGGTTTTGAAGACTTTCGAGGCCAGACATTGGGTAATTTTAACTTCCTCTCGCCACCAAAAGAGAACCTACGGCGTTTCTTTTGGGTGGTTTCCTCTTCATTCTCTTCGTTAACAGAGTTTGCCCTCGATGTTCTTCTAGACCATGAAGATATGAGAGACGACGCTGTGGATAACCGTTGGAACGTGCTATGGGCACTAGATGCTCTACTTGAAGCTGGAGGAGCACGCTTTTGTAGTCTTCGAGGTTCTCGTGAGTCAGATGTGGGTTTTTGTTTGGCCACCTGCTTCAATTTCTGCTTGAGCTCCCTTTGTTCCATATCTGATTTTCTTTTCTGTTCCCGCTTTTCACGCTTCTTCATCGCGGCTCGAGACCATGAGGGCGAGACGCAAATTTCCGAACTGATTGAGCGATGGTCATCATCCTTGGCGTTTGCGGTCGCGTTGCTTTCCCGTATTTGTTCCGTGCCATTGGAAGCGAGGACCTGGTCAATAGTAGCACCATATTCTGCAGTGGGAACTTCAACAATATTAGCTTAGTGATTCTGTTGAAGTGCTTTTCCAAGGTACCTTTTTGGCAGATAAGTTCGGCGTCTCTATACTTTGAACTCGGCGTCCTGGACATTGATCGAAAAGACATTGACCGGCCGGGGCCAGATTGTGGATTATGAACTACCTCTAGATGGTCTCGAGGTGGCTGTGGAGCTGTTAGGGGTTGAACAACATTCACGGGGAAGAATACTACCTTCAAAACAAGATCGGCGCGAAGGTCAAGTCTACTATTGGTAGAACTAGCAGTGTCATATACACTCTCGGCCAGATCTGATGCCGACTCCATGTTGTGCAGAGGAGGCATGCTGTAGGGTTTACCCCGATAATCGGGATCGGGCATAGAAGGCATTTCGTAGGTGACTACTGATAGCAGTAGTTGACGGTAATATAAGCAGGAACAGATGGAAACAGATCAAAGTAAGCCCACACTGGGCTATAACACAAATGAAAGAATGGGTGAGTGGTATAGAAATCAACGTCCTGGCAAAATGATTGAGATATAAAAGTGGGGCCCGGCGGCTATGAGGATGTCGGTAAACGAATCAAAATGGCGAAATTGCACAAGCGAGTGAGACTAGAATGGTAACGAAAAGGACCATCAACAATGTAGTAGTTATGTGTAGAGCCATAAAGAGATGACAAAGTTCCCTGTCAGCAAAGAGATTATTGGGGTTGTATCGTATAGTTCATGAGCCACATCTTGGGGAACGGTTGACACCTTCAACGGTAACTTAAATTGACAACTAAGGGAACAATATGTGGCAAAACCTGGGACGGGCCGGGGGAAAGGCAAAGTTCACTTAGAGATGAGCGATGTTGATGGAGGATCCCTATGGGGGGATAAGAAATGACGGGGTGGCTGGAAGGGTACGCTGTATACCCAGATGTCTTCACGTAAAGATTGGTCGCCCGTGTTGCCAAATGATCACCGGTAGATTGGCGCCGCGCATCACAAACACAGGGAAATTAGATGTGACATGAGGAAGGAAGAAACACAATGCATTCTGTGAGCTGGAGCGTTGAAATGCAGGTTAAAACGAAGATTTTCGGGGGGGGAGCAGAGAGGAGCGCAAAAGGCGTTATGGACAACGGGCAACCTTGTTTTGCCACACCACCAAAACCGCCAAGTCAGGCTCGCTGACTAAGCGAAATTGACTGGCGAGGTTTGCTGCAAACCGGTCGACTTGCCCCATCCGAGCGCATCGCCGAGTCCAAATTCTCCACTCGGATCTGGTGCGACGGACAGGTCGGCCTATAATAAGCCCGAGTGTGATGTACTCAAGCGGGTCTGTGACCTGTGGATGGCTGAGAAATCTTAAATCCAAGGCATTTTTTTTTATAGCTCATCTGGTTAAACGGACTCCACGTGAACACTAAACTAAAACAGGTAGTCTGCTAACCGGTTTTGGTTTCTGGCAGGTATTTGGGGGGGTTGGGGATACAAATTATATAATCCGGCTCGGCATTGCTAGTTATAGGCCGAACGGTTGTCCATTGGGTAGTTCAGAGCTTGAATAAGAGATACGTCTTCTGTCGAATCTTCTTTCGCGCGGAAGGCCGAGGGATCCTGCACCATGAAGCTAGCCGCACCAGAGGTAGCTATGTTGGCTTACCAGTCAGCTTTGCTTGCTAAATCGATCTGACCTTCGCTTTTATATTTTACTACTACTCCGTAGGGCGCACATTCCAATCCTTCCACAGACTATGAACATTGTTTTGTCGGGCGCTGCTGCGTAGTGTTCTAAATACTCCGTACTTACCTATAAGCTGCGACTACTACGTTGATTGGTTAGTTTTCCTTGCTAGTGCCTGGTTGAAATTGCTCGGTCGGCTTCAAAATAAGCACGAAACTTGCCTGCATTATTTGGGCGAAGAGCTCTTTCTGGCATCGCACCCTTCATCGAAACTTGATACGGAGCGGCTCGCGATATTTTATTTCAAACGAAGTCCTTCGGGTGGACCTCAAATGGATATAGCTCTACGTATCCGTATCGGACATTTAAGCGCGCCGTGAAGGCTTTGCCAGGTTTCAAAGAGTACGGCATTGTACAAGGACGCTATGGCAACTGTTATAATATTTGAAGATAGCTCAGGCTTCGAAGATAATATGGCATGAAAGCTACTCTCAACATCCCAAAATTCAAACCTGGACTCGGCTCCGAGTAGTTAAGCCTGTAAATACAGCATCAACATGGAAGAAACTGAGCTGGACCCTACAGTTATGGCGATCTCGTACAATTCAGGTTCCGTCCCCTCATAGGGGAAGTATTGTGATAGTTCTGGGGGCTGATCTATGGGAACCTTATACCTGATTTATCTACCTATGAGCCCGGAATTGCATTCAATTTAACATCAATTAACTTATCATCGCAAGCTTCAAGCAACACAAGTCAACCAGGATTTATGACTTACTATCATATTAAAGAGAGAATTATAGAAGAACTTAAAGTTTTTATCTGTATGATCAAACGCACAGTGCACCGTCGCCATACCTTATTGCCATGTGGTTGAAAGTTTGCTGAAAAGGGGGCTCTCATTAGGACCTTGTGTCATAGGGTTCTAATTTTAGTAGGATGGTTGTCCTACCCAAATCTCTAGCTGTCTGGCCCGGTCTTCCAGTCGAGCTAAACGCGACCGCTTGAAGTTATCATTCATCGTTTCTACAATAAGAACACGTGGTGTAATTGAACTGTCCTCAAAGCTGGATACTGGGTGAAACTTTGCATGAATTAACGTAAGACCGCAGGTTCGAAAGGCTGTGCGACATACAGCACCTGTCAGCAATATAACGCCTCTCTTTACAACGATGCTCCTGATTTGCCCTTTGGACTTGATGATAGTCTGTTTTGTACTCTGGTGTGCTAGATATCATTATCCTATACGCCCGTAGGCCGTCATTTTGGCGGAGTAGCTAAATTCTCTCACGTCCTACCCATCGAGACTTTTATTTCTGTCCTCGTCACTACGTATAGGTCGTACTCGGGTCAAACGATATATTGGTGTCACCATTTAGTTACACATGTTTGACAATTTGTAGCGTATTACCTAGTTAGCTGGCAAGCCTCTTGTCCTACTTCGAGGGGCTAGACAGCCGGCCAGTCTTAAGTTTTGATTACCTTGGTGATACAGGGGCGCCAGGTACATGCCGACAAAAAGGAAAACAGCCTGTTTCTATCTTGTTTTCCTACAAAGATTTGTAGCGATATTTTACTTTGTAGTTGCTCGGCATATATGACATGCGTGTACGAAGTAAGCGTGTTGTAATGTGCTGATTGTATAATACTGCTTCTAGACAATCATTTTAATATTTATACTAACTAGGTACTAGTTATGTGATAGTTATATTATATCTATGGCTGTTGCCTCCTTTGACCTTGATCTCCTTTTGAAAATCAATCAATTGAGCATGGATCTCTCGAGCGTTCTTCCACCCATAAAAAAACGCTTATGATCTGGCAAGCTCAACCATATTGCCTTAGTGTTCAAAGCCTTGGTCTTAAAGTCAATTTAAAAAGAATTTGGCTGATCAGCCCTATCAATGCTTCTTTTACTCTTGTCAATATGAGGGGCATAATAAGAGTACTGGGCTATGCAAAGTATAGATACTTAATACGGTAAAAGGCTATAATACTACTGAACATGTCGTGTTACTGGTGACATCATTGGCCGCGCGCGAGTGGAACCTTCCGCACTAACTAGACAAGGAGTGGGGCCTCCAGTTTGAGTGACGTTTTCGATTAACAAGAATCATAAATTCGACCCTGATCGTCTTTCTGCTCTGTCTTCTTAGCAAGACACAGCATTCTACAGTCACATCTCTACCTTCAACACCCTGATGAACGAATCTATTGGCAGCCCGCCGCCTCAAAGTCAGTTTGGTTCCTGGCTGCATACGAGATCAGAAAACTTCCGGGGTTCGCAAGACCCTACCCTCCCCACGATAGAGCCTCACTCCTTCAATAATGCGTCGGGTGGCTATTACCGGCATTCAAGGGCGGATACAGCCAAGGCGCCCCCTGACCGAGAGGAATGTCTTGATGCCTCCACCTCTGACCTCCCTCCACCAGTACAGCCAAGAGATAATATCACGCGGGAAAATAAGGGGACTGCCCCCGTAACAAGTACACGGCAGCTACCTATTATGCAACGAATATGGAGCCCTCTGAAAATTATACTTACCTCAAGTTGGATCAATGTCTTGCTCGTTTTTGTACCAGTGGGCATTGCTCTTGGCGTTCTCCATCGAAGGCAAAAGGCAAACAGTTCGATCAACCCTGTTGTCGTATTTACGATCAACGCCGTGGGAATCATTCCATTGGCCTATTTACTTGGATTTGCAACCGAAAATGTTGCAAGAAAAATGGGTGACAAAGTTGGGGCACTGCTTAACGTCACTTTCGGTAATGCTGTGGAGTTAATTATCTTGTATGACTTCTCCATTTAAACTGTGAACCTCACCTACTGACGTTATTCCTAGCATGTATGTCGAGTTATTCTTTTGTGCGAGTATTAACCCATGGGTCGACTCACAGCCCTTTTAGGAGACCATGCTAATACTAGATTTCGACTGGCAGACTTGCATTAGTAGCTGTATAAATTCCTACTATTTACTTGCTATATTGTTGTTTGACCGGTGTATAGAAAGAAGTGCGCATCGTCCAAGCCTCTCTCCTTGGGTCTATCCTAGCAAATTTGTTATTGATCCTTGGAATGTGTTTCTTGTTCGGGGGCTTAAGATTTCGGGAACAAGTGGGCTGGAAGCATCCTTAATTTATTCCGTCAAGCTTACCATGATTATAGCTGTACAACCCCGCCATCACTCAGATGAGCGCTTGCCTTCTCAGTCTGAGTGTGATGAGTCTTCTACTTCCAGTATGCTTCCCAGAGGATATTTTATAATTTGTATTAACAGCTTTTTAGACTGCATTTCACGCTTCATTTAGTGACTTGGCAGCCGCTGATAAAGCCGTTCTTCAAGTAAGCAGGGGCACGAGTGTCGTAAGCGAATCTATACCTATCTTTTCTTATTTTCTTTTAACTCTAACTAGATATTACTTCTTGTCTACGTACTTTACCTACTATTCCAGTTGAAGTCTCATGCATACATTTATGAGAGCACTCCACAACACAAAATTGACGAGGAGTCACATCCTGGCGTTTTGGCAGAGATGTTGAATTCCAGTGGCTCCTCTGAGTCCAGCTCTACAAGTGGAAGCGATACAGATGGCTCTTCTGGATCTCATAACACTGTGAAACGAATTAGGAAAGCTATTAAAAAGAGAAGGCGACGTAAGTCAAGCACATGCTCTAAAGTGCCCCAATCACCATCGCTGGGGCTCTCCTTAGTTCGTTCTCGGTCGTCTACTTCAAACGTGGGTTCACGATTAGCGCAAGGCGCCTCACTTGTATCAACTGACTATACCGCCGCCATACCATGCAGCAGCGATGACGCCGAGCATGAACTTAGACCATCTTTTGAGCGATATCCAGGCGTGGCTACTCGTGATTTTGAAACTAATGGGGCGCCTGAGGGGTCTGGTACACGGAATCAAAAACACAAGAAATGCTTGAAAACTCCGCGAAAATCCAAACGGAATAAGAATACTTTACTGGAAAGAAATAAAGAGATTCAACTTACTGGAAATGCAAACCCCAACGTTCAGTTTACGGATCCCACTTCTGTTACTGAACTTTCCGAAAAAAGGCCATTCAATTTGCGCCCAAAACCTCAGGGGAGACTGTTCTCACGGATGTTACCGGCCTTGCAAACTAGGCCTATCTCTATAAATGAGCTAAACCAGAGGCCATCTTTAAGTCGTAATGTCACCCAGCGCGTTCTACGCCGCACCACTTCATTACCTGACCGCTTAAATCACTCGTCCAACCTGTCTGCTCGGCCTGTTCCATACATTATACCTATTAACCCGCCTAACGAGGTTTCCAATGAAGATTCTGAGCTAGAGGAAAATCCACATCTCTCGCGAATAGTATCTGTGATTCTCCTGGTTATCTCCACGGGACTTGTGGCGGCCTGTGCAGAATTTCTTGTGAACAGCATCGACTACCTCGTTAAGAATACAGGTATCAGCCAAGCCTTCATAGGTCTTATCATTATACCGATTGTTGGTAATGCTGCTGAGCATGCTACAGCAGTAGCTATGGCCAGCAAGAACAAGATGGATCTGGCTATTGGTGTCGCTCTCGGCAGCAGTATCCAAATCGCTCTATTTGTCACACCAATCATCGTCTTGCTTGGTTGGTGCTTGCGCACTGAGATGTCCCTTTATTTCAGCCTTTTTGAAACTGTTTCTTTATTTGCCTCGGCGTTTATCGCCAACTATCTCATGCTTGATGGGCGAACAAATTACTTGGAGGGCGCTTTATTGATTGCTGCCTATGTGATCATCTCTGTCGGGGCATTCTTTTTCCCTTCATGTAGAGATTTAAATTCTGCTAGCAATCCACCAGACCCTAGGGTGTGCTAATCCGTTTAATCGACGGAAGTACTCTCTGTTCTTTTGTTGCTCAGTCTTTGGGATACTTATTATCACTGTTCTTACTTCCTCTTCAGTGGGACAGCAGAAAGAAATACTGATTACAGTCCAGAAAACTGAGTACAATTATGTGTTATTATGATTTTTTCAGATACTGGTCAATAAGGACGAGAATCTAGCATGGGCAAGGTGTGTATGTATCAACATTTAAAGCCTAGGACCATCAGAATAAATCTAGTTATATAAGGAGTAGGTAATAACTAATTAAAACATCAAAGTAGGAAGATCCAAATTTCGGAATATCGAGATCCTAGCTGTGATAAACTGAGATAAAAACGAAGACCATTTATTCCCCATCCAAAAATTTAATATGTGCCCAAATACTCCGTTGCCCACCATAATGGCACAAAGATACTCCGTACAGAGTGGCGCAAGTATAAAGTAGCCACCCAACTGCACTTCTCTATTATAGCTCACGTATATAAGTCCCCCATGGTGAATGCTGCAGCTCCTGTAAAAATGGCATCGTCATCACCACTGGCTGCTCACTGATGCCAGGAGCGCTGCATCAACATCATGTTTGCGAATCCCGGGTGCACGGCCAAGGCATACGCACCTAGTGACCAGTTCTAAATAAGGATAATTAGATAATTTTAACAAAGACGTTGTTCTGTGTTCCAACAACCCAGTAAAGAAGAGAGAAAAGAAAAACGGGGGCTTACGTGTGATGAAGTTATCGACGTCTAATATTAAGGAGGGCTGTTTATCCGGCGTCTGGTAACTATCTGAAGAGATATTTGTGGTCGGGGGTGAAATGGCGCCGAATCTGAACGTGGGGTCCTGTGGCAGGCCCAGAAGATCCATCATCTGGGAGCAGACTTCATTCTGGAAAGGATAGTATGCTGGGTTTGTAGTCGCCGCCGCCAATGAATAGTTAGGTTGCGGATCTATATCGGGAACGTCCGAGTAAAGCGGTTGTGGATCCAGGGATCCAGCTGATGAACGTGTAGATGGAGAACTGATACTGGAGGTATATCCAGGAACAGCTGATTGGGGTATGCGAAGGAAGGTAGCTCGACTGTGTATAACGATCCCTTTTTCAATAAGATAGCCTTCAACATCACGGCAGTCGAACCAATCACCGCCAAATCCATTTGCATCGACCAGCTCCTCTACGCTCTTGCACTGATGTGGCTTCTCCACGTTGTTAAACGCGAAGGGCCCAAATGCTCGTTCAGGAGGATGCATATTTGGGGGAAATATAACGTTGCCAAATTCGTCCTGCCGTGGGTAGTGCATGCCAGCATTTCCAATATAAAAGAAAGGTTTGCTCCAAACTTCTAAAGATTCCCCAGCTTTCCTGTCAAGGATAGAACGAAAGACCAGGGCCAATCGCTCCCGCGTTGCGATGCCGAATGTGAAACGGAAGGTATAGTTCAAGTGATTAGGGTTGCAGTTCGGATTGACCAGCGAGGCGTAGCCCATTTCAAGACATCGACGGTGCAGACGCCGGGAAAAGCACAACTCTTGAAAACTGTACGTATACCTTCGACAGATGCTTGGCTCATGAGGTATAGACATTGAATTTGATAGCAGAAATTGAAGCTCCTGCTCCTGTAGAAACCTGTAATCAAGGTACGTATTAGGATCTCTAACGTCTAGGGAAGGAAAAGCTACTGTTGTGCTTTGAGGCTCAGGCGCGGAGTCAGGCAAGAACGGTTGCTGAACGGCAGTCCTTATTCCATGAGGGGTCACAAGGACATCGCTAGGGTTTGTTGACGAATTATCCATAGGAAGGGTAGGTGGAGGCTGTTGAATTGGGGGATTTTCAACTGGTAATTGAATATCTTGAATTTCTTCTTGTTGCTCTTGTGACTCGTCATCCGAGCTGCGCGAGACATCTGATGCGAGGTCAAGAAAGGACTGTGTAGTTTCACGTAACCGCTGCGCAAGTTGCGGATGTGTGGAAACAACGCCAGATTCAAGAGCAATATCGTGAAAGGAAAGAAATCTTTTGTTCATTTCATCGATGGTAGCTTCTAGTTGTCTCACTCGATCGTTGAGAGTTGTGATAACGGCTTCCTTTCGCAGTCTATACGCTCGCTGTGCGAGACGTATTTGCGTCCGCCGGCGCTGATACCTAGGTGAGTACAGAAATCGCTAAAGGGGAGAGGAAAGAAGCGTACTTCGGCAGCTGTTTCGTCTCCTGTGTGTACTCTCGGCCGGCCTCGTTTCCTGGATCCTTGATTTACTTCCGGGTTTGCTTCAGGTTTCGACTTAGATTTGGAGTTTTTCTTGGGAGGCGCTCTTTTCCTCCCTTGATTGGAGGCCAATTGGTGTTCTTCTTCCTTAACGACATTTTGGAGACCATAGACAGAGCCACCAAGCGGCGCAAGTTCGTCCACTACCCCCAACAATGACGCTCCACCCGATGCTGGGTATGAAAAAGGAGGAGGTACACCAGGGAAAGCATCCGTTGATAGGATATCCAGAGTCCATGGTGACGGGAGATTTGAAGTCATGGTGGCGAAATAGATCACTTTGTGACAGCGCAGCTAAGACGCCACAGGCGGCATGCTACTGATTCGTACAAGATATTGAATCAAGAATGATGTCTTCCCTTCTGCTCTAGACATGCATTTATAGATCAATATAAAAGTAGGTATTTGGATATTCCTGTGCAATCAAGCACACATAAACTCATGTCAAAGAATTGGGCTCATAAGAAAGTGACATTAGGTATAGAAAGGTCCAAAGATGGCCCGCCAGTAAGAATCGGCGAGGTCTCTACTTGGACTGCTGGGATGTTAAGAACCACGATATCCCAGCGGCTTGGGATGTGAGGTTCAACGGAAAACGGCCACGCATGAATTTGTCAGCGGCAGAAAGGCGGCGTTAGTTAGTTAACCTCCAGGCAGCCACCAAGAAACACAGACTCACCATTGGACTAGCCGGTGATACAAACTCCACCACTTGCTGTTTTAACACGCCACAACTTTACCCCAACAGGCGCGCGTGCTTGAACGAGTGGTTGTTGGTTCGCTGACTAATTGCCACCCCCTATTAGCAAAGGGCATTGCTTACAAAGCCTATGTAGCGGCTAGCACACAATAATAGCACAGCAGCCCGGGTAGCTCAGTCGGTAGAGCATGAGGCTTTTAACCTCAGGGTCCAGAGTTCGAGCCTCTGCTCGGGCGCACTTTCCTTTTTTGGCCAAACAGTAGACACAACATATGTATGACTAACTTCTTCTGTTGTTTCTCTCTTTATATATTTTTCGTTTACCCCGTACATGAGTTTCAGCGAGGCATTCCACACGACAGGCTCAAAAAACAAGAGATTGTCTTTCAATTACAGCCATGTGATATTAAAACTTTCTATACAAGAAAAGGGCTCTTATAGATAATACAGCTGATAATCCCATGCATTTGCTACTACCACTCTTTTACTTCACCAGCTTTCGGAGGCTCTATTCTTACAACTTTATCGCAATTAAGAAGGGACAATGGATCGAGAGCTTGTTTGATCTATAAAACGAGAGTCAGCAGATAGAATCTACGATGGTAACTTATAAAGGAACACACCTTTCGCATCGCGTCGATCGTAGAATCACCAAGCTCATGAGGGAGATAATCACGCTTGATAAGGCCAACACCATGTTCACCAGTCACAGTGCCTTCCATTTCAACTGCCCGTTTGACCATTCGGTGGACAACTCCTTCAGCTACCTCACGTTCACTGTCATTGAAAAGTAAGATCGCTGGTAACTCACATGTTAGTAATGATGTATTGAAGTGCTACTAGAGCCAGGAACATACTGTGAAAGTTGCCGTCGCCCACATGTCCACAAATACCCCCCAGCAATCCGTGCTTCGTAATATCTTCTTTTGTCTGCTCAATGATATCGGGCAGCCTGCTAATTGGCACCGCAACATCAGTGGTCCAGACACGGTCGTTCGGATCTCGTCTCATTGCCATGACGCTCCATAATGCTTCTTTCCTCGCACTCCATAGCTCGTGGATCTCGTCTTGCCCTTGGGCAAATTCGAACGATTGGCCTTTTGTATCCTTTGCAATTTTCTGAACGATTTTAATTTGCTCCTTTACCCCAGCGGGAGTCCCTGTAAATTTAAAAAAAATAGTGGGCGATTCTTTCCATGACCGCCTTGTTGTCTTGCTATCATTAATGCACTTCATTTGGACGTCGTCTAGTATTTCAACACCCGCAACTTGGATACCTTCACTGACCACCCTTGCAACGCATTCAGCTGCGCTATGAATTGATGGGAAAGATGCAACTGCAACGCTTTCGCCCTTAGGCTTTGGTGTGAGTTTCAAGGTGGCTTCTGTTACTAGACCAAGTGTTCCTTCACTACCAACAAACAATTTCGTCAGATCGTATCCGGCGCTGGACTTTCGAGGGCGCTGCCTTGTTTTGATAACAGTACCATCCGCGAGAACAACTGTCAAAGACAAAACCCATTCGCGCATTGTCCCATACCGATAAGCATTTGTTCCAGAACAACCAGTTCCAACCATGCCGCCGATTTGCGCTCCTGGGCCAGGGTCTGGAGGAAAGAAGAGGTCATGTTTGGCAAGCTCTTCGTTCAAATCTTCCCATCCGACAGCCGGTTGTACTACCACGTCCAAATCATTCTCATGGATTGCTAATATCTGGCCCATACGGTGGAAGTCAATACACACACCACCTCGCGTGGGAGAAAAGTGGCCCTCCAAGCTAGTGCCGCCCGAAAATGGCGTGACTGGAATTTTTCTGTCGTGACAGATCTTCATTATACGCGAGACTTCTTCCGTTGTTGAGGGGAATACAACTAGGAATGGCTTCTCGCTGGCTTTCGCGGTGTAAGACGACCAGTCTGAGCCAGAGTGGGTATCCAAGTCAACCTTTTCCGTCGAGACATTTTCTTTGCCCACGATCTGAACAAAATCCGACCAAGCTGCTTGGAGATTCGCCGGCGAGGTGTCGTGCTCGGGCTTCTGGGCCGTGTGGAGTGGAGTAGTAGACGATTCTGGCAGCGCGGCTGGTCGTAAAGATCCTAGATAGTAGCATCCAAGGGCCGTTACAAGAACGGCTGCAGGACTATTAGTCTAGCTAACTGTCTCAATTCCAACAAATATAGACGTACATATCGTAATTGCAGTGTTCCGTAAGGCAGGAGATTCTTTTTGCATCCGCGCATACCGATCGAGGTCTGCGCGCTCACGCTGGATTCTTTGCTGGGTGCTCTCGTACAATTGGCCTTTGAATGTTGGCCGCTCTTCTGCTCTGGCGCATGTCGTTTGAAATGGCCTCTTTGGCGTAGCTCCACGCTTAGGTATAGAGCCGTAGGTGGTGGAGATGCGTCGCGCAGCTTTCGAAGCTGCACTTCGCGAGCCGAACATGACGTGCGGAGAGGCCGGACTTGGCCAGGACAAAAGGTTCACCAGTTGTCAATGCAACTCAGGCGCTGTCCTTGGTGTTTGGTGTTTTGCTCAGGAAGATTAAACGCAGAGTGGGAGTGGAGCTTGCAGGGTGGATGGGTGGATGGATATTTTGAATATTTCCAGAGCTTGTCTCCGCGCTCCGCTCGCCCTTTTTTGTTACCGACGGACCAAACGGGGGGGGCGGCTAAGGACCTAACTACAGCCTACAATGCCATCTTTTCGCACGAGAGCGAGAGAGAGAGAGAGAGAGAGTGTGTGTGTGTGTGTGTATGTATGGGTGTGTCCAACTAACTAATCGAAGACCGTGATCCATTATGTATGTACGCCAACAGTACCTGCCTGCATGCTTTGTGTCGGGTGCTTCCGCGGACAAAGCATCCATGCTTGGCGACGAGGCATCAATGCAATCCTACGAGTCTACAACTCCTGACAGCCGACGGACAAGCGCAACCCCATCACGCGGCTCGAATCGACGTCTAAAGCTCAGGTGTGATCGGGGCGTCCCATGGTAAGGAAGTGATCGTCTGCCTATTCCGATGGCCGCCCCCAACCAGCCCGCCCCCAGCTCCACGGACCTTCCGTGTTGCCTGTCGCAGGCTTCCTCCAGAACTGCCACGGCCTCGCGGCATGAGCAATCCCTGACTGTGCCTTGCAATGGTTCGGTAGAAATACGGCTTGCCATCCAACCATGTAAGCAAGAACTCTCGAGCCTGATCTGAAGCGTCCTTTTTTTTTGAATGCGAATTGTTTTGCACCCCCGCAAAAGAGAAGCAAGCAGTCATGGATTCACCAAACGTCTCAGATTCAAGACTAGCAGAGCCGGAAATGCGGTCCCAAATCCAGAATGAACGAGCAGTGTCGCCCAACGTCGTGCCGGAAGGCCCTCGGCCCCTCATTGCTACACCTATTGAAAAGAATTGGGAGTTCAAAAAAGACAATAACAGCAATACTAGGTTTCGTCCGGTCTCCCAGTTTCCGACAAATATCCATCTGGATCTTATGCACCACGGGATCATCACAGACCCATTTATTGCGACAAACGAAGAAACAGTGCAGTGGGTTGGGTTGGAGTCATGGGTGTACAGAACCACTTTCAAATGTCCAAATCTGACCAGACTTGAAAAGGCTCTTCTTTCATTTGAGGGCCTGGATACATTCGCTACAATAAAGCTAAATGGTTCCCAAATCCTATCCACGGAGAATATGTTCTTGCCATTAAAGGTCGATATTACCGACAGAGTCTTCACGGGAGATGCTGACAATGAGCTACAAATATTTTTCAAGAGTGCTTTCCAACAAGGGAGGGAGATTCAGGAAGAGCATCCTCAGCATAAATGGGGCTGCTGGAATGGCGATCCAAGCCGATGTGCTGTCAGGAAAGCCCAGTACCATTACGTGAGCCGCCATATTTACAGATATGTGCTGTTGTTCTAACTTGAGTGCGTTAGGGATGGGATTGGGGACCGTGTCTCATAACATGTGGCCCTTGGAAACCAATTTACCTTGAAATTTTCACAGCCCGTATCAGTGACTTGCATGTTCATAGTACTGTCGACGAATCCCTTCGGCATGCCCAAGTGAAAGTAGATGTCGAAGTCGATGGAAATTGGGAGACAGTAGTTATCCAACTACTTCTCGATGGTGTTCTTGAAGCTGAAGAGACGCGAAATATCTCATTCAACCCCGCATTGGCAACATTTCATATTGAGAACCCAGAACTCTGGTATCCCATCCATTATGGTAAGCAGCGGATGTACACTGTCGTTGCAACATTATATGGGGGTGGCTCGAAGCTGGACAGCTGTACTAAGCGGATCGGACTCCGTCGAGCTCAAGTGATTCAAAGACCCTTGAGCGACAAACATTCCTCTGGGAAAACTTTCTTCTTTGAGATCAATAATACCCCTATCTTTTGTGGTGGCAGTAATTGGATTCCAGCGGATTCTTTCCTCCCTCGGATATCTTCAGAAAAGTATCGAGCGTGGTTGAATCTAATCGCGGGCGGGAATCAAAATATGGTTAGAGTCTGGGGAGGTGGAATTTACGAAGCGGACATTTTCTATGAACTATGTGATGAGCTAGGATTGCTCGTCTGGCAAGATTTCATGTTTGCATGCGGAAATTACCCGGCTCATTTGTCATTCCTGAAGAATGTGGAGCGCGAGGCCATAGCCAATGTCAAGCGTTTGAGACATCATCCATCTATCATCATTTGGGCGGGCAACAACGAGGACTACCAGTATGCGGAGAGTGAAAACTTGGGCTACGATCCGAGTGATCAAAAGCGAGAAAACTGGCTAGGCTCTACATTTCCGGCCAGGTATATTTATGAGGAGCTCCTGTTAAATGTCATGCATAAACATGCCCCTGGCACCTATTATCACTTTGGATCGCCATGGGGTGGTGAAAATTCTAGAGATTCACAAAACGGAGATATCCATCAATGGAATGGTATGGCATCCGCTATTCTCTTTACAGTGCATTCGTATGCTAATGCTTACCTTGTAGTCTGGCATGGTACCCAGGAAAAATATCAAAACTTTGATAAACTGTCTGGCCGGTTTGTCTCAGAGTTTGGTATGCAGGCGTTTCCAAATATAAAAACTATTGACTCTTATCTTTTACATCAGGAGCATGATGTCGATAGATATGCCCAGTCCAAAACAATTGATTTTCACAACAAAGCTGCTGGACATGAGCGGCGTTTGGCTACATACCTTGTTGAAAATTTTAGATATCGATTTGAGCCGCTTGAGAAGTATATTAACTATACCCAGGCGATGCAAGCAGACTGCTTAGCCACTGCATATAGATTGTGGAGGCGTGAGTGGAAAGGTCCAGGGCAAGAATATTGTGCCGGAGCTTTGGTGTGGCAAATGAACGACTCGTGGCCCGGGACATCTTGGGCCATTGTCGATTACTATTTTCGGCCAAAACATGCTTACTATGCCGTGAAACGCGAACTACAACCGGTCATCATTGGTGTTAAACGTTCTGTTTCAGCACCATCGCCTGGCGAGCTACCCTCCGGAAAATGGACTCGAATTATCGACATTTGGGCCTCTAATTTTGAACTGAATACTAAAGAGGTTCAAGTCGTTGTCAAAGTGTTTGATGTTCTTACGGGGAAAAAAATTTTATCGTCAATCATCCTTAATCACCTTGTGCTGCAGCAAAACCGTGCTGTGGAAATAACGCAGTTTGACTTGCGTACAGTAGTTCCAGATACATGTGACGATGAACTTCGTCTGGTGGTTGCTGTCTACCTTTTGGAAAACGAGAAGATAATCGCTCGACATATCAACTGGCCAGAACCAGTGAAGTACGTTCAATTGCAGGCGGCAAAAGTTGACATGAAGCTCTGCGGGGATAATGATCAAATAGAGCTACGAACGGACCTACCGGTAAAGGGCTTGACACTCTCTAGTGTGGATAAAGAAGTGGTGTTTGAGGACAATTACGTTGATCTTGTCCCTGAGGACCCTGTTTATATTGGAGTTTGTGGAGTGAAGGAGGGTGAAGACTGCCTGGTAAAACATTTCATGCTCAATTAATAGAGCCTTCCTGGGCTATGTAGGTTGGAGTTTTATTGGTTTAAGCGCTCACCCGTGTGCCGTTATACATATGTAGATTCAAGGGCGTGATCTGGAGGAGCCGCCCATATATGTGTAAATGTCCCAGCGATTGGTGTCACCCAAGAAATTGTTAGAAAATATTCACTATCTGTTTTGCTTTCTCCATCGGATACACACCCTTCCGAATTCTTGGCTGTATGGACGGGCTCTCTGGCAGCTGGCTCGGCCTGAAGTTAGGCGGGAACTACAAGACTCGTCCCACTTCCCCGCAACGGCATCCCTTGTATGGCGACGAGAGAAACGGGATTGTCGCCATTTTAATTTGCTTTAGCAGTGAAGTAGTTTTCATATAACTAATCGAATACTTTTCTTCTTCTCCAGACTACCAGGCTCTCCAACTCTAGCCTCCAAGCGAAACAATGAGCTCTGAGGTGAGTGACATCATGTGGAGAAGCCCCAGCTTTTCAACACCAGCGTTGGAGTTCGACTTCGCAGCACACAACCTCTTGCTGACTAGGGTCTATCAATATTCAAAGAACTTATCTTTTGTCCTAGAGGGCATTAGAAAGGTCAAATTTGAAGATCGACCCATCCCCACGTTGAAACACCCTCATGATGTTCTCGTCCATGTAAGATACACTGGAATCTGTGGCAGCGATGTAGGTACATACTCCTCCCTCTCAGCTAGGTTTTTTCTTCTGGCTAAACGACATGTAACTAGGTCCACTACTGGGATCGTGGCTCCATTGGCGACTTTACTCTAAAGTCCCCCATGGTCCTTGGCCACGAGTCCAGTGGGGTTGTCGTGGAGGTCGGCTCGGCCGTCAAAGCGCTTAAACCTGGCGACCAAGTTACCCTTGAACCAGGCATCCCATGTCGACGATGCGACTACTGCAAGAGTGGTAAGTACAATCTGTGCGATGGCATGGTCTTTGCTGCCACGCCACCGTACGATGGGACTCTTGCGAAGTACTACGTTTTGCCAGAGGATTTTTGCTATAAAGTTCCACCGGGTATGGATTTACGAGAGGCGGCACTAATGGAGCCGCTCAGCGTTGCTGTGCATCTCACTAAGCAGGGGGGAGTCACGCCGGGCGACCAGGTGATTGTTTTCGGTGCTGGACCTGTCGGACTGCTCTGCTGTGCGGTCGCGAGAGCGTTTGGGGCATTAAAGGTCATCGCCGTAGATATTCAGCAGCATCGATTGGATTTTGCAAAACAGTATGCTGCCACGGGTATCTTTTTACCCGAGTCGTCTTGTTCCCAGGCTGAGAATGCCCAGAAGATGAATGAGCAATTTGATCTCGGTCGGGGAGCCGATGTCGTGATTGATGCATCCGGGGCTGAAGCCTCAGCTCACACGGGGATCCACGCTTTGAGGACCGGTGGTACGTATGTGCAGGGTGGTATGGGGCCAGATGAGTTCATATTTCCGATCACGAGAGTTTGCACAAGGGAAATAACTGTGAGAGGGAGTTTTCGATACGGTAGTGGGGATTATCGGCTAGCCTTAGACCTTGTTGCATCTGGGAAGATCAGTGTTAAGGAATTAATCACAAGAGTTGTGGATTTCAAGGATGCTGAACTAGCAATTCTTGAGGTTAAGGCAGGCAAAGGCATCAAGACTCTAATCGCTGGCGTGGAAAACTAGATTCCAAACCCAGGGATAGATACAAAAGTGATAGTAAAGAATACAACAATATGGGCATCCTCATGGCTCTGAGTGCAATGTATGTGGCTGGGGAGTGAGTATCATTAACAATTAAAGGTGTTGGCATCATCTGCCAGTGCGTCGGGCAAATAGGCTAATGAACGCCAGGGGAACAAACACATGTACTGAGAATGTGCAAAATAATACCAAATATTAACAGTGGAAACGCCTTCATCATCAACCCGGAATGCAGGCTAAAGTGAATGTAATGGGTATCATTCCAGAAAGAGGCAAATAGATAGTCGGGACTCATAGAGAAATTCAAAAAAAAATGGCGTGGAATTGGGAGATCATAGTTGTATCCAGTTTCCAGAGCGCGAGAAATGGGGCATAAAGGAGAGTAGCGGCTTCAGCAGCATCCTCTTCGCCTACCGGAGCTGCTCAGCCTGAAGACATCCTCCCATTCTCGTATTCCAGACGACCTGCCGCCTACTTTGCGGCCTTTTCGAAGCTGCACATAGGAATCGTCGACGGTAATTCCGCTTCGAATACTTCCGCCGTCACTAGTGCTCATCCCAAACATATCCCCGTACTGAATTCCACTCTGCGGGTCATCTGGGTCTATTTCACCAAGTTCGATCTTAGTGAGAATTATTCTTGCTAAACGGTTAAACAGCTCCTCTACACAATCACCAGAAAGTGCCGATACCTCCACAGCGACGGGAATATTATTTCTCGCAGCCCACCGCGAGGCCTCCTCCAGGGAGACCTCACGACCTTCTGGCGACTCCGTAGCAGTCATTCTCGTTCCAACTGCAGGGGTAGTTGTTGAGCGAAAAGAGCCACAACCAAGATCAGCTGGGAAGGGCGACTGTTTGCTGGACGTACTTGACGGCGTCGCCGGTATTTTGACCCCATCCTCCCAGTCGTCTCCGTTTATCATATGGTCAGTTATTAAGTCGCTCTTATTTCCGGCAAGCAATACCGTTAAATTTGGGGAAGCTAGGGCGCGCGCATCAAGGAGAAAGGTAGGGAGAGCCTTGAAAGAAGCGAGGGAGGCGACATCGTATATTAAAATGGCGCCAGCCGCACCCCGATAGTATGAGCGTGAGACAGAGCGAAAGCGTTCCGTTCCCGCAGTATCCCAGAGCTGGAGCTTAATCCTTTTTCTTCGCGATCCACTCCCAACCTTAACAATCTTCGAGGAGAATTCAACGCCTATAGTCTGGGATGATAGGACTCTCCCTATTCAGAATCTTAGCAGTGATATTCATAAAAGTTTACCCGTGTAAGATTCAGGAACAAGAAACATACACTCGTTCTTTACAAATCTATGTAGCAAGCAGGACCTATTCTGACAGTTAGTGCCCCTCCAGACCAACATGGGTACCAGCAGAGACAAGAAGACGAACTTTCCGGCACCGCTTGGGCCTAAGAGAATAACCTTTGCCAGGTAGTCATACATACTCCCCAGTTCCTGAGCCGGGCGGAATTCAAAGGTCAACCGACGGTGATAGTGGAGGGTTGGGTACATGGACTTACCTGGTTCTGGTCAGGAAGGGATGATTGGGAGGAGGCATTTGAGATATTTCTCTGGCGCGCCATGGCACGAAAACAAGGGAAATGTGTTACTCGCGCATCTGCAGGCTCATGTTCAGCAGTGCACTGGACGGAAGGTCATTGTTGCATCTGTGCCACACCGGCTGATGGTTAAGTTAGTTGGTTAGTTACATGGTTTGGGGGTGGGCGGCTAGTTAGTTAACTAGCGAACGTCCGCGGCTAATTTAACTAGTTAGTTAACTAACTATGTAGCTCGACTCCACTGGGCGACTACCTATCAACTTCATACAATCAAGACTTTGCATTTCTTTATGATACATATGGAGTACTCGATTAGAATATACATATAAATCGCTGATTTGCCCAAAAGAAATTAAATGATTCCTAGTTACCCTTAGGCCCGTATGTCCGAAACGCCCCTTAACCAGCCAAACGCCCCTCCATACCTTCGTTCCTACCAGTAACCGAACACGGCCAACAGCCTCAAAGCCGGCTCCTAAGGATAAATGTTAGTCTCTTTAAGCCTGTGTCATTATACCTATACTTACGTTCTAGCCGGCTGTTCACCACCCTTCAAGCGCGCCTCTCGCCGTTTGCACTTGGGTTTCCGCTTACTTGTCATCAGCCTAACCTTGACCCCCTGCGCAGCGATGTCTCTGGTCAGTTGGCTGCTTAGTCCTCGACCATCGTATAAGTGCCTTGAGATGACTTCGAAAGGGCTAGACATAACCCTAGCTACGGTCACAAACACGAATTGTCCGGTCACGGGGTTGGGGAATTCGGCATAGAGCAGGAACTCGAGCTTATAACGGCCAGGTATTTTGACCGAGAGGCTGGGGAACACGCCAAAATATCCCGTCATACCATCCAAATCCGTTAGCCAGTGGATGGCACCGACTCGCTGGCCTTCGAGGAGCTTGTCTGCCTTCACACCATCCCTTTCCTTATCTGCATGTTGCAGCCTGGCCATTAGGAATGTGTGGGTACTGGCAATAGAATCCGGATGAAGTGCCGGATTCCACTGGATGCGGATGACGGGTGGTTGTTCCATAGTAGGTGCCTCCTTTGATCTGCCGTCATTTTTGTATCGGCACTGCTTGGCGCGCCCGGGCTGCTGGATCACTGTCATTCCCACGAAGTCACATGGCGTGGGATGTACCGCCGAAGTAGCCGCAAGCGTCGCTTGGTCGTTGGACGTGTTACTGTTTTCTGCCTCCTCCCATGCAGCAGTGAGCCATTCGACGCTTGTCCATTCGGGGTCTTCGGCTAAAGGCATTTCTCTCTGGGTACCGGAACTTAGAGTCTGTGGAAAGTGACTCATTTTGGCTTTGACCTGGGTTTTGAAGAAGAGTGAGCTGACTTTGGATAGGGCTATGTTATTGGATATGAGTGAGTATGGATGTTAACAGAACTGAACTTAGAAATCCACCGCGTTTTGTGAGATCAGTGCATATCATGATGCTTGGAAAGAAGAGAAAGGTATGGAAGGGAAGGAGGTAGGAGAGAAGTTGGGGCTTCCTTAAGTACCCTTTACCTATCAAGCTTTTACGAATATTTCCTGGCTGCTCTAGAATACCTTGCGTCAGACTGGCGTCAAACAAGTGATATTCTAGGGCACTCAGTGGCAGCTTATTGCCTGCTTTTACGTCCCTCAAGTACGATATGACGACAAGGTCTCGCCTTCTGGATAGTTATCCTGGACTCGAAAGGGTAACCCTCTACGCTTCCCGGTAAGCGTAGCTTCTTTTTTGTTGGATATGCTGCTTGTGACATCAACGCCAGCATGAACCGGATCCTTATGATGACTATTATCCTGTTTATGCTTTGAGAACCACCTGGCCTCTAGGCTCCCCTAGAGCTCGAACTGATGCATTGCGTTAGCAATGCGCGATAACAGAAAAACTACGCATGGATCCCAGCCGGCCATGTTTTTCTTTCTCTTTGCCTTTTTTAAGCTCTGTCGTTACAGTTAACGGTGTAGTTATGCATAAGCCGCGGTTTATTGGAGTAATTGCCACTGTTGAGGCAGGATGGAAGGTCATCTATGAGTCTCGCTCTTCGCAGTTTCTTTGTTGAAATCTTGGAAAATCATTGACGACTGCCTTAATATTCCTTAACCTACGAATTTGCCCCTTACCCCATTTGGTAGCGTGAGGGTATTAAAACACGGAATAATGATTACTCCAACCAGCCAGAAACAAAAAACAATGATCAATTTCTTAACTTCCAAGTTTCAATCAACTCTCAGTACATACAACCACACCACACGAAGGCATTAGCCTACTGATGGCCAACGAAGCCTCGTAATGCCGCTTCTACAACCTGGCTCAGCTTGCCAAGGCAACAAACCGCAATACTCCGTTCTCGTCCATGAACCCCCCGGGCCTAGCCAACCGCTCCCGAAACCTCGCAACTATGCTCATCAAAACGCCCCTTTATGACTTGAAAAGTTAGTCCCGGCGGTGATGCTGCCGGCGACGGTCATAGCCTTCGTCATCGGAGCGATCCCTATCATTGTCATAACGCCTCTGGTATGACTGATGGCCACCGAACTCCCTCTCTTCGCTGCCATAGCGCCCGTCATTTCGACCTCCGTACGCGCTGCTTTCATACCTTCCGGATTCTCTTTCGCGTGATTTTGAGCGGCGTCGGCCCTGGGACTCATAGCCGCCGTGCTGCTGGCGAGTTTCTTGACCATAGCCGCTGGAATAACCTCCCTGACCGCCGCCATATCCGCCAGTTTGTCTGCGAGATACGTTAGTATTTCTGAATCTACTAGAGGAACAAGCTCTAAAGAATATCCTATTACCTTTCTTGACCATATCCGCTTTGATGTTGTCCACCACCATATCCTCCGCTCTGCTCGTGTCTTCCATACCCAGAATCATCGCGATACGTAGATTGAGAATGCTCTTGCTCGCGTCCATATGATGCACCACCATACCCACCACTCTGTTGGTGCCTTCCATAGCCAGAGTCATCACGGCGGGTGGACTCAGAGTAACCCTGCTGTTGCCCGTATGAGTCTCCACCATATCCACCGCTCTGTTGCTGTCTTCCATACCCAGAATCCTCGCGATAGGCGGATTGAGAATGTTCTTGCTGACGGCCATATGAGCCACCGCCATTTCCGCTTTGTCCGTACTCGGAGCGTCCATATTCTTCGCTGCGCTTCTTCCCATGCTTGGACTTTTTCTTATCATCATCGTCATCATAATCCTTGTACTTCTTATCCTTCTTCTTTTTCTTATATTCATCATCGTCGTCATCATCATCATACCCTTTATACTTCTTTTCTTTCTTATATTTCTTATCATCATCGTCGTCGTCGCCGTATCCTTTAGATTTCTTCTTATTTTTTTTGTCATCTTCATAGTCACCTCCATAGCTGCCTCCGTATTTTTCCTTCTGCTTATACCCATGGTCTCCATAATTACCACCGTACTCTTGCGCCTTATTCTCCTTCTTGTATTCCTGTGCCGTATGGCGCCCACCGTCATACCCAGAGCTTCCGGCAAGGACCTCAGTACCCGCACTGCCCACGATGCCTCCGACCAAGTCACCAAGAATGCCACCACCAACTGCTGCCTTAGCTGCTTTAGCTAGTTGATCTGTATCATTGGAGCGGCCACTACCACCACCACCAGATGAACCTGATTTGCCCTTAGGCAGGGCCAATGGCTTTCCACAGCCGTGGCCAGTATCATGGACACCAGGCTTATGGTTATCTCCCTTCCTAACACCCTCACGGCTAAGTTGGTTTCTAAGTGAGTCCTGGCCGCGACCCTGATCACGCCACCACTTCTCCACAGCAGCGAACATATCCCTGCGAATATCGGCCTGCCCATCCTCGCCATAACCACGGTGAGCAGGGTGGTGGAAAACTCCGTGAATGATTCGAGTCAAGGTTCGATCAATATCGGTATTTTCATTATCCCAAGCTTCCATGATTTGAGGAACTGCCCATCTAACTACAGTTTGAGCCACCTTTCCAGCTGGCTCATTCAGAAGGTTAGAGAAATGATCTTTTGATAACATTGAGTGGGTCGGATCGGTGCTGTTATCGTCGTTAAATATGTTGTGCTGCTGGGCTCTGCTGCTCTGGATGACCTCCGAAGATCCAGTTTCAAGCTCCCTTTTGACTTGGGAGATAATCGGCATCACATAGGGGGCAATAACGGAGAAGACGAAAAGGTTGATTTCGTTTTGGATCTGTTCAATAAGTTCGCCAATCAGAGGAATTTTGTCGATTGCTTCACTGATAGTTTTGATCAAATTATCGTGCCATTCCAAAATCGGATAGATCTGGCGTCGAACGTCATCCAGGTAACGGGTCCATTCTTCGGGCTTTTTGGGTGAAATGTTCGCAGCTTGTTGTTGCTGTTGAGCATTCGCCTGGAATTCATCCATTTTGGCGGCATTATTCTGACCACCAAGAATGTCGGAGGGGATTTTATTCAGCAGCTCTTGAATGAAGCTCTTCCTACCGCCTTGGCCCTGGGATTGTTCCATCACTCCCTCGAGGGATTGAAGCTCCGACTGGGTGGCTTTATCGGAGAATTCTCCCATAACAGAGTGAAGAAAGTCAACACCACCAAAGGTTCCAGTAACAATAGGATAAACTGGACGGTTGGCGCCCTGAAGTTGAATCGCAGTTCGTCGACCAACATGCGGGAAGATATCTTGCTCGCCAAGTTCAATCAAGCTGAGCTCAGTATAATTCGAATGAGCAGAAAAATCTTCCAGACAGTGAAGACCAGTACCAAGTAGACGAAGAGCTTCGTAAAATTCATTCTTGTCGCGAGATCGTCCGTAGCTGCGGCCAAGTTCGATACATCGGCGAAAGACGTTTCGCAAAAGGCCGGCGGAGGTCGCAATGCCAGCATCCTCTGAAGCAATGTAGTTTTTGAGTCCTTGGAAGAGAGTTAGTCTTTGATGAAGAATAACATTGAATGTGTGGATTATGAAGCAGGAACAGAGAAAACAAAAAGCGTACCAGATCGAGGGTCGATGGATAGCTCTCGACGAGCGTCAACGGGACCTCTGAGACGTTTGTCATAACGGCGAGCATCGTCACCTTCAGCGTATCCAAGAGGATTGTCAATATGCTCAGTTGGTTGATAGCATCCTAAACGGTCGGTGGTGACTTCAAATTCAGCAGTCCCGTAACTGCCGTTTTGTTAATAAAGACATCGGAGAGATAGTTAAACTTCACAGGCTCAACTCACCCAAAACTCAAGAATCCTAAAACCCAGAGCAAAATTCGAATTGCTTCGGCACTGACGTATTTCACAGTTCCAACATCCACAGCCTGGCTGTAGTCTCTCAACCAGTTGCCAAAATAGACTCTCTTGACATCAAGCTTCGAGAACTTTTTGCCGCCAGCGACTCGAGCTATAACGAGAGAGAGGAGCACATCTTCAATATCGCCATGGCGCCAGTTCTGGCCTTCGATTTTGGAGAGTGAGGCAATGTTGCCGGCTCCGAAAGCGGCCGTGGGGTTAGCAAAAAGGAGAACAACGCAGCAGGTGGCTACAACGAGCGACGACGTTGACCACGCCATGGTTGCAGCTTGAATTTCCCTCGAGAACGCGGATCAGATAATAGTTTTTCAAATTGCAAGAAAAATGGAAGAAGAGGGCGTTTGTGGGCGCGAAAGGGGGAAGACGAGAGCGAGGGGTTGGCGCGGCGCGAGCCCCACCTATGACGATATGCCGATATCAAGGACGGAGAGGCGCGGACAACAGACGAGAAAACGGCAAAGCGTCAGCAGACAGAGAGACAGTGAGGGATGAAGGGCATGCAGAGCAGTATTTGAGAGGCAAGAGCACAGAAAGGGGCTTTGAAGCTGTGAAGACTGCGAGAGCTCGCTGACGCCCGTGTTTCAAAATGCCCCTCGGGCGCCAACTGGTTCACCCCGCCGCCACAGTGTCGAGCCATGTTTTATGTGAGCGCCGGGAACAGGGGGCTCTGGGCACAGGTCTCTGTGGCTTGTGTGGAGCGCTAAGTGGCTGCCGAGCAGACATCCCACGCACGGCTCCCGCCTCACCCGTACCAGGCATCAGATATCCAGCCATGCGGATAGGCAACCGCAGGCTGCACTGCACCGCACGCCATCCTAGCCAATTTAGTTAACTAACTAGCCTCGACATGCAGGTTCTGCTGCAAATGCCTTGCAAACACGCCAAGGGAAATGGTTGGGAGCAAGCGGTTGGTGCCTGGCCCATAACCCAAACGACAACCATCCTTAAAAAGACGCCGTGTCCAAGGCTGCAAGCTCCCCATTCTATACCCACGGATGGCATCAGAAACACTGGCCTACATCGCGGGGCACTTCCATGGCAGAAATTCAGAAGGTTTAGAATTGGTGTATCAATCCGGCACCAATAACCCGTCGGATATAGCAATCCTGGGGAGGATCGTGTTCAAGTGGGTATACCTAATAATTCCAGAATAATTGTTTTGGAGATAGCAGCAGGATATACCACTTTGCAGAGCATGCAAATACGTCACTATTTTCTACGCTCCGGCTGAGAAAAGTGGTTGCTTATTCCTAAAGGTTCCATGTCGAAATATCGAATGAGAAGGGTCCTCCTGGGTCCCTGCAGCTGTTGATACACCCAGACGATATTTGTCAAGGTGAGGAGACAACGTTGTGGAGTATGAACGAAGAGGGGCTGGACGGTACGGCCCCCAACTCACCGCCAGAACGGTAATTTTTCCTGGATTAATGAATTAATGAATTTGTATGTATATGTGCTGCGAAAACATCCAGAACGTGGGCCTTATGTTTCTGCTAAAAGATTGAGAGCAAGTAAAAAAAAGGAATGAAGAGGATGTCGGCTCCTATTAAATGCTGTCAATTGAGGTTTTTTTTTTTTAAGAACGTGGCAGCTAAACGAATCACATATGTTTTGGATTAATGCAGATATAATTCTGGATAGTAACAATAGCAATAAAAATCAAGAACGGAAAACAAAGAAACGTCAACTCCTTTACCAACGCCCAAGCAACTTCGCGCAGCCTGCTGTCTCCCAAGCCAATCCTCAACTAGCTAACTACTAACTACCTAATCACAGTGGCCAACATGCCAGCAAAACAACTACGCCGGCTGCAGCAAAAACGCAAACGTCGCAGTGCGGCCCTCGACATGGGTCAAGTAGGCATCCAGCTCATGGTCCTCGGAGATCAGGAAGCAGATCTCGGCGCCGGAGTCGTCGCGCAGCGTGCCCTCGATGCGCGCGACGCGCGCGTCCTTGAACTTGAGCGCGCCCAGCAGCCGCAGCTCGTCGACACTGCGCGACGCCAGCTTGCCCAGCCACGTCTTGGCCTGCGCGTGCATGGTCGACTGCGGGTGCACGCGCAGAAACACGGGGATGTGGTGCTGGGGATGGTGCGCGTGGTGAGGCGGGGACGGGTCGAGGATCGCGCTGGAGTAGCCGAAGGGCGCGGCGGCGGATTCTGCTGCGGGAGCCGAGGCGGTCGAGGAGGATGCGGCGGAGGAGGAGGATGATGAGGCGGCTGCAGCGGCGACGGCGGCGGCGGCGACCTGGTGGTGATGATGGTGGTGGTGGTGTTGGTGGTGTGCGGCCAGGGCGTAGGCCGGGTCGTTGGCGGCGGCCTGGATGAGCGAAGGGTCGATTTGTTGCATGGCGGCCAGGTGCTGCGCACCGCCGCCGGGGCTGTTGCTGGCGCTGTTGGTGTTGTGGGCGTTGGCGGGATCGCCCCCGTGGGCGGTGGTGCGTGAACGGGCCAGCGCCTGGGCGGCAAAGGTGCGCGCCTGGGCGTTGCCGCGCGTGGTGAAGAACTGGCGCTTGGACGGATCGCGCTTGGCCTGGTCGTCGCGCAGGCGCTTCATGACATCGCGGCACAGCACCTCGACGGCCTTGAGCTTAAGGGAGTGGCGCTCCGGGTCGGCCGCGTCGGCGTCGGCGGCCAGGATGCGCTGCAGGATGGGCGAGTCCTGGATCCAGCGGCGCTTGAGCTCGCGCCAGCGGTCGTGGCCCATCTCCAGCTTGCTGGTGAAGCAGTCGGCGCGCAGGGCGTCGTAGAAGGCGTTGCGGATGCGCCGGCTCTCCTCGGGGTTGATGCCCAGCGCGTTCTTCGCGGCGGCGATGGTCATGCGGCTGCTCAGCGTGCGCATGCGCTTCGTCACGTCGGTGCACACCACGTCCAGCGCCAGCGTCTTCGCCTCCAACCCACCGCCGCCCACGCCCACGTTGCCCGCCGCCGCCGTCCACAGCATCGCCTGCAGGTGCGCCGACTCGCGTACCAGCCGGTCCTTGGCCGCCTGCCACCGCTCCGCGCCCGCCGCCGTCTTCTTCGCGAACCCGGCCTCCGTGCAGATACGCTGGAACTGCTCACGCACCTCGCGGTACGTCGCCTCGTCCAGGCACAGGTACATCTTGCTCTCGTCCAGCGTCGTCTCCGACGGGAACCGCGGCGGGCCCGGCGGGTCGGCCGGCAGCCCGGCCCAGCCGCGCGTGCGTCGCCGCCGCTTCTTCGTTGCCCATCGCGCGTCGCTCTCTTCCTGCAGCCGCGCTAGCCGCTCCTGTCGTTTGGCCTGCGACATCGGCTCTAGCGGAAGGCTCTTCGTAGTTCCATCGTACATCTCAGCGTTAGCAGCAGCAGCAGTCGCAGCCGCATCGTGCTCCATCCCTTCCGCGCCGGTACCCGGCATCAAGCCGTCCTGCTCCCCGACCGCCGGCGTCGGCGGCTGGTCCGGGCTCTGGTCGTGGTCGTGGTCATGATGGTCCTGACCGTCTCCCAGCGGCTCGCCGTCATCCACACTGCCGGCCTTCATGCCATTGGGCACTCTCAGTAGCCATCGATTCTTCGAGCGTAGCCGCATCAGCTCGCGCTCCTTGATCTCATAGCCCTCCTCGTTCAGGATCCGCAACATATCGCGCTGGTTCTCATTGCGTTCCCACAGGTCCTTGACGCGCGCCACTAGGTCGACATTCTTGTGCGCCGGGTTCTGCTTCGACGGGAACCCCCACCGCTTGAACTGTGTCTGGAAAGCGCGTTTGCTGTGCACATCGGGTGGTTAGCGTTGTGGATGTTTTTATTATTTTATCGAAGGACGTTCCGGGCCCTCCGGAGGGGGGGCGGGACTAATTTAGGAAGCCTTGGCCCTTTGGGAAGAATAGGTTGAGGCGAGCTGAGCTGTTTTGCTCAACTCACTCTCCGGCCCTCACACGCACACACAACTCACCTGGGACAGAACTGGTACTCCGTGCGCATGATCTCGATAATGTCCTCCAGCGACTTCTTCTCCTCGATATACAGGCGGTAGCACACCGCTCGCTTGCTCTCCCATTCGTACACCATCGTTGCTGGCGCGACAGAAGCGATGGCGGCCGCGTCGTCCACCGTATTTGCGTGGATGGCGAGGAGTTCGTTTTTCGTCTGCCGTTCTCCGTAGCCCCAACCCTGGTCACGTGAGAGAGATGTTCATGCGCTAGCCGGTTAGGGACTAGTGGGCTTGGGATTGCTTGGCAGGGCAGGTGACGTCATTGCCAACGGGTGATCAGCGGGCATGTGAGTCGGGAAATGATGGGAGAAGGGCTGGCGCCAGGGATCAGCTTGGATTGGCCCGAGGTACGCAGTAGATGCTATTCTAATGTGATACAGTAGAGAGGCTCAGCAGCGAGTGAGCCAGCCGCCTACTGAGACTAATATCTCCCGCGTAATGAGTTGTAGTCAAAGGCAAAGAGAGAGATGATACATGGTAAAGTGTAAACACACGAACAGCCAAAGAAGCAAAAATGAAAAAGAAAAGCCACAAACCCTAAGCAACGAACCTCAACCCCGAGAACAGCATAAAGCAAACAAACAAAACACAACCGGCAGACGGACACGCGGGACACATTTCAACGTGTGTATGTGTGTGTATGTATTCCGAGCCGGGGGAGGGGGGGAGAATAAAACGCCGATTCGTATGAGCGAAGGAGAGAAAGAGAGAAAAGGTATCAAAAACGAAGGAAGAGAAAACGCCAGAGAACCTCCCCTCCGTCATGCTATTCTCGACAAAAATGCAAGTCGAAAAAAAGGGAAAAAGAAAGAGAAAAACAGAATGCTAGAACCGAACAAAACGCTCCCAAAGGCTTGCATTCTGTAGTGCTTTCAAGCCCGCGGTACCAAGCATCAACAACATCATCATCATCAGGAGGGGAGGTTGCATGGAAGGCCGTTAAAAAAAAAGGAAAAAAAAAAGAAAAGAAATAGCATCGATATATCCTCATAGACCATCTTATAATATCCTCCAGAATCCCTTTTTCTCTATCCTGTTTTCTTTTTGATCTTCTTCCCCATTTTAAAGATGCGTGTGCGCAACCACGTCAGGAACAGCAGCCACGCGCTTCTCGGGCTCTGCAGCTTGAACCCACGCGCACCGCCGCCGCCGCCGCCGCTGCTGCGGGCGTTTTCGCCCTCCTCAACGCCGCTCGCCTTTGCACCTTCGTAGTAGCTGTGACTTGCCGCTGTGCCGGTGCCGTCGGAGTACGAACCGGACTTTTCGCTGGTTTTGCGCTGATGATGAAGATGAGGATGTCGAAAGGGCAGGTGAGGCACTCGGCCCGAAGACGACAACCCACCCTCGCCGCGGCCGTGCTCTGGCCGCTGCTGCTGCTGCCGCCGCAGCTGCTTCTTGCCCTGCGCCTTGAGGCTACGCTGCTCGAGCTTGCGCGACTTGGCGGCCTCGCGGTCCTCGAAGGCCTGGCGGGCGGCGATCACGGCGGCGGCGTGCACGGCCGGGTCGGCTGTCGCTGTCGTTGTCGTTGTGATCGGCGGCGCGGTGGTGGCGGTCGTGGTGCTGGTGCGGCTGCTTTTGCTGCGGAAGGGAAAGTCCAGCGAGCTGCGCGAGATGGGCGAGACGGTCTCGCGCAGGCTGCCGCCGTCGACGGGCCGGCTGAGCGACGACGAGGCGCGGCCGCCGGCAATGTTGGTCTGCGACGAGACGGGGTGCAGCGGCGGGAGGACATCATAGTGCTGGGCGGCAGACGGGCGGCGCGAGCCGCGGTCGGAGGCGGTGAGCGACGAGGTCTTGTGGAAGAGCCGGGCGGACGATGTGGGGTCGTCGAGTGGCAGGTCGGGGAAGGGCTGGGAATCATCATTGTGGTCATTATCGTCGTCGCCGGCGGCGCTGCCGGAGAGCGAGGTGTGGTGCGAGCGCACGGCGGCGGTGGCGGCGGCGGGCGGGGTGTAAGGGCGCGGGGTCTGGCGCATGGGGTGCACGTAGCTGGCGCCGGGCGGCGGCGGCGGCGGCAGCAGCGTGGCGGAGCCGCCGCTGAGCGAGCGCATGTGCGGGCGGTGCAGCGTGGTGCTGATGCCCAGCCCTTCGTTCTCCACGACCGATAGGCCCAGGTCCAGCGAGCCGCCGTCGGCCGCGGACGCCGGCTTCTTGAGTAGGAAGTGTGGCCGTACGCGGCTGCGCGAGTGTGCGCGCTTGCGGTCGAACAGGTCTGCGCGGTGGCCCAGCGAGATGCCGGCGGCGGCGTCCATGGCCGGCGAGGAGAGGGACGGTGGGGGGAGGTCATGGGGGGCCGGCGGCGGCGACGGGGACCTGGAGGGCGCGTGAGCGGAGGCTATGGCGGGCAGGGGGAACACAACAAACCTGGGGTGCTTGGTCAGGCGGCGTGGCAGCAGCCCGCCCGAGCGGCCGCGCGAGGCAGCGGAGGTCATGGCGAGCGAGATCGAGAGTGAGGGAGAGGGAGAGAGGGAGACAGCGTCGGGATGGGGGCCTCAGCAAGCAACGCAGCGCGGCTATGAAGGGCGAGGCAGCGCAGACGGCATGATGACGGGCGGCTGTGGCGAGTCTGACGTAGGCGGGGGGAGCAGGGCGGGCGGCCTTCAGCCCGGCGCGAGGGAGAGCAGAGAAGGGGAGAGAGGAGAGGAGAGGAGGAGAGGAAGAGGAGAAGAGCAAGGTAGATAGCAGTTTACTAGTTAATCACAACAGAATGATGATCACAACAGACAGCCAATCTGCCAGCCGAAACGCGGCCAAGCGATGCGGGCGGGCCGGCTCTGGGCGCGCTCACCGACGGCGACGGGGATAGTTAACGAGGTAAATAAATAAATAATAACACGATGCCGTCCTCGACACGACGACAGCACCACGGCGACGATGCTGCGAGGAAGCCTGCTGCTGCGGAGGTGGATGGATGTTTTGGGGGGCGGGCGCGCCGCCTTTTGTTTCGTTTCGGCTGCGCTGGCAGCCTCTGCTGGTCTGGTCGGGTCTGGCTCAGCCCCCGCGCCGTCGCCGCCGCCGTCGCCCGGGCTGCCCAGGCCTCACTCACTCACCACCAGCAGCGCCGGCCCAGAGCCACCGCGCCGATCCGGGCCTGGCGATCTCACACGCCCGGAGCACGCCTGTCACGCTGCTCGTCGAGCGTATTCTCTTAGGAACTGTGTATTTACTCCGTACTCCGTAGATGCTCGCTGTGTCGAGAGCCCGCCTACCTACCCTGCCCGCCCAGTGAACTAGTTACTCGACCAACTACTCGCGAACCCGTTCGCCGCCCGTCACCGCCAGACTGACCGCCACACGCCCGCGCGATGATCGATTCGCAGCGAACCGGCTCATGAACTAGTTATTAGTTACTAAAGTAGACCCTGCGCCAACACTCCGACACCTGGTTGCTGCGCAATCTATTCGCCTGCATGTGCCTGCCCGCACATGCGGTGTTAAGTTAAACGTGCCGGAAGTATGCCATGTTCATGTAGTTACGCTGCATGCATGCTTGCTGCATGCAGCACGCACGCACGCGCTGCCTGTGAGGTTGTACCTAACCGTCGCCCTGCCGTTCGCTGCTATTGTCCTTGATTAGGTCTTGTTTTCTCCATTGAAACAAACTCTCTATCCTAACTACTACATCATGCTAAGAATAACCAGGCCTCGCTTCCCTCGGCCACGCCGGCCGCTGCCAGCCCCCCGCCGTCATCGTATCCACCCCCGCCGCGGGGACCCGGCCAGCCCCGACGCAAGACACCAGAGCCGTTGAACTGCCTGTGGACGCATATATACTACCGTATATATTATTTTATCGATATATCATTAACTGTATATTTATTAACTGAATATAGACCATGTCTCGGATAAATGCACTTTCCCGTATCCTTTTACATCGCGACCCGGAACACCAGCACCTGCGTGTCCACATTGCATCCCGACTTGTCCTGATACACAAATTGCCCGTTGTTCAGCCGCCCTAGTGCGCCAGTCAGTCTCAGTCACTCATGAAGGGAGGGGATGGAAGCAGTAGTGCCCTCATACCGTTCTGCGTCACAAAGTCGTTGTCGCTCATCGTGAAGAGCAGATACTCCTTCTTGTCCGGCCCCGCCTGGCCCGTCCAGTCCTCCTTTTTGAGCGGCATCAGCACCAAACTCTCCCACTTCTCACTCAGCAGCTGCGCGTCCTGCGCCCCGCCGTTGTGCAGCCCGAACCGCGCCAGCTGGTCGTCCGAGTTGATGTCGATCCACGGGCAGTAGTCCAGCGCCTTGAGGCCGAACTTCAGCTCGCCCTTGTCCGACGCGATCGCGCCGCCCGTCTTGTCGAAGTTCCACGACTTGATGTTCGTCGCATGCCCGAACCCGCTCAGGATGTCGATATGCCGGAACACCGACCGCGTGCGCCGCTGCCCGCGGCCCGCCCCGCCGTCGCGCGTCAGGATCGCCACGTCGCCTGTCGGCAGGCAGTTGATCTCCGACTGCGCCGCTACCGTCTGCTTGCCCTCCGCGTCCGTGTACATGGGCAGCGTCACTATCCACTCGCCCTCGTACGTCGGCGGCCGCGTGCCGTCCAGCTTGTACTTCAGCAAGCGCGCCTGCCGGCTGTGCTGGCGGCTCGGCCCGCCCTCCTGGTTCATACCCGACTGCATCATCGCGTACATCGTCTGGTAGTCGCTGCAGATCGTCAGACCCTCCAGGCCCTGGTTGTTGTTGCGCCCCGTCTCCGGCGCCACGGGTTGCGGCTTGCGGTCGGGGTCGTAGCTGGGCGGCGACGCCGCGCTGAAGCTCACTTGGCCGTTGCGTCGCGGCAGGTACGCCATCGGCGGCGCCACCGCCTGGATCAGGAGGCCCGTCCTGGAGAACTGGTAGAGGTACGGGCCGTACTCGTCCGACGCCCAGAATGTGCCAATCGAGTCCAGTGCGATGCCCTCCAGGTCCATGCTGATTCGCCGTCCGCCTATGCCTGGCCCGCCGAAGCCGTTGCCTTTGACGGTCGCCCCGGGCATCGGTGGAAGACCTGGGTACATGATGGAGTCGGTTTCATCGGCGTCGAGGCCCGTGATGGGCGTGGCATCTGGCGCCTTGAGGAGGATGGTGTTGACGTATTTGATCTGGAGATTCGGAGCGCTTGGAGTCGAGGGAGTGGCGTTAAAGACGGGTGTATATTTCACCTCGAACTGGTGGATTCGCGCCTGCACGTTCAGCGTGCCATTGGTGTTCCTGTGAAAGCACAGAGTAAGATGTCATTCCTTGTCAGGGAAGGGAATATTCATCACATCTCCATACCATCCTCGATCCGGCAAAGCCCACGCAACACCCTCATACGACCCATTCTCCCGCCTCGTCCACGACCCTTGCCCAATCACGAGCCCGCTTCCGATTCCCCCAATGGTATCTCCAAACCTATCAACCGCATCATGAGGCAGGGTCCCGTATCCCGCCATACCAAGATAGTCATATTCCTTTTCGCCACAAAACGTCTTATTCACAATTGTCATTCTCTCAAACGCCAACTGCGTCGCCACATCTCCTGCCGGAAATCCCCCCGGAAGCGCCGTGGCGGCGCCGCACAGAGCAAGCACGAGCGAGAGGTAACTCATCGCAGAGCCCTGGAGAGGCGCCATCGTGGTCTTGGGTATATTGGGTCGCGATGCGAGCAGAGAGGTGCGATTTTGGGGAACGCGGGGCAGGCTGGTCTCTTCCATTTTATACCCACCAAAAGGGGGGGGGAGGCGTTGCTGCTTCCTCCCCGGACCCCTGGCGCCCCATCCATCCCTGGTCGACCAGAGTGAGCCTTGAGCGCGAGCGCGCGTCCGCCTCCGGTGATATACATGAAGGTTATGGTTTAGACCCCGGTGCATTCCCATGGCCCGCAGGATCCCGCCGCGTGTAGACTCCCGCAGGAACCTCTGCGAAAAACATACGGACGTAGACTTTCACATCGGAATCCACAGAAACCATTGTGTTGGTTAAGCAGCGATCCCAAAAGGATTAGGCCCGGCGGGCTGAAAATCCCTTCGAGGGTCTGATTTCTTTTTGGTTGAATTCCCCTTCTCTCCCCTGACTCGGTTTCTGGAAGCAGAAGATGTAGGAGTAAGTATTTCCCGGGTTCGCCCGCCATTTCCTTGCAGTTTCTTTTTGGTTCGCTTTTGAATAGTGTCATCCTTGCAGCGGGGACTGTAGTTACATGGTCAACTAGTCAGCGAAAGCCGTATCGACGGCTCAAGCTGCAGCGGCAAGCCAATGATGTCAGTGCTGGAGCGTCACATTGATGCGTGTGTGAGCGTTGCTTTTTCTGCGGGCTAGTTAGGCGTTCTCGAGAAACGGCGAGGCATACCAGATGCGCGGTGTGTATGTGTGTAGCTATGTAGGTCACGTGTCGTGTGTTGAAGACAAGATCGGTGTAAAGGAACACGATGGGTTGAGAATGGAGCTTTATGTTGAGAAGGAGGGCTCAGGCAGGAAGAGTGGGCGAGCCAAGAGGAAATCCTGGGGGAGGGCCTGAAGAACGGCAAGCCTTCCCGCACGATCCCCGCTAATTATAAGTACTACAAAGGAACAACAAAACCCAATCGATTTGTGATCTTTTTGACTACACAGAATATGGGCGATACCATCTACCCCCAAGTCGTCGGCATTGACGAGAACTCCTTCGAGCTGAGGCCCAAATCCTGGAAAATGATATGGTCGTCTGCACAACACCAGCAATGAGCCACGATGCCCGTTAAGTGAGATAGCCATATTACGTACCTCGGAGCGGGGAGGCCCGCAGTTCATTCTCATGCTCGAGAAGCTCCAGTTCTTCTCCAGCCAGCTCCTTCTCACGTGACTGATCCTCCTCCGTCAGGCCTCCCTTCCCCTGCGCTTCTCCGATCATGAGAAACTGCGCGTTGGGATAGTCCAGGAATCTGGGCTCCAGAGGCACCCATCGTAGGTTGCGCATGTCATCGAGGATGCTATCGTATAAACTTGTCAGCCTCTTTAGCGGCCAGAAGGAATAAATAAATGGCACGCCGCTCTTACTCCTGCGGATAGTCTGGCTCCTTCGGCAGTCGTGCAGACGCCGGCCCGGCAAATTTAGGACTTTTCGAGCTGACGATCATCGATCCTTTCTTCTTTAGACCGAGATCGCGCTGCACCTTGGACGGCTCCTCGGGAATGGTGAGGATATATGCCAGATGGGAGCTGCGCGATGTCGATGTGATGGCGTAAACACCCTCAGCCGCGGGTGTCGCGCTGGGAATTTCCCGCAGCCCTCTGGTCTTGGTCTCATACTCCTCCCCTTCAAACGATGCCTTGATGGCTTTGAGAGACGTGCCTGCTTTCTCCACGAATCCCATATACCTCTCGCGAGCCGAGGAGGGCAGTGTCTTCTTAGGCAAGACCAGCAGACGGCAGTTTGCGTCATCTCCAATTGGCCCCTGTCCAAGGTTTGCGTCGGGAGGCAAGGGCCTGAGGACGATGAAAGTACGCGCCACATCGTCAACGCCTTCAGGCTGTTCGATGCCAACACGCCGACGGAAGAAGAAATAGATGATCCCCCTTTCCAGCACATTTGATGGCAGTTCTTTCTCTTGCACGGCTATACCTTGTTGCATACCTTCACCCTTAACTTCTATTTTAGGCGCTTGTTCCTGGTGCTCCTTTTCTTCCTTGGCACTGGGCTTCATTGCTTCCCCAGTAGCTTGTTTCTTAGGCCCATGTTTTTCGCGGATAGGCTCTGATGTGGTGGGAGCAGCTTGTGTCTTTTCCAAACCATTCTTGCCACGCTTCTTCTCCGGTGAGCCATCCTCGGCCGAGCCTTTGCGTTTACTTCCTGACGCCTTTGTTCCCGCACGCGCATTTTGATGTAATGCTTCATTTGCCTTGACGGCGGCTTGGCGGGTTGAAGTTCGAATCGGCATATTTGCAATCGAGGGGTACAATTAGAGCCAGGTATATGAGATGCTCTATCACAACACAAATGTCCCCCGCCATACCCTCTTTATATCTTGCACTAGCTGACGTCATACGGGGGCATGACGTCACGTGATACCGACTCGATGTGGACGTTCGTGGTTGTAGGAGTTCGGAAGTGGTTGTAGGAGTTCGGAATTTGGGTTTTAATGGTGGATTTATAGCAATTGGTGGACAAAGTTCGTAAAAGGATTGAATTTCAGTCTAAATCCATGCCATCGTTTGTGGCCGGAGCTGAGTCACTTCTCTTGCTCGAGAGGCCAGTAGCTAGCCCATCTAGAATATCAGCCTCTCTGGTGAAAGTCACACATCTATTATTCTCAACCGTGCTTCGCCTAGTTCTTTTGGGTAGAACTGGTCGTCCCCGCTCTAGAGAGTCTCCATCTTGGCGGCCAAACCGCGAGGAATACCTTCGATGTAGAGAGTCCAGGGATGGTCTAGATTTCCTTTTTTTGGTTTCCTTAGGTGTACACTTCAAGGGACTGGAATCCTTGTCTGAATCACAATGGAGAGAGCCCATCCAGTCGATCAACGCGCTGTGAGAAATGTCATCATGTTCTAGCCGCCGAGGACCGGTTGACCGGACCTTCGAAGGGCTTATGGAAGTGTCTGCCTCCTCATATTGGTATGGCCATAGGACCTCCACGTCCGCATCGTATCCCGCATCGAGAGCGGATATATCTTCGATTGTGAAAGCGTCTTCTTCGACGCTGAATCGGCGCTTTCGAGGAGCGTGACTCGGTACGGTGTAGGACGGTTCCCTCTGGGAGTTCCTTCGGACATTCAAGCCGGTATTTCTCTTCGCACTTGGCTCATTATCAGCCTGGCGGCCCGGCTCTCGTTCGGCGGGATACATATGGTGGAGCTTCCAAGGTCGAAAATGAGAGTTTCAGTACGGCGTCACTAGGTTGGTAGCCGCGCGTAGCCATGTAGGGTGTTTGTGACAAAGCCACGGAAGACGACGTAGGTGACGGTAAGATATGAATATTTAATAATATAGCAATTGATCGGGGTGAAGGTTGAGTGGTAGTGTCCCAGAAAGCCAACCTGTTGACCCGTCGTCGTTGAGCACAAGGTTCGTGTATTTCGGAACAGGGGGAGCACCCACCAATGGCATCGCTCCGCGGCGCTGTTCGCTTGTATGCGCCAATACCGCCATCCCTCATACAACCACAACCTCGAAAAGAGTCCACGTTACTCCAACCTGCTGCCCAGCATAACCACCATCGCACGCGAGGCAGTCAGTCTCATCCATTGCTCAATCACGATCACCGGTGCTGAATCTATCATACGGAGCCAAATTTCTTAGTCAATTACGCCCGGGAGAGCCTACGCAATTTCACCGTGGCTTCGGCCACCTTCCCGTCAACATGCAGCCCGCTCCAACCGTACTCACAAAGGTGCACCACTGACTTTCGCCATTCTCTGAGCACTTTTTGGCTAATATGAGCGTAATTAAATAGTTTGAATCTAAATCGTCTAGGGCCAAGGGTATCGCGTTCCATCCCAAACGGTCAGTTCCAGGGCTTCCAACACCGTCGCTAGCAACTGGCTACTAAACAGGAATTATTAGACCATGGCTCCTTGTCTCCCTCCATTCCTCCACCATACAATTATGGGATTATAGAATGGGAACTTTGATCGACCGGTTCGAAGAACATGATGGACCAGTTCGAGGCATTGACTTTCATAAAACGCAACCGCTGTTTGTATCCGGAGGTGACGATTACAAGATCAAAGTCTGGTCATACCAAACGCGGCGGTGTCTCTTTACACTCAACGGCCACCTAGACTACGTTCGCACGGTCTTTTTCCACCATGAATACCCATGGATCATCTCTAGTTCCGATGATCAAACAATTCGCATTTGGAACTGGCAGAATCGATCGCTGAGTAAATAGTCTTAGCCTGGACTTTGTATGACCTTTACTGATACGAACAATAGTTTGCACGATGACCGGGCATAATCATTATGTCATGTGTGCCCAGTTCCATCCGAAAGAAGACCTCATTGTTTCTGCCTCCCTCGATCAGTCCGTTCGTATTTGGGATATCTCCGGCCTCCGGAAAAAGCATTCTGCTCCTACGGCCTCGCTGAGCTTTGAAGACCAACTCGCACGTGCTGGCCCCGCCCAACCCGATATGTTTGGAAATACAGATGCCGTTGTCAAGTTTGTGCTCGAGGGCCATGATCGAGGCGTCAATTGGGTCTCGTTTCACCCTTCACTACCTTTGATTATTTCTGCCGGTGATGATCGTCTAGTTAAACTCTGGAGAATGAGTGGTAAAGTCATACTTCCCATATCTAACCATTGCATTCAGCTGACATGAAACAGACACCAAAGCATGGGAGGTCGATACCTGTCGAGGGCACTTCCAGAATGTGTCTGCTTGTTTGTTTCACCCGCATCAAGATTTGATTTTGTCAGTGGGAGAAGATAAAACCGTTCGTGTCTGGGATCTGAATAAGCGAACATCTATCCAGTCATTTAAGCGGGATTTAGATCGCTTCTGGGTGATTGCTGCACACCCCGAGATTAACCTGTTCGCTGCTGGTCATGATACTGGTGTCATGGTATTTAAGCTTGAGCGGGAACGTCCCGCCTCGACCGTACACCAAAACCAACTTTTTTACATCACAAAAGAAAAACACGTTAAATGCTACGATTTTGGAAAGAAGATCGAGTCTCCGGCTATGGTATCCTTAAAGAAGCTTGGCAGCCCTTGGGTACCTCCCAGGACGCTCTCTTATAATGCTGCGGAGCGGGCTATTTTAGTGATATCTCCTGCTGACAGCGGCACCTATGAGCTTATCCATATACCAAAAGATTCAACTGGCGCAACTGAACCCACAGATATAAAAAGAGGACATGGAACCGCCGCCGTCTTTGTCGATAGAAACAGGTTCGCAGTATTCAGCCAGTCGACTAAACAAATTGACATAAAGGACCTAAGCAATTCTACAACTGAAACTATTAAACCCCCTACCGGAACTACTGATATATGTGTTGGCGAACCTGGAACACTTCTCTTTCTTGCCCCATCCAAGGTTTACCTATATGATATTGGTAAGAAAGAGCGGATTGCTGAGATAAGTGCAAGCGGTGTTAAGTACGTGGTTTGGTCAAATGATGGACAGCACATTGCCCTTTTGAGCAAACACAATGTCACCATTGCTACCAAGTCTCTGGAGCATGTCAGCACACTTCATGAGACAATCCGTATAAAGAGTGCCTGCTGGGATGATAGTGGCGTCCTATTATATTCTACCTTGAACCACATCAAGTATTCTTTGCTCAACGGGTATGTTCCTTTCCAAAAAAGTTATAATATCTTGCTAATTAGCTGTTCAGTGACAATGGTATTGTCCGAACACTTGATAACACTATTTACTTGGTTCGGGTGAGGGGCAAGAACGTTTATTGTCTCGACCGAAGTGCGCAACCAGTTGTGCTCGAAATCGACCCAACCGACTACCGCTTCAAGCTTGCCTTGGTCCAACGCAATTACGAAGATATGATGCAAATCATCAAAACTTCCAGTCTTGTTGGTCAAAGCATCATTTCATACTTGCAAAAGAAGGGCTATCCTGAAATTGCCTTGCAGTTCGTCCAAGACCCAAAAACTCGGTTTGAGTTAGCTCTTGAATGTGGAAACATCGATGTTGCTATTGAAATGGCTAAGCAGCTTGACCGGCCTCAACTGTGGGCTCGGCTCGGCGCTGAAGCCTTGGCACATGGAAACCATCAAACCGTGGAGATGGCATATCAGAAGCAGCGAAATTTCGATAAACTGTCGTTCCTTTACCTAGTCACAGGTGATGAGGAAAAGCTTCAGCGCATGGCGAAGATTGCTGAGCATAGGGGTGATTTTACATCTCGCTTCCAGAATGCGATTTTTCTAGGTGACGTGGAGAACAAGATCCAAATGTTTAAAGAACTCGGACTGTGTAAGATGTCATTTACTCCTAATATTTACCAGGCGGCTACTAACTTGTGCAGTCCCCATGGCTTATCTTACCGCAAAGACGCACGGACTTGACGAAGAGGCGGATGCAATTCTTGAAGCCAATGGACTCACCGAGGATGAGATCAAATTACCTCCACTCGGCACCGCCCAAGAAGTTCCGAAAGTAGTTGTTCCAACATTCAAGTCCAATTGGCCTGTAAAAGCTGCATCTCATTCTGCATTCGAAAAAATGTTGATGGCTGAAGAGGATGAGGCGGAGGAAGAGGAGGATGAAGGAGAGCCTGCTGAAGAGGTGGAAGTAGATGCCGATTAGAAATGTTTGCTCTTGTTCTAGGGGGAGTGAGTGGGATTGATATGAAGTATGAACTAGATTTTGCTATCTTACGCAATATCTATTCCCTTTGTTTAAAATGAGCTATCGGTGGTCACGACTCTTCTACGGGTACTTTTTGTTAATACTAAACAAGCTACTTTTATTTCCTGAACCTTACCTGGTTCCAGGTATTGAGCGAGAGAATATTGTGGATAAATCTGATCAGATCTTCCCTTATTTTCTTAACTTGCTTTCCACCAGATCTGCATCCTCGCTTTGCAGACCAGACACGGCAAAGATCCTAGACATTCTTCTTTTTTCAATTGCCTATAATGAGTAGAGACCAAAAAACTAGCATACAAGGTTCGAGATAGTAGCTATGTACACGCATGCATTGATGCAGATCTATGTGACTTCATGCCAATATCAGAACGGATAAAACTGCGGTTCACATTGGGCCAATGCCCACACCTATATCGACCGCTTTTGTTTTCGTTGGATTCCATGCTATGACTCGAGGCACCCCTTAGTTCTAATCGCATCGTCCGTCCTTCCAGCCTGTCCGCCATCGTTCCTCCCACTTCGCACAATCGAAGACCTTTTTCCCAAGCTTTCTATTCACTTCATTATGCGCCTCACACATCCAATTGCCAAACTCTGCCCTCCCTTTTACCTTCGGCTTATTCTTCCCACTTGGATCATTCATCCATGCGCGGAAATCATCCGCACATACCCAGCACGGATACAGTTTGGAGAACAGGGACAAAAACGAGCGCATGTTATCTTGTTGCTGTGTGTTTGCGGTTGTCGGGTAGCTCGCTGCCATCGTATGTAGAAGGGTCCAGGTGCTTCTCCCCAGCATTTCTACGTCTGCGGGGCAGTCTGAAGGAATCGGTTCAAGGGTGTCGGAGGCGGATGCGGAAGTCAAGGCCAGGGCAGCTATGGTGGATGGTATGGCGGCTTTGCTGGCAAGGGTAGATGACGATGACGATGACGATGCTGCTGCAGCTCCTGGATTCGCCGTGGTAGAAGATGACTTCATTCTTGTGAGGGCACGCCAATCGGCGAGGGATGTGCATGTGCGGCAACTGTACAAAATATCAAGTCAGACCTGGAATTGAATGATTGCTAAAGATAGTAGAGTAAGCGCACGGTTTCCCATCTTTGTCCAGCACAACGCCCTTTGGTAACTTCTGTCTGATATCTTTGCCGCCCTGGTCGGGGGATCTATGCTCTTTGAGAGCGTCGATCTGCTCCGTTAAGATTTCCGCCATTGAGGCTCTGATTCGCTCCGTAGTCCAGACGAAAGGGTGCCAAACCGATTTCCAGAACGGATTAATACATAAAAAGAAGGACTTGTAATAGATAAAAGATGGGCAGTGCCAGACTGCTAGCAACACGTACGATAATGCTACGAGTTTCGGCGAAGCAAAACAAGCGGTGATGCCGAGTGCGACCACACGTCATGTGGAGCGGAAAAAAGAGCTTCAAAGGGCGACGGGGAGAACTAGTTGAATACTGTATAACACCAACCTCACCATAACACAACGCGCCCGGCTGATGCCAATAAACAGTATTTCGTTCCATTATATAGGCATCTGCATGATCTGACGCGAAGGATTTGCAATTGACGCGCTGTTCACCTCTTCTTTCCACCTAACGGGTGCCTCCGTAAACGCAAGAGAAGGTTTACGCGGTACATACCTGAGCTACGATGTCAGATTATTCGGACCCCCTCTCATCAGCGGATATTCCAGATGAAGCTTCCCTCAAAAAGGCGTTGCAGGATGCTGTTGCAAGGATTTTCAAATCTGGAAAAATGGAGGACCTGACAGTGAAGCGCGTGCGATTAGCAGCGGAGAAATCGCTTGGGTTACAGGAGGGGTTTTATAAGGGAGACGCCATCTGGAAAGCAAAAAGCGACACGGTGATAAAAGACGAAGTGGTATGGGCTATTTGAATACTCTGATCTGAAAGAAATCGCTTTATTTGCCCTTGACTCCCAGCTAATAGGGAAACCTCTTTTGCAGGAAGCGCAAGAAAGACTGCAAGAACAGAAAGAGAAAAAAAGAAAAGCAACTGCACCAGAGAAGCCTTCGACATCTAGTAAAGCGAAGCAGGCGAAGCGGATACCAGGCAACGCAAAGGAGGGAGCTAGGAAGAAACGAAAACAGACTACACCTTCGGAGAATGAGGAAGAGCTCTCATCTCCACTGCGCGGCATGGAAGAGACCCTTGTGGGTGTCAGTAAGAAAGCATCTCGGCCGACCAAGCCAGAAAAGGTGCAAGACAAGAACGTAAAAGAGCCCACGCCAGTCAAGGATTCTATTCCAGAGCAGGAGGATACGAAAAGTGAACCAGACGAAGAACCGAAGCATATAGGGACTAGAGATGATGAACCAGCATCGGAAAGTGAAATGTCGGTTGTCCTAGATGAAGCGCCAAAGCTGAAAAAGAAGCGAGAAACGGCACCAAAGAAGTCCAAATCGAAAACAAAGACACCCGCTTTGAACAAGGATGCCAATTTAGACCCTGACCAAGCAGAGATAAAGCGACTGCAAGGTTGGCTAATCAAATGTGGAATCCGAAAAATGTGGGCTCGCGAATTAGCGCCTTTCGATACATCAAAAGCGAAGATACGCCACCTGAAGGATATGCTGAAGGATGCTGGGATGGATGGGCGATATTCTCTCGAGAAAGCTAGGGTGATTCGAGAAGAAAGAGAGCTTAAGGCGGATTTAGAGACGGTCCAAGAAGGCGCAAAAAGATGGGGCAAGAAGGACTCCGGCGATGAAGAAGCTGGAGGGCCATCAACAAGGCGGCGACTGGCACGCGGGTTTCGAAGCCTGGGTTTCCTTGATGACGACGATGATGATGGTGAGGAGTCGGGTTGAAACGACGTGTTTGCCCAAGTCGCACTGTTGGAGGATACCCAACCATGATCTGTACGATATGATGTCTGTCTTGGACGTGTACTGAAACCCTTTAGCTCTGTTTAGATAGCACTTCGTTCATCTTCAAAAATATTGACAATCATAGCTTCCATTTATGATTATTGGCTTGCTTTCCCGCCTCCCATTCTCTGTGCGATGAGACTGAAAACAGCCACAGAGGATATGAACAAGACGAGATTATAAAACTAGCACCAAAGTTAGCTCGCACTACAAACCCCCGCGACAAGTTGAAAGAGATATGCCATACTGCGTTTCTTGAGTATTCATTCTCCTCGGTTTCTGTTCGGGCTTCTACAAATAGCCTCCGAAGGTTAGGAAGGTTTGCCTGGTAGAATGTGAGCCTTCTCATATAACTACCCAACTCGGGCCCCTAGTTATAGAATTACCATCTTTAGATCTATATTCTAACCCCTTTTTTACGAAGTGTACTTCGTATGGAGTAGGGAATGTTGAGTGTTTAAAATTGAAACTCAAAATAACTGATCGGATGCCAAGACGGGACATGGAGCGGGAGTAAGTTATTAACTGCGAGCGTTAGTGCCAGCTCAGAACAAGTGATGCATGTCCGAAAACATAAACCACAGACTTTGGCAGCGAACCCCTGATAGGTTGTTACTCAAGATGCTAGACATGTTTGTCATCAGGTGTGCTGCCTAGAGCGATCCCAGATAATACCCCGCACATATCATATTCTGTGAAGTTGTTTTGTATGATACCTAGTTCACCTCCAAGTTCCAACAGCTTTGGTCTATTGATTGCCACTCTCTGATAGAGGAAATACCCTATGATTTCTTCTAAGCCACACAGTTCAGCCTTCAATCCTACAGTCACAATGACAAACCTCGTTCCCTCCGCATGGAAAATCATTCCTCAGTTCGACTCCACATGTATCAGAGAAACAGTTAAATTCTATACCGAAGAGCTCCACTTCACACTGGGCGGTCTGTACCCAGATGACGACCCAAACGACGAACCGCACTTTTGCTCTATCTTCATTGGCAAAAAGGCCGAAGCAAACATATACTTCTTTGAATGCAAAAAGGAGAACTTTCACCCCTCCGCCGCGATGATCGCCCTGGGCACCATTGAACTGGACGAGTTTTACGACTTGTTGATGGCTAAAGGAACAGTGAGGGTCAAGGAGCCAATTGCGGACAAGGAATGGGGGTATAGGCAATTTTCCATCTTGGATATTCATGGGAATGAGCTTACTTTCTTCAAATTTTTGGAGGGAGGAAACCCAGGAGAAGAGTGATCTTGCACCAAAATGTGGGTTCATACAATCACGATATGCATTTCCCCTGCAAGTTCTCTGCATATAGCTTGGTAGGGGAGGTTGGTCTAATTGTGCTTCATGAAGAAATTTTAATATCGTCAAGAGTAAAGACTAATGTCACCTAAAGACTAGTATAGCTGCCACGTATGTTGATCACCATCAACAGCAATGGCTCAAACATACTTCTCTGCCCATTCAGCATGCATGAGTCCTTGCATTACTATCTCTCCTAGTTTAGCTCGGGCATTCTCCATGTTTTCACGGAGAGAAATCCGGAGCAGAGAAGTCATAAACGGTCGGGTGGGCCCATTCACCATGTCCATGTTTACAAGATCATATTCTGCAAGATAATTTATCTGTGTCTGCCACAAATTAGCAGCGAATGAGCCTTGATCTCGGATTTTCAGCAAAAGTAATGCCTCCGCATATCGCTCAGGGGTTAAGATTCGGACAGGCGAGCCTGGAGCATGACGACATCTCCCCTTGTAGGTATCGTTGAAATAAACAGGGTGCCAGTTGGGTAAGGGTAGACGCACATCATCAGCAAAAATGATGTTATTAGAATCTGTAAATTCTGGAGCATCGTACTGCAATGGAAGTGTCCAAACGCGCTCATCTTGAATATGTAGCTGAATCGAGGGCCAGCTAGTATTGATTTTATTGACCGGAGCCTCCTCAAATTCAAATGGGACATGAAAGTGAAAAGCAGGGTTAGCGAAGTTACCGCTGCCTCTGATAGAGGGTGTCCTAGAACGGCAATTTTCAGAAACACAAGGGGCAAGTCCGGCATAGGCCAGAGTATCTGCTGCCTTTTGAATTAAATGCCGGTCGATCAAAAAACTCATTTCCTATTCAATTCGTGTTTCAGCGAAAAAAAAAAAAAAAAAAAAAAAAAAGGGATATCCAACTATGGAAAAAACACACTATATCACCTGTTGGAATCCCATAGATGTCTATCATACTGTTCCATCAGAGTAGACTCGGAATTCCTGTGGCATTTAAGAGTAGTACAATATCGATCATGGTTCTAGTACAAAGGGTACAGCTTTTGAGCGTATTTTTTACTTGTAGGTATGGGGATATCTCTCGGAGCCTGTGAGATGTCGCTGAGCCCCCTCGTGGGTTCGACTATCTGTAATTAGCATATTTTTGACATAGACCATAGGGTCTTACTTGGTGGAAGGAGGCCGTTCCATCTGGGGCAATGGATCTCAAACTGGGGAATCTATGAACTGCATATGAACCGCCAGAAGCAATGATGGATGGTGGACGTAGGCGCTGCAGGGGAAATAAGCGACGGAGCAACCACATTTTGTTGAATGATAAATATGTGGGGTTGATTGATATCTGTTGGCTGGTAACAGAGCGATCTCGCCCAATGGACCAGTTGTGTTACTTAGTTATTCAAATTAACTACCTAGAGGCTAGTTAAATAACAAGCAAAATTGAGCCAATATTGCCAAATGCAACCATATGTATAAAGTCTCGCGGCCCATTTTGGCGATACAGAGACCTCTTCGACTTTGAACAGAGATAGAGGTCGCGCGTTCGCGTTGCATGGCACTCCGCCTGGGAGCCCGCGCAGGGGTTCCCTCCGGCGAAGCGGGCAAGGTAAAGCTTCATAAACGACCAACATACCGTGGAAGAGCGGCGATGAAGAATGACCAAGCCCATGTCTCACATTCGCAATTGTGCGAGCCGAGTTCTACAGCAGCTTTCAGCTCCCAAACGAAAGCTCCGCAGGCATAGCATGTGGGCAGCAACCAACCCAGCTGGTCGGAGGACGGTTATCACCCTTGGGCCAATTGTTGGGCTCTAGTAATCGCGTTCGTATAATAATTTCTGCGGTTCGGTCCAGGGACTCCTTAGGAGGCCCGCATGTCAGCGGCCGTGGGATTTCCATAATCTCAGAAAACTCGAACTTCCATCAGTCCGATGACCTCTTCGCCATTAAAGGCACGCCCAGCAGAGAAGATATGGCACCTATGCTCGGGAAAGAGGATCGCAGCTCTTTGAAGGGGAAAAACGGGAATGGAAGGCATGGAATTGTGCCGCGATAATATCACCTAAGGGAGACCCGGATTTTGAAACTGAGAATTGGCGTAAGAAAAACCCTCTCGTCCCCTGCCCCTCTTGCGGTCTAATTATTTTGTCAGCATATACTAAATCACACCTAGTTCAGTTAAACACTACATCCTACGAAAAACTCCCAACTAGAAAACGGCAGTGTTGAATGCAAAGTGAGCAAGATATCGGCCAACCTGTAAAGAGGAGAGCTGGATCAAACCTACCTAACAAGGCGATCAAATCTGGTTCGGATTAAACTCGGTATCGAAGCCAAGGAAGTGCTGGAAGGAAACCACAGATCTCCAAGATCAAGGGATGCTTTTCGTTCAATTTTATATTTTGTAACTTTTATCAAAACATCCCATGCTCGAGACAAGTTTGCCAAGTTTACAGTACCATCAGGACAACTCAACTCGACTATATTTGATGAAGTTCCTGGGCAGTTGGCCTCGTGAATCGAGCTTCATCATTTTCAAAACAAACTCCTTGTCCTCCTGACAAATCTTTCGGGCAGTAGTGAGGTGGAAAGGTTTCAATGTGTCAGGAGGACAATTGTCCATCACCCACATTATTGCTTGAAGCCTTGTATGATCTGCAATCTCTACATAGGATTTTGGAAGCGGGCCAAAACACTGATAATGCTTCAAGAGGATTTTGATCTCATAGCCCTCATGGTCAATTGGGACATTGATTTTGAAGATGTGAAATCCTCCCCCGTACAGTAAACTTATCACCTGTATAGCAATTAGTTAGCAGCAATTAATTAGTAAGAGTCACGTCAATGCAAGGAGAATGTGACGTAGGGTTACCATTGCCCCCAATGACCAGATATCAGTTGTAGTGACCCGACTTATGGACAAATATGCTTCTGGGCTTCTGAAGATGGGTGTTCCAATAGGGCCGCCATCTCGCGTATGGCTGGAATCCTTATGAACGGTGCTCCCAAAGTCGGCCAGTTGGACTTCTGCGAAGCAGTTGCCATCCTTTTTACCATAGTTTACCAACACATTGCTGGGTTTGATATCTGCCATGAACCTTAATCAGCAATCAGTTGGAGATACATGACAGATAAAAGGACTACCGTACCAGTGTGGACGAAACCCTCTTCATGTAAAACGGAGAGCGCTTCCAGGACCTTTCTAGCAACGTATTTCACTTCTTGGTATGTGAGGCGTTTCACGTCGGAGGCATGGAGAATTTCGTCGTCCAGATGCTTTAGTACAATGGTAGGAGGTGTAAATGGATCTTAGATTTCATCAATCAGTGGGCGTATAACATTGGTCTTGCTTTGGAATCGGCGCAAGATATCTCGCTCATTCTGAAGTCGGAAGTGGTTTACACTTTTGAGCACAATGTCCTCCTTATTCTGATTTCTACGAACACTGTTAGTGAGTGAAAATGAAGAAATCCAGCTTTGTTTAGACAGCAAGTAAAATCACGTACGCCGCGAGTCAAACACATCCATACTCCGTAGAGGCCCCGTCATATAAATATAAGGGCGCGAGGCGCGGTTAGTTAGTGTTAACTACTCCGTATCTAACTTTAAGCTTGGCACATTGTTTGGACTGTTTGCCCAAGAATGTTGCCCGCGACGAAACAGCGGGAAAGCAAGAGCACTTTGGCATCTGGGGAATTGGGGGCTTTGAGCCTGGTTTTGATAACCCATCTACTCCTCCACTCACAATATTTCCATATCGAGCTCATATTCGCTTGACTTCTGGAGGCGTTGATCGTGTTTGCTACCTTGCGCCTAACCCCACCCCTTAAGCTTCACCAAACGTGCGCTCTCTAAATACACCGGGCGGCGTTTATTGCATATCCGTCCTTGAGATATGGCGGTTAACCGAATAAAAGGCGCCTTTGCAGCGCCTCGAAAAGGAGAAACATTTGAACTTAGGGCCGGGCTTGTGTATGCACTGGCAATCAACCAAATCTCCTGATGTTTGCTCGCTGACATGATTCTTTAGATCTCAATATGCATATGAAAGGTACCCATAATTACCTAAACCGATGACAGCGGACGGCCTGAATACTTACAATACTACAGAAAGGAAGCCATTCAAAAGACCATTATGGCCATGACGCTGGGCAAAGATGTCTCGGCGCTATTCCCAGACGTTCTAAAGAACATTGCGACTGCAGACTTGGACCAAAAAAAACTTGTATATCTATATTTGATGTTTGTCTTCTCATTTCTCCCTTTCACATGTTCCAGCTGCGAGGATTTGGAATCTCATATAATTTTAGGAATTATGCCAAATCACACCCCGACCTCTGCATCCTCGCCGTTAACACTTTTGTTCAAGACTCAGAGGACCCCAATCCTCTTATTCGAGCACTTGCAATACGCACAATGGGCTGTATTAGGGTGGATAAGATGGTGGACTATATGGAAGAGCCTCTCCGCAAGACGCTACGGGATGAATCGCCTTATGTGCGAAAGACAGCTGCTATCTGTGTGGCAAAACTTTTCGATTTGAATCCTGTGCTCTGTCTTGAAAATGGTTTCTTAGAATCTCTTCAAGAAATGATTGCAGATCCGAATCCGATGGTAGTGGCCAACTCAGTTACTGCACTCGCTGAGATCAACGAGACAGCCCCAGAAACTAATGCGCTACAAATCACTCCAAATACATTAAGGAAAATGCTAATGGCTTTAAACGAATGCACGGAATGGGGCAGAGTGTCCGTTCTAACAAGTTTGGCGAATTATAAAGCGGTTGACCAGAAGGAAGCCGAGAGTATCTGTGAGAGAGTCGTTCCTCAGTTTCAACATATCAATGCCGGTGTTGTTCTTGCTGCTGTTAAAGCAGTATTTCTGCACATGAAATACATCAACCAAGAAACAGCAAAATCTTACCTTAAGAAGATGGCACCACCTCTGGGTGAGTGAGATACCCCTGCCTATGGCTTAAACAGTGGGGCTAATATAGAGTTTCTCTTCAGTAACGCTTGTATCTGCCGCGCCGGAGGTGCAGTATGTTGCCTTGAGGAACATTGACCTTCTTCTTCAGGCCCAGCCCAATATTCTGGATAAAGAATTACGTGTCTTTTTCTGCAAATATAATGATCCGCCTTACGTCAAATTTCAAAAGTTAGAAATTATGGTCCGAATTGCTAATGAACGAAACGTTGATCAACTACTGGCGGAATTGAAGGAGTACGCTCTAGAAGTTGACATGGATTTCGTTCGGAGGGCTGTGAAAGCTATCGGGCAGACTGCCATCAAAATCGAGGCCGCAACTGAGAAATGCGTCTCCACACTTCTTGATCTCATTAATACCAAAGTGAATTATGTTGTTCAAGAGGCTATTGTTGTTATCAAAGATATTTTCCGAAAATACCCTGGCTACGAGGGAATCATCCCGACTTTATGTCAATGTATCGATGATCTTGACGAGCCCAATGCTAGAGGGTCATTGATATGGATTGTAGGAGAGTATGCGGAGAAAATCAGCAACGCAGGAGATATTTTAGCTGGGTTTGTGGAGGGGTTCAATGAGGAGTTTACTCAGGTTTGTGACCCGCATGATTTATGTTTCGTTGAGATACGCGACTAACTAAACAGACTCAACTGCAAATATTAACGGCCGTGGTCAAATTGTTTTTAAAGAGACCCGATAAGGCTCAGGGACTGGTTCAAAAAGTACTGCAAGCGGCTACTGCAGAGAACGATAACCCCGACATTCGTGACCGGGCATATGTCTACTGGCGACTTTTATCGAACACAACCGACTCAAATGCTGCAAAGAACGTTGTTTTATCTGAGAAACCTCTAATCGTCACTACCATTCAATCTCTTCCTCCCAGTCTTCTCGAACAACTCCTTCAAGAGCTATCTACACTTGCATCTGTGTATCATAAACCGCCTGAACAATTTGTTGGACAGGGCCGATTTGCGGCCGATGCGGTGCAAAAGGCAGCAATTGAGTATGGGATTCTCACTGTTATAGACTGGAGCCAAGCTGACACTGACACAGGGAACAATTGCAAAATGCCCGGGAAAATCCACTTGCAGCGGCAGCAGCGGCGGCGGTTACTGGTACAGCTCCACCTCCTATTCAAAGCAACGTTGAAAACCTACTTGACATTGATTTCGATGGTACGGCGCCGGCATCTGCCCAAAAAGAGCCTCCCTCTGGGATGTCTGGCCTTGAAGGTCTGGCTGGAACTCCAATGAGAGTCGCATCGCCATCCGCGGGAGTTTCAGCCCAACCTAGCTCAAACTTAGAGGATTTGATGGGTGTTTTTGGTAGTGGTTTGACGCCCGGTGATGGCGGCGGGTTTGGTGGAAACACTGGCAGTTCTGGCAGCGCAGATCTGATGAACGGCTTTGCTGGCCTTGATCTCCTTGGCTCCTCATCGACGCCAGCAGTCAGTAACAGCACGCCCACGCCGCAGAATCAAAACAACATGGATCTTATTTAATCAATATTTGGGGGTATTTTGCTCGCGACTAGTGTAAATAGAGGTGTTCCAGTGCAAAACAATACTCATGATTGCATTCAATTGCTTCAAATCAGATGGCCTGCCTGTCCTGTAGTGGACCCGAGTTGATTTCATACATTTTCAGCAAAGAAACGCGGTATAAAAGTGATATGTACTTGACCAGACATTTGCTGTTTCAGTACACTGTCGAATACTCCGTATAGTTACTATGCACGATTACTTAACGGGGCCGAGACGGTTAAGAAACGAGAACATCCAAGCTGGTCGCACGGCAGCTCCACAGCAACATCAATTCCAGTGATAACTCAAGGATGTGATCCTGGACCTGGCAATGAGCCCATGATCATCACGGCCTTCCAGACCAATTCACACCCTCTTCATGTCGTCGACAGCGCAGAGCCAGCCCGGTGGTGTTCAGCCGGCATCCTCACAGCACCCTTCTCCACCCCCGCCTCCGCCGCACCAGAACAAGCATGACAAACAACACCAACAGCCACCTTCTCTCTCCAGATCCTCGTATTTCACATTCCCAGTCACACATGTTGTTTCTGGCCTCTATCGCCGCCTCACCGAGCCTGCCCTTGACTCCCCTCCAAACGCACCAGCCCGCACTGCCACCGAACCCATGAATGCGAGCGACATTATATTCACCCCACGCCGCAGAGCGTCCCCATTCCAACCACCGCCGCTCACCCCATTATCCCTCAAGGTCTCATCTGCGCCATCCACGCAATTGCTCACACGCGCATTGGCAGAGGAAATCAGGCTGCTTGTTCCGCCGAGGTTGCAGTTGGTGGACACGTGGGCGTTGGCATATAGCTTGGATCGAGACGGGTCGAGTTTGTCAACTCTGTATGAGAAAAGCAGGGAGTTCGCGGCAAGAAGCCAGCGGGCTGGATATGTGCTCGTGGTTAGGAGTGTCTCATCGAGTCACAATGCCTCTGCTGGGGACACGAATGGCGGAGGGACTGCGGGGGGCAGCTCTTCGCTGTTTGGGGCATACTTAACAGACCCGCCCCATCCAGCTCCTCATTATTACGGGACTGGAGAATGTTTCTTATGGAGGGCGAGCACACTTGCATCTACACCGTTGTTAAGTCTTGGTGGAAACGAGCAGCGGAGAAACCAGTCGGGGAAATCCGAGGAGGCAAAAATGCTGGAGGTCCCAGGTCTGCCTCTGCCGCCGAGTGCGGATACGACACATTTACGTGGTCGAAGCACAACGTTCAGAGGTGAGGAATGGCTGAAGAGCCGCCCTTCAGCCCGTACCGATGTAGGGAAGAGTGAAATAGCAGCACTTACTTCTTCTCTTGGGAACGATCCTGGATCCGAACAGCTTCAAGATTTACGCACCGTCACTAATACAGGGAATGCATATCTAGGAGACAGCACGAAGAGCGGTACGAGCACACCCGACCGAATACGATTCAAAGCGTTTCCTTATAGTGGAATAAATGATTATATGATACTCTGCGAAACTGGGTTCTTGAGCGTTGGTGGAGGGTAAGCCTACAACCCACATTGTTGTTTAAAATTTGGGTTATCTTGCTCTATTTTTGCTGATTGCATTGCTTACCACCGAGACTCCTTAGAGACGGTCACTACGGTCTCTGGCTAGACGATTCATTTGAGAAAGGGATCAGCAGTCCTTGCTTGACCTTTGGGAATGAACCTCTTTGTGATGAAGGGACCAAATTCGATGTAATGAACGTGGAGTTATGGTATATTGGAAATTAGTGGGCTGTAATATTTTAAAAATGGGAACAAAATAATAAGATGGTATTTTTAGTCCTCTGGTTCGACTATATAATCTTTTGTCTGCATGTGCACGAGGTATTGAAATATCGGGTTAAGTGTTCAGCTATTTATAATGTTTAGCTACATACACGCATGACTACAAAAAGTACAAACCATAGAACCCTACCGTTCCATCACTTCGAGCCTTGAAGCTCTTCCAAAGTTGCAGGCTATTGCAACGAGAAATTCCAAAAATTGAAGGGCGCACAGATAAGAACAGTACCAGAAGATAGGGGCATCAAAAGTTAGGTATTATTTACATGTAGAAAAAGCGAAAAAAAAAGGCAATGCAGCCTTAGGGGCAAAACATTCTTCGGAGAAGTAAAAATGAACGCGGGAGTACTACTAGAGCTGACTGGACGCTGTTAGGGTTCGCTTGCGCATGATATGAGATACCCGTAATTCTAAGAAACCATGGATTAGTATGGACTGTTCACCACCTCGTCTCTTCCAAGTCTTGTGCTGGTCCGCCGGCCAAATCGACCAGGCGTTACAGGGCCTGCGATACTCTCTCTCGTGGGTTTTCTGAAGCTTTGCTTTGCCACCATGTTGACCTCGTTAGGCAGGGCAACAATAACGCTCTTATCACTTCCAAACTTAAAGTTATCCGCCTTGACTTCCTCGGCATATCGCTTAATTGTGTATGGGTCCTTTCTGCCCTGAATTACCTTCTTCATATTCCATGTGATGATGAAGGGTCCCGTGGCAGTAATAATGGAAGTTTCGTTGGAGTCAAGTCCAGTATTGAATCTTGCGGGCGTAAAGGAAAGAGGGGCCTTTGTTTCGTGCTGGAATTGCGCAACATGGGCGGGTTGTAGACCTAGGCGGCGGGGTTGCGGCTTTGAATCCTTTCCGAAAGCTTTCTGGAAGCCTAGTTTGCCCTCATTCTTGCCATCCTTTTGAAGAGCATCAATCAGGAGGAGATATGTACGACAGGTAGCCAGAACCCAGCGACCATCGGCAGACACATCTAGGCCGATGATGGGTTCGCCCAATGCGGGAATGTGAGTCTTAGCATTGATCCCAAGACGGTCGAACAAACGAATATCTCCTTTATTCGACGCAACAGCAATATATCCTTGCTCTGTTGTAGCGGCCACAGAAAAGTCGTTTTTGCTGACGTATTGTTTCAGATCGGCATCGACAAGTTTGTTCCCGGCTAATCGGGGATCGATCCTGTATAAGGCATTCCTAGATATTCCCAAGAAGGGTTGATGAGAAGTCATTTGGGCAAATTTCTAGAGGCTGTCAGTTCCAGAAAAGCAGTTATAGCCAAAATATACAGTAGCCACTTACGTTCTCAGGCACAAAGTTCATAACAGGAATATCATCATGGACTTTCCATTCATCCACTACTTTTCCATATTCAAGGTCCATTCTATATAATGCATTTGGCTCTTTCTCATTCTGAAGAATCATGCTTGAATCTTCTGCATGAAGCATGACTTTCTTGGGGCTAAATAGTGTGCCTTTTGGAGTTTCAACTTTTGATATGTTGGTAGAAAACTCCAGATTGTTATTTGGGGTGTGTTTGAAAACCCCAATTTTCGAACCACGGACAACAAACGACCTGTCATGCTTGTAGCCAACGGCAAGTTGAGAATTAACGTTCCCATCATCATCTTTAGTCAAAACATCATCTGCCTCTTCGTCCGAATCATAATGCTCACTACGTTCGCCGTCATCTGTCACTTCCAGTTCCTCTTCCTCCTCTTGTTCATCTTCAGGCTCCTCTGGAACGTCATCCATGGTGAGATCATTAAACGCCTCTAGCACGTAGTCACGCTCGTCTACCTTTGTTTTTGACCACTTCATCTCATGCAAGTGCTCCCAGAGTGCCTGCATAAGTCCTTCTTGGAATCTTTCTTCTACCGTTTGATCCTTGAACCGTAAAAGCCAGGAGTAGGCAGATCCATCTTCGGTATAATGATTGAAAATGAATGAGAGATATTCAAAGTTAAAAACCGGATTAATATCGGGCACCACAGGCTGTCCCAGCCATTCCCGGTCCTTCCCACTTATCTGCAGCCAATATTTCCAGGATCCGATTTCGGACACAGTTACAGTGACTTGAGAATCTTGGAGTATAAAGGTTCCAGAACTAAAATCGAAAAGGTGTAACTCAGCAGTCTCCTTGGCAAGTAGCTCGGTTGCATCAGGGTGTTCAACGGATGGGGGAGCTTGAGTATGATCCTCAGATTTGCGCGTAGCAATCTTTTTATTTCTTGCAACTTCTGTCGCCATTGCAGCAGCTGATTCTTTGGACGTTGGGGTGATAGGGCTTGTGACAGGGCTCGCATTGGGTATGGGACATTCTTCTTCAAACGCGAATTCTTCAAGCTCTTGTTCTGTAGCCTTATGCGCAGTGCGCCTGTACTTCCGCTCGTATTGACACTCTACAGCAGCAAGAACAAATGTCGCGACTTTCTCAGCTGGGGTTGAAGAATCGCACACGAATTCGTATAGGTCTCCAACATCACCGCTTAAGTCCCGCCAAGCCAGCACTTTCTCTCCTCCCTCGCGGGCTTCTGATCGAAAATGAAGGCTTTGGTCCAGTAGAAACGTTTTTTCATCCTTGTCGCCACCAAGCCCTTCCACATCTCCCCCCTCGTCTTCGTCATCTGCGAGCTCCTCTTCACCTTCCTCGTACGCCCTCTGTATTACTAGCTGATATTGGAAATCTTGTCCCGTGCGCCGGATACTCGCAGCGCCATCTTTGAAAATAAGCTCCGAATATCCCTTGGGCGACAACGGGCGCACGATATACAGTTGGCCTTGAGGGATTTCGATAATGGACTCCTTTGCAGTATCACCGAAAAGGAATTTACTCACTTTAGAAAGTAAAATGTTGTTAGCTTATGATGTGAAAGTGAAGTAGGTTGAAATAGCTGTTTGTTGAATTCCGCGTCGGGTGGGGGAGGGGTAGAGCTTTCAAAACTTACCGTTCCTGAGCATAAACATGGCTGAAAAGTGAATTAAAAGGAGAAGATCTATTAGTTTGTAAGTAGAGTAAAGTGCATCGCCAGACTAATTTAAAGCCATACGTATACAATGGGAGATCTGTTTGATATGAAGAGGCGACTTTGAAGCTTCCAATCGGGCTGCTCTTTTAGTGTTTACATTTAACGGATGACTGCCAAACAAGGCAAACATCGCGTGTAATTACAGTTTGTGTGGCAAAAAGCACCTTTTTCGTGTCAAAATAGTAGCGCCGATATTGGTGCTAGGCTAAAATCGGCATTGCTGCCTAAATTTCAGCGAAGCCTATATACTCACGGTCTTGCTCTGATTTCCACGCACCTATATCATGCTTTATAGCTCACTAATAGACAAATGGCATCTGACTCAGTAGAAGGGAAAAATGAGTTGATGTGTTATTGTATTCAAGTTGGAGAGGTTGGTTATGTTTTGGCAAATGCTTCTGATGGCGTTCAAGCTATATATCTCCAGGCTCCTGGCTGCGTTGACATTCCTCATTTGGAATTTCTGCTGAGGGCTCTTTATTCTGCGCACCATCTCCATTGCCCTTCTCCACCTTTTCTACTTGAACATCTTCACATTTCAACGTCCCTCCTTTTCTCTTTGGTATGACTTGATCGAATGCCTGACCCCAGTCTCCAAGTTCCAACCATCGGATGATTATTTCTACCACATGGTTCGTGGCTAGAACATAGCGACTCGACATTTGCATATACTCCCCAATAGGTAGCTTAGCAGTCTTTATCCCTTTTTCGACGGCTCTTTTATAACATATTCCCTTGTGGCGATTTTTGTCAACTAGACCCCCAATAACGTATGTACTATATGGTTTCAGCTCTGTTAGGGTATCCGAGCTATCACTTGTAAGATAAATAATCTCCCCCTCTTCTTCTAATTGAGCCTTTTCCATATCAACTTTATTAGAGAAAACCCCCACCAGTTTCCCGCCTCGAGGCTGTTTCATCCGGGCTTGTGCAGCTTCGGCTGCAGTAACAAAATTCTCCTCGGTCATAGTAACGCCCCTCCAACGTTCATATTGTTTTGTTAGCACGGTATCAAATCGCTGTTTCAAGAAGCCGTTAAATGAAGACACAACTAAGTGTGACCTGTATTTGGACCGAGAATTGTCAGAGTATGCACGGGTGATTTGAGAGGCGAGAGACTTCCGTTCTTTTTCCAGCATTAGATCATCAAAATCACAATCTATCACAAGAGTGACGGGTAATAAGACAGAGTTTCCATTATCTTTCTTTCTCAGATCCCGAAGCGTAACCCTTCCCACGGCCAGGCTGTCGTGCGATACCGGCAGTTCAGAGGGGCCAAAATTGGTTTGGGCTGTTGATTGCACCTTTTCCTCTCGTTTACGGTCCCTCTTTTCCTTTAATTTTTCCTTCCGTCTCTCCTTGCGCCATTCGCGGGACGCTTCCCAGCGTTCAAGCTTCTTCAGCTTCTTCAGTTGATTTTTTGAAAGGGCTGCTGTCTCACTGGCGCCAGTTTTTAGATCTTTTTCGATTGTAGCGTCACTATTTGCTCTTGATGTTGACTTTTGGTTCTCGTTTAATAGGCTGTCATTTGTCGCTGATGTCGTTCCCTCAGCGATACTTGCCATGCTGCCAGTATGGTCCAGTTTTTGTAACTTCCTTGGTCTTTCCTCCTGATCCATTGCCCCTGGTGCTGCTATCATAGGATCTCAAGGCGTCATGGTTTAGTTCTTCAACAAGCAGGCACTGGTACTTTTGATTGTTCGTTTGTTGTGCATTTGTGTCAAACTATCTCAGCCAATGGGAGGACCCAGAGATCATCAAGATCACGTGAAGATTCAACCTGGGCGGGATCGCGTTCCATCTTCAGACCTATCTGTCTACAGTAGGCAAGCCGCAGTTACTTAAAATCACTTCCACAATGCCTCAGGATATGCCCCCTATTGGGGGCTACAAGCCTGTCCAATACAAGGTGTTTAATTGCATCTCTCTCGCACATTAGGATACCCCTTAGCTAACTAAGGCAGCGCAACCTTCCAATTCGCGGATTTAGGCCCGTCTATTATCTACTCGGAATGCATGCCATTATGGCATATGGGTTTTATAAGTTATGGCTTGGTCAGCGGGAGAAGAAGTCAGTCAATCGCGACCTTATGCGCTTTTATACTGCAACCTCTTTGGGCACCCCTTCGAAAGAAGCTGACTTCAGATAGCGAACTTGCCCGTGAGAAAATATGGGCCCGAATTCATTTGATTCCTGTCCTCCAAGCCGAAGAAGATCGTGATCAAGTTCGGCGATACTATGCGGACAAGGCGAGAGAGAAGGAATTAATCGGATCGCAAATAAATGTTTACAACTCTGACCGGTAGGTTTTAGTTTACCTGATATCTTATTTCCGCGGCCTTTTTAAGGAAGAACACTGCTAACACATGATATTTTAGATTTGTGAGGCCCACATTCATGTACACACCAGCCACCCCAGATGTATAGGCATGCAGAACAAGGGGGAACTCTCATGTTGTTCATAAATTCTGCCTTGTTTCTGCTATAACTATCTGGGGACTCACCCATTTTTTTTGTCTGCTCTAAACCTTTACTGGAGGATTATATGCAGAAACTTTGCACATCGATCGAGAGCTTTTTTTTATTTATTCTTATGCACATTGGACTATGAGTCCATCAATGAATGTATCATCTGCTTGTTTTGGCATTAAACCTTGCCCTGTCCACTTCTCCAGGAAACTCTGCATTTGCTACAAATATGTCTCTCACAAAGCTCCCAAAACATCTATTGTAGAGGTCGCTGCACGGAACGTCCCTCACCCAATGCTATAACAATACGAATGCACATGCAAATCACATCTAAGTGAAACCAGCCGCAATTTTCCCAGATAATATTTCAGGAGAACATATCAGCAACGCCAGTCAAATCCGGACCATTGTTAATATCTACCTTTCCTAGCTCCTGCCCTTCCATCTCTGTGTTCATCATATATCTGGCTTGTATTGTACTGCGATCCTTTTTCCGATTAGCTCGTGCTCCGCCAATTTTCCCCTGCTCACTAATGCTCACGCCCCTCAAGCCCTCCAAAAAATCCAATACTATGGCTTTTTGCACTCGTGTTGACGATGTTTTCATTAATGCTTCCTCTGCAGCGATGACCTTAGTCTCAGTCATAGCGGGCAAGCTTAACATGATGGACCTCGGAGTATTGCTTCTTGGGCTATAAAGCACCCATATGGATGCAATAAGCTGAGCGAGATCTTTCTGCATATCAACAAAGTACGGCTCATGGACGGATGTAATACAGGCTTTAAGAACATCGGTGCTGATGAACTCGCGAATACTGGCAGCTGTTGGTGTGTCAACGGGAGGCAAAAAATGAGATAGGATAGATCTTAAAACTCTGGTGATAATGCTGCAACTCCGGGTATCGTGCATACGCAACGCGTGGGTGCAGAAAAGGATTACTGGCTCGAGGATCTGGGGAGATGAAAGAATGAAATGTCGCATGGACTGAGGTTCATCCTCTGGAGGCATTGTTTCAGCTGTCGAGCTTGAGGGCTTCGGATCTAAGATGCAAAAGTAGATATTATTAGATTAGACACCTAGCAGAATTCCGAAGCCAACAAACCTTCTTTATTAGGATCCAACAAACTGGCCACCATGATTACGGCTGAATAAGTCAGCTGTCTCAATATACTTTCGTCTTTCATTTCTTCTGTTAGATCATCATCAACTGTCCCTGTCCTGCGTCGCTCTATTATATCCCATTCGGCGGTAATCTTTTTATCAAGTTGGGTAAATAAATTTGACATCATAGGCGGTAAGAAATGCCCTCGAGACTGTGGCGGGCAGTCATCGATAAGGCATCTCGATATATTTAATAGTACTGAGAATTGATGTGAAGATAAGGACGTAGAATCGGTATATAGCGCCTGGGATAAAGGAATAGAGAGTTCATGAAAACCGTAGAAGTGCTCTTGAAGTCTACTCATACTGAATAGTATGGAATAGCATGCTTCTCGAACCTGCCTGACCTTTCCCCGAACCGATGAAGAAAACCCTTCGAGAGTGCTCTTAGAAATAGCAATTTTTTGATAAAATTCTTCTCTGCTACCGGATGAAATACCCGCTTGCCAGAACCTATCTGTCAGGATACGTCCTACGATTGGACGCATATCACCTGGAAGCCCAACCCAGTTGTCCGGGTTGTGAAATGCATGAGCATGGCTACAGAGTAAGCTTGGTGGCAAAAAGAAATAAGATGCTTAACAGATGCATACCTGACTAATTGCAGTAATGAGGGGAGAATAAAGGGAATCATATCCTTCCAAAGCTCGCACGTAAGTTTATAGGGAGGATCCATAGGTTTTAGTTTTTCTGTGGTCACAGAGAGCATTGTTTTGGTATTTCTGAGGGGAATACGCTGCAATTTGTGTATTAGTTCATTCCTTAGAAAGGTATATACGAATTTGTACGCCATACCTGAAATCTCGAATTCATCTGCTTTTGTATACGTTTTCCATCCTCGTCAAGCAAAACAGTAGACCAATCTTCGATTTTCTGGGCCTGTCGAGCTTTTAGGTATGGGTGCACTTGATCAAGGCCAAATGCTTCGCAGAAACCCTGAAAGGTCGATATCGTTTGCCTAAGCTGTTCATCCCCCCATGCAAACTTTAAAGGCTCAATGAATGATTTTAAACGCTCTTGGCGTATATCAGGATCAATATCCTTTGCACGGTGCCTAACGAAGTCAGTATGCTTATTTCCCTCTATCCCGAAATAAAAACACGCACATAACTATCAGAAGTACTGGAGATAGCTCCATATGTGGCTGGTCTTCGATAGTCCTTTGCTGCATCTCTTGGACTTTCTGACTAAGGATGTCATAGAATGTCTGAGTAGTTAGTGACATGACTTTATCTTAATAAAGAAGAACTTACAGAAAAATAATCTGCGTAACGAGAGGCGAGCCTCCGAACTTCGTAGGTAGCAAGACTGTACAGCTCTCTGACAGCCTCTGAATAAAGTGGAAGCTCAGGATTATCCGCGGTATCTGTCATGAGAATATGTTCGAGGACTTTAAGTGCGTAGCTAGGCTTATTTCGCAACGCTTTCGAAGAAAAATCGACGGACAATCGAATTACTCGCTGCACGATAGCTGGGTCCTACTCTTTATTAGTAGCCAATTCAACTCTAGGCACCCAAGAGCTCATACTGCAAATTGCCTTTGCAATAAACTAAGTGCCCATGTTTCCAGATTATTCTCAAGAGACTGCCGTTGTTGTTCCTGTATATTATAGAAATTAATATGTACCACACCTCAGAACTGCTATCGCACTCACATCACGTTGTGGATCAGCGCCGTGACTTTCAAGCCATTTGTTGTATCCTTTAAGCAGAGACTCTGTAACTGTAAATTGAGTGTCGGCGCGCAATACAGAAATTGTCTGTTTGTGGAAGGTTGAAGCTAGAAAGCAAATCAGTAAAGTATTTCCAGACAGGCATGCGTCACATACGATTGAAGGGAGCAATCCCATTATATAGGTTATTAAGGCCATTATCAACACCGGAAAGAATATGAGGGACAGCATCATGGGGCTGATTTTGCACAATAACCTCTATGACCTGCCCACAATACCTTCTGTAGTTTCCTACAAATGCATGCCTCTCGGGTAAAGTATCAACATCCTCGTTCAAAAATAGAATCGTGGGCTCCTCTGAATCTTCTGGAAAGGCTTCGTATCGCACAAGCCGTTGAGTGCATATTTCTACAAGAGGGCCAATAAAGTTGGCAATAGCGCCGGATTTCCCAATATCATCGCAAAGGAGAATCCTGGACCACGAATGAAGCACTGGAATGGATACAATTAAACTTTGGTGTCTTAAAATGCTGATCAAAAAAGAAAAAAAGTATTGCAGGTCGACCTTTTTGCATAAATTAATACTTTTCTCTTCAAGGAACCAGGCAAGGCATGATATCAACTAACGATCCATTAGTAACTGTGACAGGAATAATATAGACATAACATACCTCAGACAGTTTTTTGGATATAGTATATTTTATGTCAAAAACATTATTTGCGTCCACGATAGACCATTCATAGAGTTTTCTCAGCAAAATTAACCGCTCGGTATCATATACTATGCTTAGTAGGTTTTCAAACTCCATGATATTGAAATGGGTTCTTCCATATAGTGCAAGCAACGCCTCAACAGCAGACTAGAGCACGACCTTTAATAAAACAACACTGTGTATATAAACGTGAATGGTGGCTTACCATCAAGATAATATCATCATTTGCAGTGAGCGCCATGCATATTGCCTGAACACTCTGGCTCGAGACAATAGCCAGTGGCAAATTCCAAAGCATCATCGATCGCAAAGTCGCTAAGCATTTCTGTGCGCATACTCGAGCCTCCGGCATCTTATATAGATTTTGAAGACAGTCATTAAGGAACGTCGTGATCCTGACAAGCCAGCCCTCGCTACCACACCGTAATTCGGCGTGTTGTTCTCGGTCAGGGTGAGCTTCATTAAAGACAGTATACGGTGTGCATATTTCGATGAGCGCGCGGTTTAGGTCTGTCCCACGGAGAGATGAAGCTGTGTCCTCATGGTGAAAAGTATCATCGGACATCGTTTCCAAAACACCGAGAACAAACTCTTTATGCACCAAAGCGCCATTCCACAACTGAACTAGTGACTCGTCCATATTCAACCAGTCAAGAGCCCAAGTCCGCTTCGCGATCTCGACCCAGAGCAAAACAAGCTTGTTGCGGATATAGGAAAGGTCCCGTGCCTGGATCTCTTGAGCAAGGCTTATAATTAAATCTCTTAGGTGAGTTATCTGAGCCGGCGTTAACTCAGATAATCTATGTTTCAAAACATGCTCTAAGAGGGAGAGCCCATAATGGCGGAGGAGCGGCGAGTGCTGCTGTTCCGATGCCAAGTAAAAGCCGGTCTGTGCTGCATTTTTCTCGTGCTTTTGCAACTCGAGAAATTCCGAGGCTTGCTTCCTAACTTCATTTGTCGTTGTTCGAGTATGGATGATCTCTAGCGCCTGCGCGATGTTGATGAGGTCTGGCTGGCTTGTGCCGTTTCCATGGACAGCAACAGGAAGCTCCAGAGTACTGGACGTACCTGTCGCCATGCTGCTACTAGTAGCTAGGTATATTCGATAATTCCACGTCCAGGTCGTCTCATGTGGGAATGACCAACAAAGATAGAAGGGTTCTGGCTAAACACTCTGCGCTGAGGGGTGGTGGCCCCGGTCAGGTAACGAGACGCGCTGCGCGAAAGTTTCAGCGGAAAGTTTATTTGGCTAACAAGACGTCGAGACCTGATAAGAAAGAGTTCAAGGAAGGTGGATGTGCTTGGTGGGTGATTGATGGCTCTCTTGTGGATTAGTGATGGTTTGGTGGTCCTAAATTTAATATCAAAGCAAGGTTTGATGACGGACTTCCAGCAAACCTTTTGAGGTTGGTAGTGACAGTTGACCCACAATCGATTGCCAACACAGAAGAGTTTATATCGTTGTCTGAACGTATCAACACAATGTCCAAAGACCAAAAATTGTTTTTCTTGAGCCTTGCTCCAGTTGCTGTGTAACTAATCAGTCTGCGCCAATTCAGACTCTTCGTAGAGGCCTTGGGCACAAAGGCTGGACATTACAAAGGTCGTGTAGAGAACCAACAATGTTGAGACAAGTTGTGTATGTATTGTACACAACTGTAGAGTACATATGTCTCTATTCTGCAAAGTATTCTACATAGTACAGCATTACACGGCCTTCTTGTTACAATATTGCAGAAAAAAGAGAACCTGAGCCGCAAATTCGCACTATTGAAACCAGTCCAAACCAATCTGCGTCTTGGGATAGCTCCGATGTTTTTTAATAATACTATCTATAAGAAATGCGACGATACCTTAAAGAAAAGTCAAAATCACCAAGTCCTTGTCGTCAATATGGAATCTGCCAATAGGCAGCCCGACATTCATGGCTAATGTTCATCGACGCCTCTAAATTATTTACATTAAAACACAGGTACCACGCCGGCATTGTTTGAGATATTGTTCATCTTCGAGGAATTCCAGATTCTCGCCAGGCTTTCTTTTCGCTCCCTGAATTTCAATCTTCTGTTCTCCTTCAGCATGCCACCACCTTAAGTATTGGACAAAACCCGACCCAGTTTCTTCTTTGTCAATATCCCATTGCCCACTGCTGAGTGTGACATTGATATGCATGCTTGGGTAGTGAAACTCTGGAAGATAGATAATAGTTGGGCTATGTCGGGGTGTGGCAGTCATGGACGTTACGTCCATAGTGAACAAACAAGTGCGGAGATCAAACCCATATTGTGCAAGATCCCCATGTATTGCAACCGGACTTGGCCTGATATACGCTTCGGCGGCTCGATACCCGAGACGGTCGCTTGATTCTAGATTTGGAATTGCTCTGGCTGAAATTGATGGGGTAAAAATTGCCCTTTTAAGATTATCTGGCTTGATTTCAGTGCTAACCGAATCAGCCCGACTCAGAGAGAAGGCAGGTGAAGCAGGGTCAAGGGAAGCGCTAGACTGCTGTTTCGAAACATCGCTTAACGGTTTTCCCGTAGGCAGAGGAAGATCGTCGAGAGAATAAATCGACAAGTCTTCTCCATTCCAGTGGTCACCCCATTCGTGTATGTTCTAAAAGTCCGTTAGCTGTGGTAATGAAAGTCGAATTAGGTATTGTACCGTTGACATATAGGTCCAAAGCGAAAAGCCGTTCATTCCACTGCCTTCAATAGCATAGTGATTGGCATCCATCGCGCTGACTTGGCTACTATAGTCTCCAGTTTTGTAGGCGTACTTATCGTCCATATCGTAAGGAATACCGATCTCTGTGAGAATTGCCGGATGAGTTCCCATTAATTCTAAACTTTCCTTTCGTAGAAACCGAAGTTGGTCTCGCAGGCAATTTCGAATGGCTGTTTCACCAAGTTTAATACCAAATGCAGGAGTGAGGTATTTTCCTCGGAGAATGCCGACTACGTCAACGTTATATAATCGACTCCTGGTTGAGGTGGTGAGATTTGGAGAAAAGAAGGTAAATAAGAAATAAGATAAAAATATGTGAAGGATACTCACCAGTGCTTCGTCATCAGAGTAAGTCCATCATAAAAATGAACCGCATGGACCATATTGGGGTCGTCATCTGCTGTATCTTTCAAGTTAGGAGGCATTTCCATGACTGGAGGCTGGCAAAAGAGTATGGCATTTGGGTGGACACTTCTAATAGCATCCCTGTACTTTCGGAAATGATCCATGAAATACTGATTGGTAAACCCTTCATAGTCCAATGGGAGACCGGTTTTGGGATCCTTGGCGAAATAATCCTTTTTTAATAGCGTATTGGATTTCGGGTCCCAAACTCCATGCTGTGCCCACAAGCATTCACCAAGCTTCCACTGGGGATCTCTCTCCCAGCCATACTTGGTGTCTTCGTAGTACGTTGAGAGCCAGGCAGAAACTCCTTTAGGGTCAACCAACTGTCTGCCAGTTTTGTGGGGGCCAAAACCCCCAAATGCCCAGGTGGCAATTTCACAGGCTCGCCCGGAACCAGTCAACATGGCCTGAAAAGCAGTCGGAGAGGTACCGAGCTGAAGCTGTTGTTCTTGAGGTATGACGGAGATATCCTGATATCCCACTAGGCCTCTGTTTGGCTCATTCATGGACTCCCATCCGATCACTACTTCATTTTCTAAGTCCCCAGCTTCTTTGATACGCTGTGCTAAATGTTTAACGGCGGAAATATAATGGTCTTGAAGGAAATCTTGGATATTGAGTCCATCGATGATGGCCTTGGGAGCAAAATCCTTTCCTGCCCAGAATAAAGTAAACATTGTCTGACATGCAAGTCTAGTGTAATTTGTACTCCATATCATTTTTGTAAAAGAAGCGGGATCAGGATAGGTATTTTGGACAAGTGCGGCTTCGGTCGCACTAAAATTCAAAGGATCTAGCCCAGCAGCACATAGAGTCCACATAGGTGCCCCAGAGCCTCCTGAGAACCGGGACCACTGTCAACTTTTAGTATATTGCAGTAGTCCAGCAGATAAATACCATAATAGGGCTGTACGTACCACATCCTGATGTGGATCCATATAGACATAAAAGCCGTACCTATTCAACACCCGCAGCATTTGGATCGTAAAATCGATCCAATCTTCATCGTATATTCTTGGGCCTCTATGCTCAATGGCCTCCCAAGTGAATATATATCTGATTTGATTGTACCCCCATTTTTTCAACCTTTCGAAGTGTGTGGGAGCATCCTCTAAAGAAAATGGCCGCCCTACAAAGGAGACATTGTCTCCATCGAAGAACCCTTTCGAAACGTATGACGGTATATTTGGGGTCTTGGGGAACTTCGCAGTGGCATCGACGTTGATTCCTCTTAATATGACCTCTCGGTTCTTGGAATCCCTGAAGGTTGTGCCGTCGATGTATAAACGTCGGAAAGCCATGGTGGAAAAATCGAGGCTCAGTACAGAATATTTATACGAAGATTAGCAGCAATATATCAAAAATAGACTAATAGTAATAAGTAGAGCTATGAATTAACAATATGCATATCGTTAGTAGGTATGAAAGCAGTGCTGGATTAGTAATTGCACAAGGAGAGAATATAGATATTTTCTATCCGAAAGGAAGTCACAAACAACTCCATCGCCAATATAACTAGGTGTTATCGGTGGAATCTGCGAGAAAGCAATTACAGTCGATAATGAAGCTGCGACGTATGATGCGTTGTACAATTGCTGACTAACAGCTTGAGTAACTTAAGTTGAGTAACTCCTGCTAGTTAGTTAACCAGCTAGTTAACTAGTTGACTAAGCACATCCAAGCCTTCAAACCTTACTCGTACCGTTTTGCTTCAGTGTAACTACAAAGTAGAAAAAGCCCCAGTACTCTATACTACGGCTACTACATCTGAGCTCATATGATTTTGAATAAAACAGCAGATTGATAGACACCATTGGTGCTCACAAGGTTTCTGAGGAGCAACTGTGAAGGTTAAATCCCACAGAACATGCCTTGGATCTGTAACTCTATCCGATAATATCAACTTGTAGGAATGGCCCCAAAAACTGCCCTGAAGAGTATACGAGCCCTGTTGGATACTGGAGACTTTTCACAAGCTGCTGCAAAGGCAAAAGAGATCTGTGAACAAGAGCCACGGAATTATCACTCGTGAGTTCCTTGCTAGCCGTCAAATTGTATGTCAAGTAGCGATGACAACTAATAGGCCCCGATATAAGCCATCTCTTCCTAGGCCTCGCTCTTGATAAGCTAAATAATGCCGATGCGTCCGAGCGTGCATACATCGATGCTATCAAAATCAAAGATGACGATAAAACAGCCTGGCAAGGCTTGATAAACTTGTACGGGCGACTTGGAAGCAGCAAAGTAGATGAGTATGCAACAGCCGTTAAAGGCCTATGTCACATATTTGAAGTAGCGTCTGTGGGCCCTCTCAACCTTTTCTGATATATAATTGACTAAATTTATTCAAGTGACGACAATGTTCACGCTCACGCAGCAGTCGATAAATATATTCGTTTTACTAAGAGCAATGGTACCCGCTCTCAATATAAGAATGCTTTGTCGCTCTTGTTACCTTCTAGTCCACTATTTAAAATGCTGGAAGGCTTGATACCACATCCCTCCCTTACGTATCTTGAAGTTATTGAAATCTGCGAAGCAGAAGAGAAGGAGTTCATCAACCGTGAAATTGGTGACAGGAGAACGAGACTGGGCGCAAGAATCGACCAGGTGACTACGGAAGTTAAACTCGAGGCGGCTAAACGAAGCTGTCTTGAGGAACTGTACCGTGGTATTATTGATTGGACTTATGATGATGAAGTACGGCGACGCTATGAAGAGAAGCTGCTACAACGAGGGTATGATCATCTTCTCAATCTTCCAAGCTCCAGGAAAGCCGAACAACGAAATTATGTCTTGAAATCTGCCAATGACATGGTCATCATTCACCACCCCTTTGAACTCGCTTGGAAAGTAGTGCTAGAATGGCAGGATGTGGATGAAATATCGGAAATGGATGTTGCCTTATTACGGGAATACATCAATTTATTCCCAGACGTTGGCTTGAGCAAAGTATTAAAGGGGTTTCTGGCGAGCGAATTCTCCCCATTCCCTGATGAAGAGCTTGACTCAAAAGACCAGAATAATGAGTCTTCACATTCAGAGTCTATTGGTATCGAAAACCAAATTGCAGGAGAAGATCACATATTGTTGATGGCTGAAGGACTTTCAAAATCTTCCGATTCCATATTATCTCATAGATTAATGGGGGAAGTGTATCTCGCTCTTGAGGAGTTTCAAACGTCTGCAGATGTTAGTCGCAAAGGATTGCTGGTAGTGTTGGAACTTCAAAAACGAACGGGTTTAAACCTTCGGAACGTTACCGATTCCGTCAATACCATCCTTGCAACATCGCTCATCACATACCAGTCACCGAAAAATCACCCTGAAGCTAAACAAATATTCGAGCATATACTGGAGCGAGATCGAAAGTCAACAAAATGCCTTCTGGGGCTTGGTTTGATCTATGAGGAAGACGAAGATTATCAAGAAGCGGCTGTACTTCTTGAAAGTGCGTTACAGCGAAATCCCAATAACGCAAAAGTTCGATCCGAGCTTTTTTGGTGTAAGGCACGAAGTGGAGATCTCCAAATAGCAAAGGATGGCCTGGAAGATACGCTTGCTCTGATTGAATCCCCGGGTTCATCTTGGCGAGATTTAAAATCCACAATACTGTATCGGATTGGACAATGCCTATGGGAGTTAGACTCATCTCCAGCCGCGAGAAAGGACCGTAATCGAGCCTACGCTTGCTTTTTGCAGTCGATACAATCTAATATGAATTATGCACCAGCGTATACCAGCCTTGGGATTTTTTATGCAGACTATAAAAAAGACAAAAAGCGGGCAAGACGCTGCTTCCATAAAGCAATTGAACTATCATCGTCCGAGATTGAAGCCGCCGAGCGCCTAGCTCGAGATTTTGCTAACCAGGGGGATTGGGATCTTGTGGAAGCAATATCTCAGAGAGTCGTGGATTCTGGAAAGGCCAAACCCGCACCCGGCTCGAAGAGAAAAGGAAAAAGTTGGCCTTATGCTGCTCTTGGAGTAGCTGAGATCAACAAACAACAATATGTCAAAAGTATAATTTCATTTCAAACGGCTCTTCGTATCTCACCCCACGATTACCATAGCTGGGTTGGGCTTGGGGAAAGCTACCATAATTCAGGTCGACATATTTCGGCAATCAAGGCCTTTCAACATGCACAGGCGCTGGAAGACATGCTGTCAGACTCTGATAAGGAACACACATGGTTTGCCAGGTACATGACGGCAAATGTGCTACGTGAACTTGGAGAGTTTCCAGAAGCTATTTCTATTTATAAAGAGGTCTTGGATATGAGACCTGACGAATTTGGGGTCTCCATAGCCTTGTTGCAAACGCTAACGGAAAATTCATGGAAGGCGCTCGAATCTGGCACCTTTGGTGAAGCTGCAGAGCTAGCAGCGGCCGCGATTGAGACAGGAATTCTGGTAGCCAAGCACCACCTAACCTCGATAAATTTATGGAAGGCAATCGGTGATGCATTTTCTATTTTCTCTTGGGTCAAGAGTAAATCAGATCTCATACCAATCTCACAATTTAGGCTTTTCTTAGAAGAGCAGTGCGACGTGGAGGTTTTCCAAATACTCTCTGATCTTGACATGATAGGTTCCGATATTGAACACACCTTCGCGCTACTTGATAATGAAACAGGCTCCAGCGTGTCGGTTATGGCGGCAATACTGGCATACAAGCGCGCATTATCGGTGTCTAATGCTGATGTCCATGCCCGAGCTGTAGCATGGTACAATTTAGGCTGGGCAGAATACCAAGCACATGTCTATCACCGTAACGAATCTAGTGAAACGAAGACTAAACAAATGGGATTTCTCAAAGCCTCTATGTGCTGTTTCAAGAGAGCTATTGAACTAGAAGCTGGGAATTCCGACTTTTGGAATGCGCTCGGCGTTGTCTGTACCTCTTTAAACCCGAAGGTTGCCCAGCATTCTCTCGTCAGGAGTTTGCATATAAATGACAAGAGTGCCTCAGTCTGGACAAATTTAGGAGCCTTACATCTTCTGCATAATGATTTTCAATTGGCAAATGAGTCGTTCACTAAAGCACAGTCAGCTGATCCAGACTTCTCCCATGCTTGGTTAGGACAGGCTCTCATTGCGTATCTAATCGGAGAATTAGGAGAGGCTCGAGAGCTAGTCACACATGCATTTACTCTAGGGAATGCCAGCCTGGTCTTGCCAAAGCGCCAGTATGCAGTTTCTGTCTTTGACCACTTGAGCTCCGGTTCAACGTCTGAGGATTTATCTCATCTTATCCAGTCGCTTTTTGCGCTACATCAGCTTCACGCCCAAGAACCATCAAATTATCCTGTTGAGCATCTGTCTGCCCTCATGGCAGAGCGACTAGGGGATGTTGTTGGTTCAATATCTAGCCTTCACATCGTTTGCTCTAAAGTGGAAACAGAATATGAAGCCACGAAGTCAGTTTCTGCTCTCTTTAGGTATTCACAGGCCAAATCAGACATGGCTCGAGCGCAGCTAGCCAATTTGGAGTATGACGGTGCGGCAGAGTGTGCTGAGGCGGCGCTGAATTTATCCATCGAAAATGGGGTTTTCGAGTATGACAGCAATGCATATCATAAACTGCGCTTGTCAGCACACCTAACCGCAGGACTGGCATATTATTACTTAAAAGAAATGGAGAAAGCCATTGACATGTTTCGCGAAGCGCTGCAAGAGGCGAATAGTTCTCCAGACATTATATGTTTACTTGCACAAGTCTTATGGGCTAAGGGAGGCGAAGAGGAACGGGATGTGGCTCGTGAACAGTTGTTTGACTGCGTCGAACAGCATCCTAACCATATCAAAGCAGTCACCCTCCTTGGAGTCATCGCATTGCTCGATGCAGACACGGATGCAATAGACGCCGTAGAATCTGACTTGCGTAACATGAGGACTGAGAGCAAGATCAGCATTCAAAACCGTGCTAATATCTCAAAACTTTTGGCTGCTATTTCGAGTGTTGGTTCCTCGCGAGAGCTAGAACTTCCAGAGGAGGATATGCACATTCAACAGGCTTGTAATTCGGTTATGGTATCGCCAGGCGAACCACAAGGCTGGAAGTCACTCGCTGTAGCATCTTCGGAGGCATTTCCAGCGGCAATGGCTGTGCGTACGGCTCTTGGAAACATTCCTCCGCATGGGTTACTTGGTGCAGACGACGTGTCAAGAGCATATTCTCTCAAAGGAACACGGCAAGATGCTGTGAAGGCTATCATGGTAGCGCCTTGGATAGTGGATGGCTGGGAGGAATTGCGCCAATGCCTTGCCAAAACGTAGTCTAGTGATACTATCTTAACGTTATGGATCGAAAGGTGCCTTGGATTACCATAACATTCATACCTATTGTGGCTGAAGTTGCTGCACTCTAGCAAGCATTTTATCCTTTCTCTCCGCCTTCCATGCTGCATCTGCAACTTCAACCTTACCGCCCAGTACAGTGACACACTGTGGTTCGAGAAGTAACATTCCCCGTGCAACAGTTGCATTTTTGACTAGTAATTTTGCGCCGATATGCAATTTCCCGATAGCAATGCCCGCAATTGGCTTCAGTTCAAACGAGGTTACTTTTTCCCCACTCGCATCTTCAAGAATAAGTCGATGCGGGCCTGCAGAGCTTGTAGCATTGCCTGCCTCTTGCTGCGACACCGAGCTCGAGTTTGCATCATTAGTTCCTACAGTCACGTCTCCACCTTCATCCCTTGTAACAGTGCGAATAATTTCTTTTCCCCTTGTAGTTTCTCCTCTTTCTACCTGTTCTATGGCTTCAATTTGGCTCCACAAGCTGTTTCCAATGTCCTCAATGTCCAGCACTTGTAGAGGGACAGGGCCTGATATTTTTATCTCCTTTACGCCTGGGTCCGAAATACGAGGGGGAAGAAGGTGGGTAATTGTTGGAGCTAGGGAAATGGTGAAGTCGGAGGCAAGTAACCGAAACAGTGCCGTTTGAGTAAGTGCTGGCAATGGGACAGAAGTCGATCTCTGGGAAGAGATGAAGTTGGAGATCCAAGTCCTTGATACTGGTAAAGATTTGGTGTTAGAAAGATAGTTTAGAATATGGGTAACCTGATCAGATGACATGATATATTGCTGCTAGACACGCAATATCCCGGTTTAATGGTTGAAGGTCACCACCTGGTGGTCTATTTCCGGGCTATGTTTACTATGTATGGAGTACTCCGTACAGAGCACACAATAACGTGTTTTGATTTGGAGATGTGGTTGACCAAACGCGCTAGCGAGCACACATTTTAAGTTAGGTACGGAGGAGTATAACATAACTAGTGGTTATACGGGGGTAAATTAGTGTGTGTTATAACCTGCGTTACTATGTAAGTTATGCCAAGGTGCCGTCTAACTTTAGCGGGGCAAGTTATCATACTAAGCCCAATATAGTCTAGGGCATTTCAAAAGTCTTGGCATTACGCGCGCTGGAGCTTAGTAATCAGCCTGCGCGCTGTGTAGGCAGCTGGTCTTGGCATTACGCGCGCTGGAGCTTAGTAACCAGCCTGCGCGCTGTGTAGGCAGCTGGTCTTGGCATTACGCGCGCCGGAGCTTAGTAACCAGCCTGCGCGCTGTGTAATCAGCTGTGTAATTACTAAGCTCTCTAATTACTAAGCTACCAGCCTGCCTGCGCGTGTACTGTTTTGGCATAGTAATTCTACAGCCTGCCAATCACCGTACGGGGGCCCCATATAACACGAACTCTAACTCATGCCGCCAAGCTGGCTGATAACCGAGTTATACTGAATGGGTTTGTTAGGGGAGCCGCCGTGATAACCGGGTTATCAGGGCTTGGCAAGTTATAACTTCGTAACGCGGGTCGGTGATAACTACAATTACATAAACGCGCTAAGCGCTTATGTATCTTCCCGTGATGTTACTTTTTGACGGGATTAAGAGGTAAGAGTCTATTTCCAAAGCCTCCCAACATTTGGAGTACGAGTACAAAGACTGAATATATCATAGAAAACATGTCGACCTTATCTTCTCCCAGGCCCTCTATAGCCTCTGCGCGTACTTCAACCCCAAACGGCTCCCGGAGGCCGTCAATCGATAGCCTAGCCGTCAGCACCACTTCAACTCCCAGGGATCGCGCTACATCTCCCTCTCTGGCTCAGCGTCGCAACAGAGCTGCGTTACGGGATTATTATAATCTTAAGCCCAACCGTATTGATTCTTCAGCCTCCAGTCAATCGAGGGGACTAGTCACCCCTCGTTTTCAGGATAATCCGCACTCCCCACAGACGACCCCGATTACAACTGGCGAACTCGACAGCGCCGATTTCGAACCATCCGCCTACGTCTCACAACTTCTGTCTACCTCCTCACTATCGACGATTCTGCGAGCAGAAAATTCACTTGTCAGTGATATCCGAACGCTTGATGGGGAACGCAAAGCTTTGGTATACGATAATTACTCAAAATTGATAGCAGCTGTTGAAACAATTGGCAAAATGAGAAAGAGCTTAGAAGATGAAGGTTCACCAATGATGATGACCAAGACACTTGGTCCGGCGGTAGGATTTGTTACTGAAACAGCCGGTGCTCTCATCAGAGAACAAGAAGCTCTAGAGGGTTATACAAGAAATCGAGAAGAAAAGAACGGCAGCAACCTGGAAAAACAAACTGTACGATGGGCTTTGGACACACCGAGACGCCTTAGGTTCTTACTAGAACAAGATAAAAATGAAGATGCAAAACAAGACTGGGACGAAGTGAAAGACTTGCTGAGAAAATGGGATGGTGTGAAAGGTGTCAAAGAACTAAAGGAAGAGTGCGAAGCTATTATGGATGGTGAGGGATAGTCTTGCATACTATTCTACAATTTGGAATATAGAAATCACTTTCCGCCCTCTCGCCGACGATACCGAATTACACCGGGATTGCCTACAATACTCTCCCTGCCTAGTGGGTTGTTTCATCGCCGTAATTGTTGGAATGTCTCCATTCTTTCACGTTCCATATGGGAATAGCAGGAAGGAAAGCAAGCGGGTTCGGGTTACTAAAAAGAACGCGACACCTCGATGAGAATATAAAATGGGGTTTAACTCTAGAGTCGATGGATTTTCTCGATTCCTTTTTATCTAAGACCGACACGGATATATGATACTGAGCCAGAAAGTCATGGCTTAGCGGAACAAAAGTGGCGGTTTGCATACTCTACGAAGGTGCTCTTCAATTCCACCGGCGGCCGCGGGGCTCTCAAGCAGAGAAACGCCAAAACCTCCAATATCAACCTTTCAGCGTAGACAGGATCACTCACCCTTCCCTCGCATAAATATTATGGTCACCATTTCTCCGCTAGAGCATCCGTGCTCGAATACATGCCAGGTTTTATACCCCATTTATTGCCACCCATGATATCCAGGTGCGTGTACGCATCACATTTATAATAAATTGGTTTCGTAGCAGGACCTCTTCCTGTACTCACCAAACCCAGGTCAACTAATTTTAATAAAACGCGCCTTATATCTTCCTTTTCACGAAAATCTTTCGTGTAAATGCATATTAGTCTCGACTGAGGCGAAGATCCTTCCGGATCAGTAGATACTTTGGCTTCAATTCCTAGTAGTCCTTGTGCTGTAGCGCTGGCTACAGCTTTCCAAGCATCATCAACCTTATCCACGGAACGGAAAAGCATCCATTTCCCTGTGGTGATATTGTTATCACGTGCTGCCTGTAATATGCTGTCTTCGACTTTGCGCCGTTTAATGTTGATTTTCCTCGTAAGAGCGGCTTTCCCGGCACTCGATTTGCTTGCGTCTTTTGGTTGGATTTCAAGGAGTTGTTCTTCGAATTCCCCTAGGAGTTCCAGGCCTCTTTCTTGAAAAGCGTGTATTCGCTGTGGAACAGGCGCATGAAATGCTCGGTTCCCGATAAATAGCCATGGTCCTATTTTAGCGGTGCTTGGTGGAAGTCGCTGCAGGAAGGCCGTAACAGATTCTGTGGGCTGCCGACATTCTTCACGGCCATCGTGAGCATGCCTAAGTTCCAACTTAGTTCCGAGAATTTCGGGCCGATGAGTAAGGTGTGAATCTTTCCCATTTCCATCAGCTAACTGTAGAGAGGCCGCAACAACAGCTGGATATGTCGCATGCAAGGTTCGCCAGTAATGCAGAGGGTCAAACGTCGTAGCACGGTCCTCTAGGTCCGCTATTTCCTCTTCGTCGCCTAAAGATAATGAGGTGAGTACAAACAAGACCAACATTAAACCGACTAATTTAAGATTACCATAGAAACTAGATTCGTCCGACAAAAAACTGTCAAACTCCACTTGCGGCATGTCGTGGAGTTTCTTCCATACCAGAATCAACTGCTACAACAACCGTTGACGGATGTTTATTAATCCGGGGAATTAAAAATCACCGTGGCGCTCTTAGAGCCAACACCGGAAAAGAGCAAATGAAGTGAATCGGGGGTAATCATCACTCTTGCTGATTGCTGAACAACCTGGAGCTCCCATCTCTCCATTTGCAAGTAGGATATCATTTCCACTGGATATCATTCATGTAATCGATCACATTTAACATGCTAACTATGTATGCTGTCAGGGAGGCCTGTTGTATCTGAAAGAATCTAGAAACCGTGAGCCTATATAGGATTGTTATCTAGGTGATACTTGAGCAACATGGACACTGCTGTTCAGACTCCAAAGGCGTGTTCTACTTTGTTTCTGGACCAGCCACCCAGTTGTCTTAAATTCTGCCCGACTGCTCCCAATCACCTCCTCGTCTCCACGTATCTTCTCACAGAAGTAGCCAGTGGCAATTCGGCTCCCAACTCAGTACGCACCGGAAGCCTTCAACTCTTTAGATTTGACCCGTGTTTATATCAGCTGTGCGTGAAAACTCGCAGCTATTTACTGAAGTGAACCCGGACTGAGTTAAGAGTAATATAGCTCACTTATACAGCGGCTGCCTTTGGACTTCGCTGTCTTCGATTTTCAATTTTCACCACACGACCCTAGTTTATTTGCAGTTGCCTTGAGCACATCAGTTGTCTCGTTATATCGGATCGAGGCAACGAATGACCCGGCACCCTCAACTGCTGTAATACAGTTTGTGCGCTCAATTCAAGTCCATGAAAATTCGGACCAGCTTGCCCTGTTTCTTGCATGGATTCCCCACAACGTTTCCTTAAATGGTAGAGATTACCCAAACCAGATTAAAGACGGTTTTGCAGTTTCATTTTCAGATGGCCGAGTATCTGTCTTTTTCTCGAAAGACGGCGCAAACAAGCTAGACCAAGATTCTGTCTGTGAGATGCAATTAACCGGTTACCCGGTTGAAATTTGGTACGTGGCCTTCCATTTCAAAATAGAAGAAGGCCAATCAGCACTTCTTTTTGCAGGAGACGATATGCAACACATTCGTGCAGCTTCCTTAGACACGATGACGGGAGCTGAAGATATACTCCCCTGCTCCTGGCAAGTCGACGACCGTGGTCGGTTTCATGATGCAGGAGTGACTTGTATTCTTCCACTTTTTCATGAAGGCGCTGGCACAATAGTCCTAACAGGCAGCTATGACGAGCATATCCGAGTTTACCACTTCAAAACTAGAGGCGAGGTCCTTGCAAGTAAGAACCTTGGAGGAGGAGTCTGGCGGTTGAAGCTGATAAAAGAGGAAGAATTACCCAATATCTCAAGCCAAATCCAAGGACACAGTTATACAATTTTAGCCAGTTGTATGCATGGCGGCACTCGAATCCTCCGTATAACTCATACTAGGGAGCATTGGGAAATCAATATTCTTGTCGAATTTAAAGAACATCAGAGCATGAACTATGCTTCCGATGCTTACACTGGTGCAAGGGACGACGACGATGCGAATAATGCCAGACATAACTCCGCGCTCTTCGTGACAAGCAGCTTCTATGATAAAAGGGTTTGCGTATGGGAAGCAAACTTGTGATATTCACAACAAGTTGTCTATAATGTGTATCAACTAAATCCATCGTCTGTTATTTGAGAATATTGGGAGTAAAGTTAAGTGCTATCTATATTCGTAACATCAGGGCAGTGGTGTCTAGACTTAGAGAGAAGGTAAGGCCAACAATTCGAGATTATTGTATCACTCACTGCGGAGTCGCATGGGCATTAGCCTATCTAAGGAGAAAGATTATACAATTGTTTCTAACTGTCTAGCATAGCGAATTGCGTTTTCAATGACCCCTCCTCCTGTAAGAACAATCTCCTTCTCTGTTTGAGGTGCAGCATGCTCGGACTGCTCATCTTGTGTTGGAAAGTATACTCGGCCATCTCTCAGGTGCCAGCCACGCTCTTTGGCAAATTCTATGACAGCGCCTTCGGAATTAAAGAAAAGAAGGTTTTTGGTATTAGAAATGGGCAATGACGGGTAAGCTTTTTCTGAACAATCAGCGATTTCGCTTCTGATAGTGCCGATTAAGATCTAAATTAATAATGAGCGTGTTAGCCTGATGTTTTTATAATATGGTGTACAGATGTGGAAACATACGTCAGAAAATAAACCGAAGTCTGGCGATGGCACATTTTCTAGCTTTGTCTCCCTCCACACCTTATCGTAGCTTCCTTCCATAAGACTCCTCTCCAGCTCTACCGAGTACTTAATATATGGGTCGTCTTCAACATTACGTCCCTGGATGGAAGCCTCTTCCACCAAGCCTTCTAGTACAGTGTGAAAATCGGTATTGTTGCCCATGCTCAGTAACAAAAGGAGATAAAGGCCCGTGATTTTGCTGCGCTGGCTTTTTTGTAGATCCACCTGGGACGCATTTCCTTTTGTAGCAATTATATGTCGTTCGAAATCATAAAATGGCTGGAGTTGTTGGTAGTATCTGGTGAAAGAAGGCGCGTCTCCTCGTCGTATCGATGTGATGGCGCCAAGCTCCAATACTTCACGGGCAAGAGAGAAAAGCTGAGGAGGTGTCAAAGATGTTGGTATGAGTGCGTTCAATTGAAGCAAAGCGCGCTTCGAGCGGCTGAGTAACGTCAGTGCTTGATCAAGCTGCTGTTTTTCAAGACTACCCCGAAGCTCCTTTACTAGGGCGTTCAGTTCGTTGGGGGCCATGATATATAAAGACTAGTAGTACGTTGTAGGGTATATGGCTTTAGAAACGGGATGTTGATAAGTGAAATAAATCTCAAGAGGCGCTTAAACGTTGGTTGACTGCTTTCTGCCAGATCAAACTGTCTGAGCTTCACCAAGCGTGAAGTCAGCAAGTGATGGATTAATACTATTTCCGGGGATGAGACCAATCAGAGCTTATTTGATGCCGCTTTAAATGGGCGAACTATGTAACTACAGAGTACGTACTCCGTACCTGTTCAGACAAGCTCTACGGAGTACTACAAATATTTCGTTCCTAACTCCACAGTTGACTACTCGGTACAACTTCATCAGAATCCGACTACAAATATTTGCTACAATGTAATTTCCAAGAGCCTTATCGGCCACCCTCTGCATTTTCTAGGTAGTCAGTTGACTAGTTAGTTAGTTACTTGTGAAACTCAAAAAGTCTGATAAATGCTGATGAATTGCTATTTCAAAACAAATCCGATATTTTATGAATGAAGCTCAACCATACATGGCAACGCAGTCATAGTATTCTAGCCATCTGCGACCAAAGCCGTATTACACTACCCTAGCTACGTAACGGAAATACTGTTTCACTGTGCTAGAGCAGTACAGTAATCGCCAGTAATCAGAACATCCCGCTGGACACAAGTGTGGCAGGCGTGTTGTGATTGGGATCCCGAAACTTATTGAGGAACTTTTAACTGCTGCTGCTGGTAGTACGGAGTACAGTGATGGCTAGCAGAAATTCTCAAATACAGACTTCAAACCGACGAAGGATGGGAACGACTTGACCGCGGCTACTCCGTACGCGGCAGCAAACAAGAAAACGTGGGCAAATGATTCTAGGTCCAAGGCGTCCACGGACTAAATAAGCCAAACTGACGGCGGTGATCAGAACCAGAAGGCTGTCTGGCAAAATGAAACGCGATTGAAAGAGAAGAACGAATAGTGAATGAGTTGATGGCGTTCAAAATAGGCGCGCCAGAACGGGTCTGGTGTCGCGAAATGTCTTACGGTGGGACAAAGACAATAGCACTGACAGCCTACACCTAATAAGGTGTTCAACTTTTTAGCTGAATGGCTAGTCGACTGACACTTACTCCCTACGGAGTATTTGGTGCAAGACGGTCTGGGACTGGCAGCTCACCATCTCACCCGTAACACGTTCTCGACGACTTCTTGACTTCAAAATGGCAAAATTTTCCTGCCCAGCCCGATCCCACCTCTCGCCCCCAATGCCACTCGAAATCCAGCCCCTCAGTCGTAGTCACGTCTTCCGGTCGATTTCGACTATACCGTATCCTCAAGGGCTGGTCTCAAAATTGACAGCGTTCAACTCATTTACTGAAACTTTGCATCCTTCTGCGCCACCTAAAACCCATATTGTGGTGTTTCAGAGGCCGCCAGTTACAAATGTGGAGCCCAGCCTCTTGACAAGCACCCTAGGCGGTCGTTACACTTTTCATCTCAGCGCAAAAAAAGAAAGGTACGAAGGCTTGATCCAGATTCAGTAGTGAACCTATGCTCGAACCTCGGCGCATTGAATAATGCAGATGTTAGCATTGGTGTACGGAGTAGTTATACTCGTTTGATTATTTCCGACCTATCCTCACAGAGCGCTACCACTAAATATCCGCGAACGTTATGTATTTGTTTTGCTATCGCGCCATAGTAATACCCCATGTTTTCAAAAATGATAATTACTTGACAATTGAAGATCTAAAAGTGTTGGGTCAATTCTCCCAGTTTAACCCTCATTGCTCTTACTAATAACCTAGATATTTAGCCCTATATTTAGCATGCCGGGAAAAAGTATACTAGGTCAATGAGGGTTCTCTAACACCCTTGCTCCATGCTCATTATTGAAAACTACACACTGAAACGCAGTACGGGGCAGGATTAGTATTAAGACACAAAATTCCATAGCAGAAGGGGCTGGATGTGAACCAATGTAGAGTTGCCAAAGTGTCAAACGCCCGGTATCATACACCTCGGGTCAGTTAATTCCCACCAGCTCTCCATTGAACCCTCTTGTGTTCTGTGTGGCTGTTACTGTCATCATGTCCAGGTTATCGGCCCCTTCCGACATTCTCTTCGGTTACCAGTCTGGGCAGACCTTGGGGATATCATTCAGCGCCAGACCGAACGTTCACATAGCCTCGGGACAATCCCGATCTCAGGGCTGAGGCAGCTTGTCACAGCCCCACGTATATACTCGAATTTGGAAACATACCCGTTATTCAACGCGGCTAAGATGAACTTGGTGCAGAGAGTCGCGGCCACAGGAGACCGAGGTGGCGCATCAGGGATAATGTCAGTTCCCTTCGCCATAAAATCGACAAACTTGGTCCAAACCCTGAGCCGTATCGCCGTGATTACGCTTACGTATTCCCTGCATACAATCCTCCACTCGGGAAATGTATAGCTATCACTCCTTTCACAGTATGAGTATGGACGGAAAAACATACCCAGGGGCTTTCTCTGCATTTTTCGGTGTAGTCCGCGCATGACGCGTAGGTACCACGTCGGAGCCCTCCACTGTGATGGCAGTTCCTACTCCCACCCGCCACACTAGCGAATGGCCAGGTTGGCAAAGACAACACGAGCGAATCTTCTCCCCCGCCCGCCCCCCCAGGTTGTGTGTTGCCAGCCAAGCCGCGCTAAATTCACGTGGCTGGTGTCGGTCGTCGAAGGCCTGGGCGGTGCTGATGATACCCTCCCTGCACGCAGGTGTCCCAGATGCCACCCTCGCGCTCCCCGACTTGGGCAGCTGTGGCGGACGGCCAAACAAACGGAATGGCAGCTGCGTGCCAGGCCAGTATCATACATATTTCTCTATTATTCTTTTTCAGCCAATTTACTACCCAGTAGCCAAGGGCCAATCCGTTGATCACTTCACCAGATCTGAAAATGCTCCTGCCAACCAAGTGTTCATACAGCTGGCTAAGGCTTGACAAATTATGGGGCGGCCAAAGTGATCACATCTTTTTGAACTTATTAATATTTCTAAAAGAAAAATACAAATTCTTCTACTCCATATGGAGCAGATGGAGAATGCCCCGCAGCTTACGCACCCGCAACTGAGGCATACATGCGTGGGCCACGTCTTTTGGCATCAGTCTGGTCTCTCGAAGAAACACGGCATCAGTGCTAGCGCGCCAACTACTCTAGAACAACGATATGAAGCGCAGGAAGTTCATGCAGACCTAGTCAAGAACCCGCTTCGGCTTGTGCAGAAAATGGGCTAAAACACAGGACAAGACACCACGCCAGGCAACAGGTAAGACCATATGTATACTTAACAGAGAGCACAACTGGAGATCAGGGGGACAGAAGCCTTCCAGGGCTTCTAATAAGCTCACCCTTCTGTGGCTGTTTTGAAATCCAAACTTGCCGATCTTGTCACCGCGTTCTCTTGGCCCGACGACACTACCCAATAATACCGGTCCCACTCGGAAATCCGACACGGAAGAAACCCAATCACCGCAATAAAGCTGCAGAGTCATGAGTTAGCGTGAATATTGGCCTCTTGAACTAGGCCCATGTGTCGTGTTGATATCCTTGGGGTCTCCATCGTACCGCACAGCCCAGCTATCATCGGCTTGTGGTTCACATGGTTCCATGTCGCAATGGGAGCTCAAAAACATATAAAGGCTGCGCCTGATTCTCGCCTTTCTTGAATATCTCTCCCATCGCAGGCACAGCTTCCTTCCAATTCTCCAGTCTTTTATCATTTCAATTCCTCCTCCATAGCCACCATGAAGTTCTTAGCTACTATCGTGAGCTTTGCTGCTCTGACCATCGCAGCGCCGACTGCCCTGCCTGCCGAGACCCTCGAGGTTCGAAATGACAATGCTGTCACCGATCGGCTCCTCTTCAGCGATTCTCTCCCCGTGTTCCTCAAGGCTCGACAATCTAAGAACCCTGCCCATCTCGACTGGAGCTCAGATGGATGTTCCTACGTTCCCAATGCCCCCGCAGGCTTCAACTTCGTGAACGCATGTTACCGACACGATTTCGGCTACCGAAACTATAAGAAACAGCGCCGATTCACTCCCTCCAACAGAAAGAGAATTGATGTTTTGTTCAAGGCCGAGTAAGTTACGCTAAGCCGTAAGTTCCAGTAGCAAAATATCCTAATATCTACCTTTCAGTATGCGTGGCCTCTGCGAAAACTACAATGCCAAGAGGACCTGCCGTGCTGCTGCCAACCTCTATTATTTGGGTGTCCGCATGTTTGGTGGCATTGGCAGATCCCTTGATACCAGAGACATTGATGGTGGTGATGCTGAAGAGTACCAGGAATACCTCAAAGCCATGGAGGAATACAAACTCGCCGTGGAGGAGGACAAGAAGGCAGGATTGCTTCCGGCCGACTTCTAGACTTTTGGCCATTTACTTGGTACATAAGCGCGGTTTACTTTTCTCTTTCTAATTGTGAAATACGCTCTGCTATGCCATTTCACACTGTACATATATACCTACTCCGTACATATAGTTACGCATCCAGTTATAATATTATGAAGTTCTGTGGGGTGTTATGAATTTGTGCCTTTATTTTTATTTTTATTTTCAATTTATGTGCTCATTCCCACTGTGCGAAATCCCTTACCCTACCAGCCGTCTTGCGAGCCGAGATGTGGGGATGGCGTCTTTCAATTCATGGTATACGGAGTATGCCATCCAGTATGGAGTAACTAGTGCCTTAAACTCTATCAGGCGTCACCTAGAAAGAGTTAAGCTTAAATTTCATTCCGTGCCAGGGCAGGTCACACGGGCGGCGGGGGTGGCGCCCCCTTAGTGAGCGGACGAAGATGCAACCACACCCCGGAAGGATTCACAGCGAGCCGCGACCGCATAGTTAGTTAGCTAACTACGCGGTTCAGGCGCGGGTAACCCCTGACAAGGCGGGTGTTGCAAGGGTTTTCCCAGTGTCCCGCATCGACTTGTCAGCTATGTATTATTATTTGTTTTGCAATGGCTGTCGTCAGCGTGTTAGCTCAGTAATGAATAAGTCTCGTTGTGCCGCTCCAGCTCTGGCGAAGCTGGGGAAACTAGTTAAGCTCATTCCTTCTGACTAGTAGTTAGTTAGGTGGTTCGTTTACGACGTGCAGCACGAAGTTTTCCTGGGGTTCTCCACGGGTCACTCCACTCCTGCGAAGGCAAATGACGAATCGATATGGCCCCGCGGCTGGCGGTCGTCACAAAAGGAGCCTTGATCATGGAATCGTCTGTTGAGCTGGCCCACTCCCGGCACCGCTCGGCTTGCAGCCATGGTTTGACCGCACTGGCTCTGTTGTGTAGTTCAATCCCGCGCAGGCCCTTTGGCCATGACGATCATCCTTGCCAAACCCACCCAAGTGCCTGGAAGAGGTGTCTTGAACAAAAAACCGGGAGTGCGAGAGAAAAAGTCTGGTGACAATAAGGTGCGGTAGAAGTTTCGGCTATGCTTCTGGTGGCATGCTTCGAACATGTGAAATCTCCCTCTGGGCCGTTTTCACGCAGCACTCCAGCCGACATGAGCTACGCAGACCACAGTGCCAAAACTGCCGGCCAATTGGCTAGGCCAACAAGCTCGGCCATCAGCCGTTCCAACCGCCATCCTAGCACGGACCCAGATAATAAGGGACAAATACGAACAAGCGGGGGACTCAAGCAAAGTCAAGACCGCCATTATTACTCAAGCTTGCGCACGCCCTCCCTGCACGACTTTGTCTTGGAGCCAGTATTAATAATAATTGTATAAGAGGCAACATTGTAAGGCAGATTTGACGCTTAGGTTCTATAAGCGACGGCTGCTCAACCACGTGCAACGGGGAACAGGGTATTAACGGCAGCCCATGCCAGGAATAAGTTTTTTTGTACCCTGGCTGTGAAGCATCACCTCCATCCAAATATGCATGCAAGCGTGCCGTACGCCGTAGATCTCTCGCCAAAACGGACGTATGCACATACTATTATTGCAAATCGCGGCTCGAAAAACCCCGACCACCAAATAACCAAGATGACGCGAGCCAACTCCCATGCACAATAATGCCGCGCAACCCGCTAATATGTTGGATGTAGCTACCCCGTGGCCCAGGGACCCACGGGCGCTGGTTAAAGCGTAGACCAGGCCGCTATGGCTTCACCCGCTACCCCAAGGTACTGATTCTCGACCATATTCAGGAATTAGCCCTTCCCCGCGCTCCCCCACATTTTACGAGGCTTGGAGTTGGTAGGCCTAGGTCCGAGAAACGACTACCTTCGAATTTGTGACGAATCCGCACATACCATCGAACAGTACCATGTGTTTCCTTGTTTCTTTCTTCTTTTCTTTTTCTTTTCTAGCGCAACACGTCCGCCTCGTGCCCTTGGCCCCTTTTGCGAATTGCAAGCGATTCATATCAACGATCGAGTTCTAGATCAAAAAGTCGTATATGTGCATATGCAGTTTTGATAACGCTATCAAAAATTCTATCTAGCTTCTATGTTAGACAAAATAATCTAACGATGTATATCCAAGGTGCACATACGTCAATCACGGATTGTCAATGCTACAAGGTAGCAGAAGTGATGGCGGGTATGGCTCTAGGAAATTCCACCCCATATCCTATTGAACCCTCAAACGGATGCTTCCACTCCATAAATTTCGCCCAGCCTAAATACAGGAGAGCTATTAGTAACCGAACATCTACAGGTACCGAATCCAGACAATCAACTAGAGTTGACGGAAATTCGTACCCCAGTAGGCGCATTTTCGCCCTAAAAATTTCCCCGCAAAGGGAATCACCACCATTGTAAGGAGGAGCTCCAGCTGTCGCATGCTCTCCTGCCATTCAGCCTCGGCATCGGACTCGTCGTCGTCATCATCATCAATATCGTACATTGATATGTGGTCTTCGAGCGAGGAATCTGACGCGGATGAGGAAGGAAGAGAGTCAATATCGTCATCACCGTCGTCGATAGCAGAAGTAAGATGTTGTGAGGCAAACAAATAGCCCGATTCGGAGGGCGACCCAGACACAGACATGGTTGTTGCAGAAGAGGTGGAGCTGCTAGTGAGCGCTTTAGAGGGTAGCGAGGGCGAGAAGGGAGCTTTGGCGTCTAGAATAGTCAGACAACATTGATGAGTTTCCAGGCATATGTAAATATAATTTTGAAAGCCCGCTCATGAATCTAGTTCCAGCGCATCCCCAAAATGGGCTCGACGGTTGACGGTGTTGTCATGGCGGCCAACCCCGGCAATTCGATTCAATCCCGTGACTATAGATCACGGGATCGCTTCCTCGGAGATTAGTCATAGGGTTTTGGTAACAGCAGGTATATCGTCACAAAAAGATTCGACTCACGAGAATCAGGCCCTCATTTTCCCTCATACGTATTACAAACAGGCATCCCAGTCAACAACTACCTAGAAGGTTTCTACTCTTTCAAGACCACCTACCAAGTGATAATTCCCCCTGCCCAGCATGGCGGACACGGTACGTCATTTTTCGATGTTCCATTTTCTCCCCCACGACAGTCGCCACACTAGTTTTCGATCAACGACCATCAGTCAGCCGGGGAGAATCTTTCTCTTAACTAATTCTGACTTTGTATATTTATGATATAGGAAGTTCAGCTTCCCGAGAGGAAGCACAGAAAATCGGTCGCGTTCAGTGAAGGTACCACTATCATGGATGCGAACGGGGCTATCTCAGAGGCGAACCATGGCACGAAGTCCACCGCTGAGAAACATTCAGCCGGCAAGTATCTTGTTAACAACTCAGCTTAATAGCTGCTAATTTATTTTCTCCAACAGTGACCAGCGATAAAGAAGTCGATGAAGTGACGGATCTTTTCAAGGGCTTATCTAAAAAGAAGAAGTCTTCGAAAAAGAAGGATACTGAAGCCGCAGCCGATGCCGAAGATGGGGCTGCTGACGCCGCGTTTGATCCATCCACCATGAAAAAGAAGAAGAAAAGTAGCTCGAAAAAGAAGGCTGCTGAAGCCGGAGATTTCGATGCCAAACTCGCTGAAGCTGGCCTTGCCGCTGAAGAAGAGGCCGTCCCCGAGGAAAAGCCATCTCCTGAACAGATTGCTAAGGATCTGGAAGCCGGAACTGGTATTTGGGCTCACGCTGCCACGCAGCCTATTCCTTACACTTTTCTCGTCACTCGTTTTTTCAGCCTTATCCACAGCCACCATCCAGATCTGTTGGCTAGTGGGTCCAAGTCATACAAGATTCCTCCACCACAGTGCCTGCGTGAAGGTAACCGAAGGACCATTTTCGCGAATATCGCAGATATCTGCAAGCGTATGAAGAGATCAGAGGATCACGTCATGCAGTTCTTATTTGCTGAATTGGGTACCAGCGGCTCCGTCGATGGTAGCCGACGATTAGTTATCAAGGGTCGTTTCCAACAGAAACAGATTGAGAACGTCTTGAGACGATATATTGGTACGTGCTGCATTACTATGGTTGTCTATATATTTCTTATTTACTAACCCTTCCTCTCGTAGTTGAATACGTCACTTGCAAGACCTGTCGCAGCCCAGACACAGAGCTTAACAAGGGAGAGAATCGCCTGTATTTCGTTACTTGCAACTCGTGTGGTAGTCGTCGTAGTGTTACGGCCATTAAGACTGGTTTCCGTGGCCAGGTCGGAAGACGGAAGAGACAGCCGTAAACACACACTTTGGACCTACTTCCTTTACTTTCTATTTTATTAAAAGTAATGTTCCAATTTCCCTATGCAATTTTCCATTTTCCCCCATTATATTTGCGTTCAGCATACCATGTACCTTTCCTCCTAGTTCGCAATTCTTGTGGGTTCTCATATTTTATCTTTTCTTACCTCAATGCATGGTGGCTTGAAACGGCCTAAACAGAAGATTGATGATACCTCTTACTGTATGGTAGTCTGGAAATTGAACCGGAATTGCTTTTGGTGTCATTGCTTACTCTAAATTCAAGATATACATTTCATGAATTTAGATATATATTTGAGAAGAATATCCTCCGAATTAGTCCGAAATATATATATACATTACGCGTGAGAAATAGAATCATAAAATAAACCCAACATGTCCAGGAATGAAAGAAAAGAGATTCTGTATCGGGTAAGCTCTATGCTCCTACGCCTGCACTACTCGCAACCCAGTTGGCGAAGGCTCGTGCGTTTCTTGTTTGGAGATAAATAGTTCCAGGTCCAGTGAATTTACATACTAGGCCTTCTCCAGAACTCACAGCGGATATAATACCACCAGAAGCTACACGTTCCATTATGTAGTCACAATTCCAAGCAACAAGATGGCCGTTATCCACAATATATTTCTCGCCGTTGACAAGCTGGTCGATAATGAAAATCAAGATCGTTAGCATTGCCCGCTCTTCTAAAGCACAAGAAAAGGATGGTTGTTTCGACTTACATCCTTTTTGATGATTGCGCCAAAGCTATGCACAAATAGAAGACCAGTGCCTGATATAGTATAAACGAACCATCCCTCTCCGGAAAAAAACGCTTTGCCTAAACCCTGGCGTTTGTAGTCTTTTAAGATACCCTGGGTGCAAGCCAGAAAGCCATCCTTGCCAACATACCACTTTTCCTGGCCGGTTAGGCGGAGAAGGGTAATATCGCCCAAGGAAGAAGGCGCCAGAAGTAGCTCCCCCGGGCCGGTGTATAAAGAGACTGACATTTCACTACCAGCCAGCATTTTCTTCATGGAGAACTTCACTGAGCCTCTTAGGCTGATAGTTGGAGACATAGCAATCATCGCTCCTACAGACATGGTCGGGGTCAGCCTCCAAGTACTGGATTGGGCAAACCTTTATATATCACGTGGCACAGCCCGATTCGGACATACCGGGCTTTGCAGACAGCGGACATCCCATTGCAAGTTGAATAGTCACGATTGAATTGGAATCACGATGGCTAATGCGATAGCTACCTCCGTTGAATGTGCCAACGTCATCACTCAATGTGGACTGGGTGCCTACAAATACCCCTACGGGCGGCGCACCGCCGGGTATTTGCTCCATTGTTTGTGACGGCGGCGGCGTGGGTTGGGCTACCGGCGGGGGAGACATTGCAGGTGCAAGCGGAGGTGGAGGTGGAGAGACATGACCGCCAGTCGGAGGCGGGGAAAATTTGGTAGCCTCTTGAGCGCCCGGCGGAGGTGGATAGTTATAATTCTGTGGGGGAGGAGGGGGGAATGTCTGCTGGGGAGGAGGAGGGTAGGCTATGGGATGAATAACCACGAGTTAGGCGTGCTCAGACGAGGAGGCAATCGTGCGAGTTCTGCTATAGAAGCGTGGTTCTTATACCTTGATTCGGCGGTGCTAACGACTGGCATTAGTTTACGGGCATTTCCTTGAACATGCGGACTTACGAGGAAAATAGCTCCCTTGCGACGAGGGTTGTTGGCCTTGCTGGAATGACATGATAATGGACTGTGCGCTGATGAACGACGAACAACAATTAACGCTTTGGTATCATACGTAAGGGCACGAAGAATGGGAATGGGATGCCAACAGCAATGTAGTAACCAGTTACAGCGCCTACATAAGAACCGAGGAGACAGGCAGGGAGAGGGGCGAGACTTAAGTGGGCAACTGATCCCGTCCCTGCTTGCCCCTGTCATCGGCCGACGCTGCTTGCATGGGCTGCGTTGGACCGCCTCACGATTGGCTCCGCGATTTCGGCTTCTAAGCGCCCACACGCACCTCGCATTCTGGTAGTACATAAACAGCTGTCTGCCACGGCCTTGAACGGCTCCGGGCGGGCTTCTGGTTGGAGAAATGCCGAACCTAAGAAAGATATTTTGTTTTGTTCATTCAGAAATAACTGGCAACAGCTCAAGGTACGGATTAATGGGATTAATGCCATGCCTATTTGTCTGTGTATCAGCAGACCTGATTTGGCCAGACTGAGAGATGATTTGCGTCATCCCCACTGACCTCCAGGCCGGCGCCTAAAACGAATCCTTCCGTCGACGCTGGGGTGCACCGAATTATCTTCAGAACAGGGATCACTTTGCAGGCCCAGCGAAGATATTGCGGGAATTGATTCGCCAGGAAAAACAACTTCAACCGGGTGGAAGATTGTGCCATTGGAGGCTCCCGTCCAATGAGGAGCGACTTGCAAGTTAACTTGGTCGCGCTGCTTGGCGTGGTGCTTTAAAATCGGACCTGAAACACTTAACTGCTGACAACAGACCTGGCTTTCTCCAGCTGCACTCATGTTTGTTTTGAAACACCGAGCGCTTTTCGCACCCAGACGTGCTAATATCTGGCTCTGTTTGCTTGAGCTGTGGAGATTGGTTACCACTTCTAGCAATTCCGAAGCGGTTCGTAATGCGCCCACATGTCTCGAGGGATATTGGCAGACTTGTGTATCCCTTGCCTACCTTCATCGTGACTTTTTGCTAGACGAGCTTCTAGCCTTCCAAAATAGGCCTCTGGCGGGTGGCTATGAAGGGTATATCAAACTATCACGGAATTATTTTAATATTGCGTCCAAAATCAATATGCCTTTTGAGCTCTCTGTACTCCGTACGCAGTACAAAACACCTTTTTGACTGGTGTGGCTCGACATTGGCATATAAACACTGGCATTTTTCATTCCAGCCTACTATGGTGTCTGGCCTTTTTTTTACGACACTGCATTGAACATTATGGATTTTCCATTCTTCAATATGGAAACACTGTGGCCTTGATATCAAGTTCATTGCAACAATTGACTAGCCTCAAACTCATGCATGTGCTAGTGGGCATCTATACACACCAAGTTATATGCAGTATATGGTGGCACAATTCACACCTTGTATGATGGATAGCCATAAAGGAAGAACCCATCAGTGCATCTTACCCCATAACTATATGCCCCTATTTTGTCTAAGAAAACATGTTGTATGACCTATATTTCGATATTAGGAAGTATGATACCCTGGATATTTCAGAATTACCTTTGCAATATTGAAAGTTTCATTTGATATATGATATTGTTCTTTTACTGATGGCTGGGCGGGTTTCTCTCCTGATATGCGTGGGTTATAATGCCATCTTTAAGATGACTTAGTATTGGAACAAATCGATATTAGCTATCTAGCTTTACGGAGAAACAACAGGTATCCTTGCTGTAGAGGCAGTTTCAAAAGTGGAATCATGCAATCAAGACTACTGCTTACCCAGTATGTCGTACATGCACATCATCATCATCATGCTGCAGGCCGAACTCTCTGAAATTTACTCCCTAGCAGCCAGGTCAGCAACCAATAATGACTCCCAGGAAATATAACCATGATTGCTGATATTTATTAATAGTGAATGGGCTAAGCAAACTACAAGTCTACAACTAGTATGGATTTCATCACAGTCATGTGGCTGGTCAGGGCATGTGAAGCTTGAGAGCTCACGTGGAGGAAGTTGAGCATGAGCACCACACAACAAGTTGGAGGTTAGTAGACGCCAGCTCCATTTGGCTACCCTTCTTTCTTCGTAAAAGTACAATATGCTAACATAATATGTGTCAAAGTGGGGTGGTGGAAACAGTCGACGGGGCTTGAGCGACCACAATCTATGCCAGAAAGATTTGCGCCCCTAAGTAAATAAGCCTGAAAATCGCCCGCTGTGTCAGTATGTCACATCCCATGCCCTTTTGTTAGTGCTGAGGTCTCCTTTGCGAAGGTGCGCGGCTCGAGGAAGGCTCTCGGGTGTAACGAGATGGCTAACTATCATTTTTTAAGGAGCTTCCCGTGCTGAACTGACCTTCTCTTTTTAAGTACATTTCTATAATTTACTTATATTTGTTGGCTGTTTCTTAAGAGCATGACCTCTACAGGTGGTTGAGTAACCTTCAGTGCAGTCCATTGGGTTGTCTACATGAAACCAGTTACTCTCCTCTAGCACCCAGCAGGCCGAGGGAATGAAGGCTTCATAAATAAAGCCCCAGATCACAAAAACCAGTCGCATTGAGAAAATATATTTCTCTACCAAATAATCAATTTCACAATAGTTTAAATAATGGCTGTCTCATCTGCCATTGATGCTGCAATACAATCTTTCTCATCTCTTCCAGCCGCAATTGCCGCGATTTACAGCGCTGTCGGTGACCGCAAAATTGCTAGGTCAGATTTCGGGTTTGCAATTGTTGATTGGGCAAGCTATATGGTGTCTATCGAGCCGTATGTCCGTCGTGCACTCGAATTTCCAGATATCGGACTACAAGCCCAAAGAGTGCTAGACCTTTGCGTTTGGCTTGGTCACTGGCTATACTCGATCGGATTTCGACAATCGCGAGCGACTGCTAAACTGCCCACTCTCCAAGGACTTCGCTTTCCATACTTTTGGTTGGACAAAAAGTACCAGCGCTTCGAGGCCAAGCTACAATTGATAAAAGTCGAGGGAGAACAGCTCAAACAAAGCGTATCCTCTTTAATGGTAAACTATCTCTTTATTGGTCTTGTCAGTCAAATTACAAGCTAGCGGATACTCATTGCAGAGTCTAGGAGAGCCCACTGCGCCTATCGCTTCACCAAAAGCTAGACCAAGATACACCTCTTCTTCCAGAGGAACCCTCTCCAGTACCCAGTAAGTAGCTTTTATTGCCTATTCGATGGAGCCACAGCTCAATCCTACGTTTAGATTTACGAACGATCCATGAGACTGCGAACAAACTGGACTCGGTTTCAACGCGTCTACTCACAAAATGATACCTATAGATGTCAGCGGCATTGTCTAAATTATTGAAACTTGTACATTCAATCCGTATGAAGACACCAAACTTACGAAATTCCTTTATGAAGTGCCTTATGATAGCAGAGATATATGTATGTAAAAAACCCAATACAACTCTTGTGAAACTCGGTCCATGGTGCCTTCCAAAATTTCCCTATCAACAGGCCTAGACCAAAGCACTACTTTTATGCTTTTTAGTAATACACATAACAGCCAAAACAATGTATACAACTAACGTTTAACCCATCCAGATCTTCACTTCGAGATTTACAAATATCAATAGGGCAAAATATACAACCGTTCTTACATGTGCACATGTATGGACAAGTACTCCGTATATCCCTGAATATTCCCGGGCAGTACGGAGTATACCCATCATAGTCTCTGCTTAGGCTAGGTTTTACACGTTATGTATTCTAATTAACAAATTATGTCTCATGTGCTCAAAAGGAGATACTGACAGGGTATCTCAATGCACTCACCTCCATCTTCTATGCTTGGATCTTACACTCCTAGCCCGCTGAGTGAACATACTGAGTAAAAGCGGCCTGGTGCTGTGCCTCAACAAGCGATCGTTCCGTGCCCGATTCATTTAATGTCCTGGCTAATTATTCATAACTGAAATTACCTAGCACCGTTACGTTTTACTAGCCGAGAAATCCTATACATCAATATTTCAGAGCCGATAGAAGTTATTTTGTGGCCCAGGGAAGTGTGCTTGGGCGTCTGACTTATAACAGCACCTCTGACAACATTTGAAGCCCTTGCATACAGCACTTTTGTTTTTTATGGTTTTGTGCTAATAGTGGCCTTGGAGGAGACAGAGTCTAGAGTAAGTTAGGGTTCTGCGATTTAAGTAAATACCCCTGTACTCTCAGGCGTATAAGATAGAAAATATTATTTGCATATTGAAATGCAGAATTGGGCCAGAGACTCTGAATCCATTCCCAGATGGCTCAGTGGTAATTGTTGCCAGTGTACAGAATCACAGCAGAAATATTACCTAGTATGAGTAAAAATAAATCCATACAGCAAAGATAAACAGTAGTACATACATCTAAGACCTGTTGAGGAAATGGAGGACCACAAAAGCACAAAAGAAAAAGAAAAAAGGTGGGGGAAGGGGAAAAGGGAGGGAGAAAAAGAGGGTGTGTATAGACATTCAAGAGTCTCACTCAGAGAATTAATTAGACACGGAAGGAAACCCAATGGGAAAACATAGAAAAAAGATACAAGTAAATAATGAGCGTATCATAACAAGTGCCCCTGGGGCTGCAAGCGGACTCAACAACAACACAGTAAATAAAATACTCTTTAACTAGCCCAGCTGAGGCGTGAAAGTGTAGGGGAACGAAAATTACGTCTAGCAAGAGTTTTTGTGGAGCGCAAGGTAAGCCGCAAATGCTGGCAGTAAAAGACTACTAGGCCAGTTCAAATTATCCATGTGGATGAGTTGGTTACCACTAAAGTTAAATGAATCGGTAGGGTCTCGCGCGTGATGGTTCGAAGACATTGTTTGAGAAAGCAAAGCAGGCCCGGGGTGGGGCATCAACCGGTATGCTTGAAAAAAGCAAACTGGAGATGGCATCGCATCTCAATTCATATCCCTTACTGACGGAATTGGTCTCCATTCCGCTGTTTCAGAGTCAACCGAAAGAGGTGTTCCAAATGCCGTGTACTCCGTAGACGCCGTTCTCCTGACATAGGTGATGGTAAACAGAATTGTTGCCCCATTAAACCAAATGGGGTGAAAAAAAGCCAGATAAGTATCGTGATATGAGGGCGATGGGTAACTAGAAGATCCCGTTGACGATATTTGAGCCAATCGTAGCACCGGCACCGAAAATAGCTGATCGGACAAGACATTAGTGTACTTGATGGACGGATACATATATATAACTGAACATACCAGCATTCCCCATTTTCTTGCCGAACTTCTTGCCATTCTCTTCGAATTTGCTCGTCTTTTTTCCCCCTTGGCTACTTGAACCAGCAACTTCGAGTGGCATGTTTCCATAGTTTGTTGGCTGTGGTGAGAGAACTGCCGGCTTCTCATCGATAATAGTGACGTATGTTCTTGGGAAAATTCCCTCGAGGTTTGTCCGCTCATTCCTTCCACGCCACCCTACACCAACAGGTCAGTACACGAAAAAAATAGTGATAGCAGGGCAAAACCTACAGTCGTTGTTCATGTGCTCGAGAACTTGAATTCTATCGTTGGCCTGCAAAGCTAAATCACCGGCATCTGTGGGAGTATAGGCATAGAGTGCGGATGCCATACACAAAAGTGGCGGGCTAGACGCGTAGGAGGGAGGAGGCGCTAAAACCCCATATGAGGTTTGGTCGTGGCCATTCTTCTCGTTCGAGTTCAAGGTAGATATGGGTGTCACAAGGCTGGTGTCTGCCGGTGAATTCGATACGGGTGCGTGTAGCTGCGTTTGATTTGGAAGCTGAGAGAGAATAGATGATAGTTGGCCAGGTGTAATGACGGATGAGTCGCAGAGGAACTCCAGTTCCTATGCAAGTTTAGGGAGGATTAGCATGAGCAGACCGAAACAGGCAACGAAGTTGAGTGGTTAGGCGTAGCGTACTGTTTTGATTGTGCGTAAGGACCTATTGGTCATGGCGGTAGAGGCATCGCTTGGGGTCATGATGGCGAAAGCACGAGAGGATGCCCGTGCCGGCTGAGGGATGGGTGTATGACGGGGTGATACTTTTCGCGGAGACCGGGGGTCGAAACGTCGTTGGGCGACAGGATGTGCGACTAGAGAGATGGGGTGGGACGATGAAGAAAGGCAACAAATGGATAAGTCTGGATATGTAGTCAGTGCGTGAATCCAACGCTGGAGTTGCTGAGAGTTGGATTGTGTTGATGACGGCAAACCTTCAGGGCTCGGCTCACGTGGAACCGCCGATGCAAACCTTTTGCTCTCGTAGTTAGTTAGTTAGGCAGGCTGGAGAATAATATGACCACAACCACGGCGAAGGCCTCGAAACTCTGGCCACACGGCTCCGCCCCAGCGATGGAGCGCCGGATGTCGGCGGGCAGAACTAACTAACCAACTACAGCTATTTAGCTAGCGACTCGACGCCACTCCAGGGCTTGTTCGCGATGTGGGGTTCTCCAGCGATGTTGTGTCTTTGCAAACGGATTTTCGGCCACCCGAGACTGCGGCCTTTGGCTGTCTGGTTCCGTTTCTACCAAGCGACAATAACCAACTAGCTAACTATTCGATAATGCGTTCCAGTCTTGCCGGCAGCACGTCAGCCAAACATCGGGATCCAACCTTTCTACGCTTTCGTCCACACACTTTTACGGTGAAGCCGCCACTTTCCTTCGCTCGCATCACACAGCCGCCGCCGAACCGTCAGTGATCCAGCGGCTCTGGAAAACCCTCGGCGATCTCTTTTCCTGATTTTTCGTCATCTAGCCGACAAAGTGTCGCTGATGATTTGTTCAGAATCAACCAGTTAACTACCGTAGTTCATTAACTACTTCATGCAGTTTTCGAAGACAATTGTTGCTAAGACCTAGAAAGTTTCCAACTAACTACACAACCAACGAGAGATACTTAAGTAGTTAACTACTCCGTAAGCGAGCGGAACCAGCAGTGCCTTCCATCTGGGAATGCATCCCCAAGGTTATGATCATGATACAAATTAAGAGCCTCGTAAATATCCGTCATGGTTCGAATGCCTGCGCCTGATATTATCTTTTCAAGATCAACGGCTCGATAAAGAAAGATAAGTTCAAGACTTAGCTAATGTTTATATTGCAGACAGTGTATATACATACATGTGTTCTTGATTGCCTTGACTGAGGGACCGTTCACAAATGACTAGATACTTCTCAAGAAGGTCGAAGCGTTTGTATACACATACATATCTAAATGGTAGTACGTATTCTAAGTCTTGCGGACTGGAGAACACCTTTGGGACTCCATCCAGAGGAAATCGCTGCATCGATTCTCCTTATTATTGGACCAAAGCGGCCGTTGTACTGCTTCTGCCCATTCTCACGGCTTGGGTAACGATTTCTCCTTGTGCAAGCTCTCTAATGTCTATAACAATTATTTTATGGGGGGCATACAAGTAGTCGTTAATTTTCTGGCCAAGTTGTCAACAGAAATAGCCGCTCCATGGTGAGGAAATAGCAAATTTTGAAGCTTTTCGTAGTATCCAAGAGCAAAAGGGGATATATATCTTTGGCATTTTTAGAATTTCATTCTAGATATATTTAGTCACACTTGCACCCTAGTCGGATTTTTTAAGAGCAGCACCTCTATTGATTTAGGTCAGTTGTAGGCCATATATAGCTTTATCATCTTCGCTATTTTGGTGCACTTTACATTGCCCCGTTCACTCCTAATAGGTATGGGGTAGAAGTATACAAATTATTACACTCTATCTGAAATAGAGTTTCTCGAGTAGAAAGAGAAGCTCCAGTTAAATGAAAAGGTTCTTAAAAATCTTCTGATACAAATTCACCTTACCATGCTTTGACTGCTTCAATCCCAGGAGTCAGGAAAGCTGCAGATGAAGTGTCAAATAGTTAAGTCTGCCAAGTGGTTGTAGGCCAAGCTTGACCGACCAGAGGTATAATGAAACAATTGCCCCCATATACTCCGTATAGACGTGCTAAATCTAATGGAAATATGGAATAGCTTCTCGATAATATAAAGTGATCGGCAAAACGTTGATTTCCTTGGGCCGAGCCCTAGAAACCACCAGTGTTAAACAATCAGTACGGAGTAACTAGACCTCCGGAGTATGGAGTAGACCTCCGGAGTACGGAGGATAGTTAGTAAACTACTCTGTAGTTGGAGCTCAGTTGAATTAGGTAGTTAGATCCTCTTTATGATACTCCTCAGCCAAGAGACCTCCACAAGCTGTGGCCAATGCAACATGCTTCGCTCCAGTGCCTCTACACCTCTCACTTCATCATCGCTGCAGAAGGGCTGAGTGTCAAAACACTCCTGTGTAAAAATTGTGCAGTCGAAAAATGAAGAGGATGAACACTTATTCTCCGCATCTACCTGCTGATCATTTCCTGGAAACATTTGTATGATCGGGGAACATAAAGTTACAGGGTAAGATCTCTTCTATATAACTCCATAGATGTGTGGTGTGAATCGCTGAAATTCTCCGCTTAGCTGCAGCTAGTTGAACTACCCAGTATGTACTCTGTGTCCTGTAGGGCATTATCTATGGGTATGTACTTACATAACTTCACTAGGGTAAGTATGCAACCTCAGGTCTTAGGTAGGAGAAATCTGTTAACTGGCTTTTTAGACAAACAAATCCTGTAAAATTCCGCAATGCTGATCGGGCAGGGGGGGTTCTTGGAGGCCTGCAAGCAGGAGTGCAGGCGAGCGAAAAGCATCGCCGATACTACTTACCTCATCATCTCAGACGCGTGCTGTGGCAGAAATTACCCGTAAGGGTCTAGCTCCAAAGCTTATAATTACGCTACGCTACATTGGGCCTAGCCCATTTCTGACTCATCCGAAGTGGAAGGTCTGAGGGTATGAGGCAACGATACTACTTACCTCATCCCCTCAGACGCGTGCTGCTAAGGTTCTTTAGCGCGAATTTAGTGTTTTGAACTAACCCATTCTGGTAATTCTGCCAGAGCCTGACCAGCACAGCGTCTGAGCCGGTTTTCACAAAA